CAACCTATTCACACACCATCTCACATCTACACCAACCACAACCACAAGCTATCCACACACCATCCCACATCCACACCAACCACAAACTATTCACACACCATCTCACATCTACACCAACCACAACCACAAGCTATCCACACACCATCCCACATCCACACCAACCACAACCACAAGCTATCCACACACCATCTCACATCCACCCCAACCACAAACTATTCACACACCATCTCACATCTACACCAACCACAACCACAAGCTATCCACACACCATCCCACATCCACACCAACCACAACCACAAACTATTCACACACCATCTCACTTCCACACCAACCACAACCACAAGCTATTCACACACCATCTTACATCCACCCCAACCACAAACTATTCACACACCATCTCACATCCACACCAACCATAAACTATTCACACACCATCTCACTTCCACACCAACCACAACCACAACCTATCCACACACCATCCCACATCCACACCAACCACAACCACAAACTATTCACACACCATCTCACTTCCACACCAACCACAACCACAAGCTATTCACACACCATCTTACATCCACCCCAACCACAAACTATTCACACACCTTCTCACATCCACATCCACACCAACCACAACCACAACCTATTCAAACACCATCTCACATCCACACCAACCACAACCACAACCTACTCACACACCATCTCACACCAACCACAACCACAAACTATTCACACACAATCTCACATCCACACCAACCACAAACTACTCACACACCATCTCACACCAACCACAACCACAAACTATTCACACACCATCTCACATTCACACCAACCACAAGCTATTCACACACCATCTCACATCCACACCAACCACAACCACAACCTATTCACACACCTTCTCACATCCACACCAACCACAACCACAAACTACTCACACACCATCTCACTTCCACACCAACCACAACCACAAGCTATTCACACACCATCTTACATCCACCCCAACCACAAACTATTCACACACCATCTCACATCCACACCAACCACAACCACAAACTATTCACACACCATCTCACATCCACACCAACCATAAACTATTCACACACCATCTCACTTCCACACCAACCACAACCACAAGCTATTCACACACCATCTCACATCCACACCAACCACAACCACAACCTATTCACACACCATCTCACATCCACACCAACCACAACCACAAACTATCCACACACCATCTCACATTCACACCAACCACAACCACAAGCTATTCACACACCATCTCACATCCACACCAACCACAACCACAAACTATTCACACACCATCTCACATCCACACCAACCACAACCACAAACTATTCACACACCATCTCACATCCACACCAACCACAACCACAAACTATTCACACACCATCTCACACCAACCACAACCACAAACTATTCACACACCATCTCACATCCACACCAACCACAACCACAAACTATTCACACACCATCTCACATCCACACCAACCACAACCACAAACTACTCACACACCATCTCACATCCACACCAACCACAACGACAAACTACTCACACACCATCTTACATCCACCCCAACCACAACGACAAACTATCCACACACCATCTCACATCCACACCAACTACAACCACAAACTATTCACACACCAACCCACATCCACACCAACCACAAACTATTCACACACCATCTCACTTCCACACCAACCACAACCACAACCTATCCACACACCATCTCACATCCACCCCAACCACAACCACAAACTATTCACACACCATCTCACATCCACACCAACCACAACCACAAACTACTCACACAACATCCCACATCCACACCAACCACAAACTACTCACACACCATCTCACATCCACACCAACCACAACCACAAACTACTCACACACCATCTCACATCCACACCAACCACAAACTACTCACACACCATCCCACATCCACACCAACCACAAACTATTCACACACCATCCCACATCCACACCAACCACAAACTATTCACACACCATCTCACATCCACACCAACCACAAACTACTCACACACCATCTCTCATCCACACCAACCACAACCACAAGCTATTCACACACCATCTCACATCCACACCAACCACAACCACAAACTACTCACACACCATCTCACATCCACACCAACCACAACCACAACCTATTCACACACCATCTCACATCCACACCAACCACAACCACAAAGTATTCACACACCATCTCACATCCACACCAACCACAACCACAAACTATTCACACACCATCTCACATCCACACCAACCACAACCTTAGCCTTGTGGGTGTTGTGTTCATCATCACATGAGAAAATGAGATCAGTGTTACATTGAAAAAAACGTGATTGTTGTCAATTAGAAAAATGTGATCGTTGTCACATGAGAAAATGAGATCAGTGTTACATTGAAAAAAAACGTGATTGTTGTCAATTAGAAAAATGTGATCGTTGTCACATTAAAAACGCTAGATAGGTCCTTGTGGCGAGAAAGAAATGTCACCAACACTACAAGCTCCAACCTTGACCACCGTCCACACATCCCATCATTTTCTCGTGACGCTAATCGTCACCGTCTGGCCAGGTTTTCGACGCTCCACGACCATCAATTTCCTGACGTGTGGCAGCCGCTGATTGGTCGAATCGTGCCGGTCAACTTCCTGTTTGTGATGCCAAGTGCCCAGCGTGGCATTGCTGACATCCGGCCGGTGTCTGATTAAAGATGGACGCCTGTCTGATATTCGTTGGACTCCTTAAAATATAAGGCTGTATGTTAGACTTGGCCACATGAGGCTGTATGTTGGCCACATGAGGCTGTATGTTGGCCACATGAGGCTGTATGTTGGCCACATGAGGCTGTATGTTGGCCACATGAGGCTGTATGTTGGCCACATGAGGCTGTATGTTGGCCACATGAGGCTGTATGTTGGCCACATGAGGCTGTATGTTGGCCACATGAGGCTGTATGTTGGCCACATGAGGCTGTATGTTGGCCACATGAGGCTGTATGTTGGCCACATGAGGCTGTATGTTGGCCACATGAGGCTGTATGTTGGCCACATGAGGCTGTATGTTGGCCACATGAGGCTGTATGTTGGCCACATGAGGCTGTACAGAGCCGGCGTTAGGAATACGCGGGGCCTAGGGCCAACCATCCGCGCGGGGCCTTTCCATTATATATATATATATATATATATATATATATATATATATATATATATATATATATATATATATATATATATAAAGGCCTATATAATGTGATGTACACATAATAACACACATGTTTTGGAGTTTATAAGCTAATGTCAAACTTTCCACTATAATAACAGATTTTTATCTCTACCATGTATTGACCCAATGTTCGTAGTTTTTTTCCTTTGCCAAGATATTAAATCACTTTTGACAGTTATGTAATTCATACCAAATCACTTAAGAAAATTTAATCACGTGCCGAATAATTAGGAAAATAAAGTTTACAATACAGCGAACTCGGCCTGATGTATCAAAACAGTATAGACTTCAAACTTTGTTTAGAATTCATACAATATTTTAAAACCAAAAACATTATTGTCTTAATTATTGAACGGGTGAATCCTTAAGGTGACACAACATAGCAACAGTTTTAACTTTCTTCCAAAAAATAATAATAAATCACTCTGTTTAATGCCGCCTGATATAGATCCTAAGCCCCCCCCCCCCCCCCCCCTCGTCGCCCTCCTCCCACCCCTCTGCACGCAACTGAATGTTAATTTTGTTATACCGGCCTACATATAGAGTTTCTTCCAGGCATCCCTTCGGCGGGGGGGGGGGGGGGGGGGGCCTATGGCGACCCCCCCGTTTGCCACCCCCTAACGCCGGCTCTGAGGCTGTATGTTGGCCACATGAGGCTGTATGTTGGCCACATGAGGCTGTATGTTGGCCACATGAGGCTGTATGTTGGCCACATGAGGCTGTATGTTGGCCACATGAGGCTGTATGTTAGACTTGGCCACATGAGGCTGTATGTTGGCCACATGAGGCTGTATGTTAGACTTGGTCACAGTTACGATACCGCATGGGCTCGGTTTAATCATCGAATGTCTATCGCGTGCCACAGTGTCAATATTGTATGGTGCTCCTCACTACTAACGTAGGCGCCATGGTTCTCACAGGATAGCCCAGGGCGCCGGCGGACGCGCCTGATTTTATCTACTGAACGACTATAATAAATTAACACATCTTATCCATTAGTGTATCGCACACTGCCGGGGGCCGCCCTTGCGAAATCGACCCCCCCCCCCCGAAACCTTCTTGGGAGTATTCTCATCAACTCCCCAAGGTTCATGGCACTAGGATGAGAAGTGTCGAACCACATCCCACTTTTATAAAAAAATTTTGTATATACCGTATATTGAGAAAAATCGCACCCTCCCGGGACGCCGATCTTGCTCCTCTCCTGGAGTGTTATGGCGATCGAATGAACGGTGTCAAGCCGCAACCGACTTTTATTTTTATTTACCGTATATAGAGAAGAATCGAATCGCGCCTTGAAGGGGCACCACCCCTGCGAATTTGAAATATTTTTTTTTCGCCACCTCAGAAGTATTATTAACAACTTCCCAAAGTTTCATGGCGATCGGATGAAAGGTGTAGTTATGCATAACATTCAAAAGACAGACAAAAAGACAAAGAAACAAACAGACAGACATAGATCTACATTGATTTATATATAGAAAGATAGCAGTTAGATAAGTAGATATAGAGGATCTAGTATTTAAAATTGTGAATTATTAGATTATAATTATTTAGGCCTAACTCATTTTAAGGAAGTAAATGAAGTGAAGCAAGAATATAGATCTAAAGATCTAGATCTATAGATATTATATATTCAGTAGTTTACCAGGCCCTATGGCCTATTCAAAGGTTGTTTATTCGTTCGAAACTTTCAAGGGCTTCCCATAAATGTGGCTTTGCTTGCAGTGTATCGTCTGCAAACCAATGAAAACTCAGTGCCGTGGTTATTATTTTTAGAGCATTCTGTTTTCAATGAAATGGAAGGGGTGGATTACTATAATTAACCGATTTTTTTACTACAACTCTTCAATACAAATACTACTTAAACACTGCATTTACGTAAGTCCATAATCTTAAGCCGTAATTCTTATTGAAGAATATTACTAGCATTACTTTACTAGATCTAGATCTAGATGATCTAGTAGTAGTAGATCTAGATCTAGTCTAGTACTCTAGTCTAAACTCTAAGTAACAACGGCTATTTATTTTATATTAATTATTAACGGTAACTCACTGAGAATCTATTCTAGATCTAGGAAATCGACTAGAGTTCACTAGAGTCTAGACTAGAGTACAGTCACTAAACAGAATCTAGAGTTTCTAGATCTATATCTAGCATTCTATAGGCACAGTGACAGTGTCTATAAATACTAGATCTAGATCTAGATCTAGTCTATAGTACTAGATCTAGTACTAGTAGACTAGTAGTAGTACTATTAGATCTAGAAATCTAGTACTAGTAGTACTCTAGCTAGTGTAGGTAGGCCATATGCCTATGTCAGTTCACATAAGTCATACGTCTCATAAGTTGATTAAAAGTTTTTTAACTTGATATCTAAATTCTAGATCTAAGTACTAATACTAAATGTACCTAAATTTTAATTTGGCTTTAACCAGTTGACATGTAGATCTATACTTAATTGTGTTGGAGGGGATACCTTCTATTCCAACACTAAAGTTAAGAATGAGGAAAAAGAAGAAAGAAGAAGAGGGCTAAAGAACTAATATAACTAGTATTATACTAATTAACGTAAGTAAAGTTCGCCTTTTGAACCTGGAACTCCGTGGAGCAGATGAAGTAGAGTTCACCTGTCTCTGAGACCTCAGCATATGAAGTGACAGTGTGGATAGTTCTATTACTTTGCCTAGCCACCTTTACTACGTTCTCTAACATATTAGTCAGGTACCCATCAATGCTGTGTGGACACAGACGCATCCTGTTAATTCACACCCAAGGTCAGAACTCAAGACTTTAGGGTTTACGGTAAAACGCTACTGTCTGGCCATGCCGTCTTATAATAGATGCTACTTGACATTAACTAACAATAAAATAACATATCAAGACTATTGTCAAAGACCCACAGGCCAATTTCTTTGTATAACAATGACCTAGCCTTAGATGCAAATGATACTTATTAGGTGACTGTAGGCCGGAAATATTATATATATAAGAATGGGAAATAAGTTGCACTATGTTAAAGAATTCAAGTTTGTAGTTTAAATAGAAATTGTTTCAGCACCAAAATGTACTTTTAGCCCTAAACAACCTCAGTCTAAGGGTCAAGTATTTAGCTTATTGTACTTAGATTGGTCTAGCTCAGGGGTCTCCAAACTATGGCCAGCGGGCCGGATGCGGCCAGCAAAGTCCTCTCATCCGGCCCGCGGAGATCTTTTTGTCCAAGGAAAAAACGTTTGTTGGTGATGGCTGAGGAAATTTGCCCAGAAAAATAACGACATACCTGGAAGAAACTGGCCCCTGAACTGAAATTTGATAGTTAATGCGGCCCTCGGACTGAAAAGTTTGGAGACCCCTGGTCTAGCTGGATGAATATTGAACATGTATGTGGAGGTGGGGTTTAAAAATATAGAACTTAAAACAGTTAATTATTTTAATATAGTACATAGGTATATAAACACTGAGTTTAGGTTGTTTTGTAAAATTTGGGTGTAAAATCAAAAGATATGAACAACATAAAAATTGATTTACAAGGCAGCAACAGATACAAGCAAGTAACATAACTAATATAGTGATTGTTATCAAAGTTTCTTTCAGACATTTTTCTCTCTCTATATATATTATATATATATATATTTGTTTTTACATATTGGCCTATATTAATATATATAATATATGCAAATATTTGTATGCACATATAATTACATATACACACACAAAAGCAACAAGACAAGTCAAATGGACAATGGAGACAAAAACTAGGGTTTGCCATCATTCTAAAATAAAAGCTAGCCCCCAATGTAAAATACATTTTGATCTGTAGAAAATGATCAAGGGACATAATTACCAAGGCTTGGCACTAAGCTCAGATTATCTGTCCTTAGCCTGGACAAGAAGAATATGGAGCTGAAGATGTCTTAAATGTGTTAAAAGAAGATGATCAAGCTGAGATAGAGGGTTAACCGCATGTGAATCTAGAAGGCAAGGCCCCATTGGGTCCAGGTTGACAGAATCAACTCTGGACTAATCCTATTACTCATCTCTGGTATAAGATTATTAACACTGGATAAACCTCAGCCAATAGGGTTATTGTCAGAATACAGTGCAACTCATGTATGTGATCTGCACTTTTAGTGTTGCACCTTTTGAACCATTTTTGTTAGATAAAACATGCTCTCTTAATGTAGAACATTTAATTGTTTGTTAAAACTTGTTCTCTAAATGTAGAACATTTAATTGTTTGTTAAAACTTGTTCTCTAAATGTGGAACATTTAATTGTTTGTTAAAACTTGTTCTCTAAATGTAGAACAATTGTTTGTTAAAACTTGTTCTCTAAATGTAGAACATTTAATTGTTTGTTTAAACTTGTTCTCTAAATGTAGAACATTTAATTGTTTGTTAAAACTTGTTCTCTAAATGTAGAACATTTAATTGTTTGTTAAAACTTGTTCTCTAAATGTAGAACATTTAATTGTTTGTTAAAACTTGTTCTCTAAATGTAGAATATTTAATTGTTTGTTAAAACTTGTTCTCTAAATGTATAAAACATGTTCTGTATGAGTGTGGTGGGGTTTTAAACATCAGTCACTATTTAATCATTAATCCCCTTGTACCAAACACCCCCCCCCCCACCATACACACAGGCACAATCATCTTTTAGCAATTGCCACTCATCTTTCAGCCATCCCCACATTGAACTACCATTGCAACGGTTACCATCATTTAGCCATCTCATTGACCTACCATTACCATCATTTAGCCATCCCATTGACCTACCATTACCATCATTTAGCCATCTCATTGACCTACCATTACCATCATTTAGCCATCTCCTCATTGACCTACCATCACTATTACCATCATTTAGCCATCCCATTGACCTACCATCACTATTACCATCATTTAGCCATCTCCCCATTGACCTACCATCACTATTACCATCATTTAGCCATCCCATTGACCTACCATCACTATTACCATCATTTAGCCATCTCCTCACTGACCTACCATTACCGTCAATTAGCCATCCCATTGACCTACCATCACTATTACCATCATTTAGCCATCTCCCCATTGACCTACCATCACTATTACCATCATTTAGCCATCCCATTGACCTACCATCACTATTACCATCATTTAGCCATCTCCTCACTGACCTACCATTACCGTCAATTAGCCATCCCATTGACCTACCATCACTATTACCATCATTTAGCCATCTCCCCATTGACCTACCATCACTATTACCATCATTTAGCCATCCCATTGACCTACCATCACTATTACCATCATTTAGCCATCTCCTCACTGACCTACCATTACCATCATTTAGCCATCCCATTGACCTACCATCACTATTACCATCATTTAGCCATCTCCCCATTGACCTACCATTACCATCATTTAGCCATTCCATTGACCTACCATCACTATTACCATCATTTAGCCATCTCCCCATTGACCTACCATCAGCACAATCTGTCACTATTTGAGCCACTTGTAGCCTACATTTTGTACATACCACAGAAGAGACAAACACAGTATGTAGAGATGAGAGATAAGTGCTCTACTTCATGTACACATTTTCAAATGTTTCCTTAATCAATCGCCTACCTGTGTAAACAAAGTCAGCTGTTGACTTTTGTCATGTTCCAACATGTTTATCAAGTTGCTGGCTAGAAACACACCTGTTTTTCTCATACACTTAACTTATACACATAACATACCTGTAATACACATACTCTATTGTAGATAGTTCAAGATGCTTAACTTATACACATAACATACCTGTAATACACATACTCTATTGTAGATAGTTCAAGATGCTTAACTTATACACATAACATACCTGTAATACACATACTCTATTGTAGATAGTTCAAGATGCTTAACTTATACACATAACATACCTGTAATACACATACTCTATTGTAGATAGTTCAAGATGCTTAACTTATACACATAACATACCTGTAATACACATACTCTATTGTAGATAGTTCAAGATGCTTAACTTATACACATAACATACCTGTAATACACATACACTTAACTTATACACATAACATACCTGTAATACACATACTCTATTGTAGATAGTACAAGATGCTTAACTTATACACATAACATACCTGTAATACACATACTCTATTGTAGATAGTTCAAGATGCTTAACTTATACACATAACATACCTGTAATACACATACACTTAACTTATACACATAACATACCTGTAATACACATACTCTATTGTAGATAGTTCAGGATGAGCTAACCATTATGACTAGGTGATAGTGTTTTTGGTTGTGGCTAGTTTGATGGTGTTTGTGTGCTTTATTTGCTCCACTCTGTACCTTGATCACCCGTACTAGTTTGATGGTGTTTGTGAACTTTATTTGGATGGCAACTCGGGATAAAGACATGATTTTAAATCCGTTTTTAATTACTTAAACTTGTAAAAATAGAACGAGCTGACACGCGACGTAGCGGTTCCATGACAAATGATCTCAGGACAAATGGTCTCAGACAAAATATCTCAGACAAAATTTCTCACGGACAAATGATCTCAGGACAAATGATCTCAGGACAAATGATCTCAAGGACAAATGATCTCAAGGACAAAATATATCAGGACAAATGATATCATGGACAAATGATCTCTTAAACTTAACAAACCATCAAAAGATTTATTTAACTTAATCTTTGTAATGGCATTTGATTTGAAAAAATAAAAATTAAAACAAACTTTCTCCTTTAACCTGAAAGGTATGATAAATGATAATGTATAAAACAAAGTAACGGTAGCTATACAACAATAATGTTTAAAACATGCGAAATATCTTTCACAAATGTTAATGGGTCTCTAGGTTCGTAACGTAAAATTATTGTTTTTATTGCATGATCAACACAAACATAACGTTTACGTTTCTTTGCTGACAGTACATCGTTATGACCACATCTCTCCAATACTATGAGATCGTGTATTGTGTGAACTCTTGCTCGACATGTTCTAACTCCGCGATGACCGCTGTTTCAACTGTTTGTCTTAAATAAGCATTAGTCACCTGATCACTAAGGTGTGACCGACGCATAACTATTGAATTTAGCTATTAGTTGTATTGTTCATGGAGGGCGGATGTCTTTCCCTTAAGGCATGTCTCTACCATCAACGCGGGCTGCCACCTTGATACGAAGGTGTTTCTCTATTGTTATTTCATCCTCTTTGATCTAGTTTGTCCACCTGACATGGTTGGATTGTCTCATGTTTGGCAAGCCCGCCTACGCTGTCTATCGTACAATTTCTTTAATCTTCAATAGTAATAATCCTAATTTTGAAATGCAATATACAATTTTAAAAGTGCAATATGATAAATTTATACGGCAAACATTTCTTACAATTATCATATGGGCCTATAAACAATATTAAACATATTAAACAAAACCATACGACAGTTAATAAAAATTGTTCAGATCAACTAAAGTCACCCAATACACTATTAAAATTTAGGTCTGAGATATTTTGTCTGAGATCAATTGTCCGTGGTATCATTTGTCCTGATATATTTTGTCCTGGTATCTTTTGTCCGTGAGATCATTTGTCCTTGAGAACATTTGTCCTGAGATCATTTGTACTGAGATCATTTGTCCGTGAGATATTTTGTCTGAGATATTTTGTCTGAGATCATTTGTCCTGAGATCATTTGTCCTGTCACCGACGTAGCATATGCCGCTATTTAGTTGTTTTACTTTCTAGTTTTCAGTAATTCATAATTTGTGAATTCGACACTACCAGTGCTGCGACTGAAAATATTTTGCTTTTAAACACTATCAGTAGCTCGTGAAGGACGATTATCCTCTCCTCACCCTCACTGTCTACTCCCCCCCCCCCCCCCCCCCCCCCCCCGTGAAAGCAGCCGTCAACGACGACAGTTTACAGACGACGATGAAAAGACCAATCAGAACTTGTTATTACCTCCCCTTAGTTTCAAATCGTTTAAAAGTTAAATTATCTGCCCCTAATAACCGTCACAAATCCGACCCATCTCTACTATTGTAAACATTCGTCGTGAACCATAGCTCACCAGACAGGTGGGGGGTAAGGATGGTTGCGATTTGCCTAGAGAGCGGGGGAGTGACGGCGTGCGTTTACGTGGTGTCTCGCATGGTCCCCATGAAGAGAATTATATATATAGATAGAATCTCGTAAAAAAGAATTGCGCACCAAGTGAACAACAAACAATTTGTGTATAATAGTGCGGAATATTTGTACTTTATAAATTCATATGCGTTTTTACTTTCTCATTTATACGAAGTATAGAGAAAGTCTTGTAATCGTGCAAAAAAATAAATTAAAAAAATCGAGATTTTTTTCTAATCTCGAAGTTTTATACCTCACGAAAAAACATAATTTTGCAATCTTGTCCGTATGTTTATGTGTATGTATGTGTCTGTGTGACTGTAAACACGATAACTTGAGTACCGTTACAGCTAGTTTGATGAAATTTCATATATAAGTATTTTATCAAAATCGTAGATCCGTATCAACTTGAGAGCGATTTCTGATAACCGGAAGTGTTTTTTTTTCTACTTTTTTTCTCTACCTTCTATCAAATTTTGAGTAATTTCCGTTGACCGGAAGTACTAATTTACGCCATTTCCGATTTCTCAAAAAACTAATGTAAATTTATAAAGTACAAATAATATTCCGCACTATTACTATTATGCACATTTTATTTGGCGTTCACTGGTGTGCAATTCTTTTTTCTACGAGATTTTATTCTATTTTAAAAAAAGTATTTAAAATGGATTAAAAATCATGTCTATATCCCGAGTTCCCATCCCGTTTTTTTATATATATACTCGAGAACGTTTAGGGGAGATCACTCCCGGTCAGAGTTTCTTCCAGGCATCTCTTCGGGGGGAGGGGGGGGGGGGAAGCGGGTTGAAATTGCAATTAGTCAAAATTTTAAAGAAGTGAGAGAATTAGATTTTTTTTACTTTTGTGTGAAATTTCGTTTATCTAACTGAAAAGTTGATACAAAACTACAAATTTGATATAACACTTATATATAAAATTTCACCAATCTAGCTGTATCGATACTCAAGTTATCGTGTTCACATACACTCACACAGACATACGGACAAATTGCAAAACTATGTTTTTCCGACTCATTTAGGTGTAAAATCTCGATTTTGATTTTTTGCACGATTACAATATTTCCTTTATACTTTGTACTGTATTGAGCCTATATACGAGAAAGTAAAATTTAAAATCAGCTAGTCTATAATGTTGTGCCATTTTGTCATTGTAGGTGCTTTAATCTAGGTCCGTCTATATTGGGGGTGGGGGAAGGGGCTCATAGGTGCGTCCATATTGGGAGTGGGGGGAGGGGCTCATAGGTGCGTCCATATTGATGGGGGGGGGGCTCAGGGTGTAGAGTGGCTGCTAGGTCCGTCGATATTTGCGGGAAGACATAGTAGAGCCACGTTGACGGACTGAATGATGCCGTTGATCTGCCCACTCGTGCCTGTTGACTCACTTGTAGGGCTCTACTCACGTGCTTTACATGATACAACTTTGACGGCTTCGTTTGTATCCTGCACACGGGGGTCTCCAGCACTTAGCCAGCCCGCCCTCTGGTAAACAACAGAAACACATTATCCAGTCCAACCCCTCGTGTATCAGCCTTCGATCTCTGGCTCATAAGAAGCGCCTACATAGTAAACACGACACTCAACTCTGACCTCGTAACCTCGTTGTACATATTGATTGACAGTGACCCCAAACAACTCTAGTCACTTTCTAAAAATAGCACATGTTAATAGATTGTTGTTAACGTTTCTCTCCCCCCCCCTTTACACGAACATGCTGTACAGTCCTGACGTTTTATTCTTAACTTGCCCTTCTCAAACACAAACATCGTTTGCATTAATTAAGACAGCTTATATTCAGTTAGAGATTGTTTGTATTCATTAAGACACGTTGTATTCATTAAGACACGTTGTATTCATTAAGACAAGTTGTATTCATTAAGACACGTTGTATTTATTAAGACAAGTTGTATTTATAATGGCAAAGTTTGTATACCAAATTGAGACCGTCTAAAGTTTGTGTCTTTCAGAATGCGCCAGCCAGCCAGCAAGGAAGAGCTTGTTGATGAGTGTGGTAGCAAATGGGAGAGCTCAGCATGCTAGCCAGTGGCTGGAGTGGCCCAGTTAGTAGTGGAGACAAGAATCAATAGACGATCATCTGTGTTGGTGGCTGCTGATTGATGGGATTAACACCATTGTGTGGCAGGACTTCCTCCACACATTCACACAGGCTTTTTAATTCGTCCTCTCCACTGGTGCTGTCTCACACAATGGACAATTAAGTGCTGAAAGAAGGCATCATGTGGAGTGTTAGAAGCTGTAACTTTCTGCTGTTTTTTCTCATACTAAAAACTGATGCTCAGCTGTATGAGAATAGAATAGATTGTGGGGAAGTTAACGACACAATGATACCCAATCCACCTGATGGAGGTGAGTTCTTACCTCAGTTTCATACTGTCAAAAGTTTTGCTGCAAATAAAACTCTTTTATAACACCTTAACAGCTTTCCATTTACAGAAAATAGGGAGCCACCAAATACATGGGCACAGAGCCACCAAATACATGGGCACAGGGCCACCAAATACATGGACACAGTGCCACCAAATACATGGGCACAGTGCCACCAAATACATGGGCACAGTGCCACCAAATACATGGACACAGTGCCACCAAATACATGGGCACAGTGCCACCAAATACATGGGCACAGTGCCACCAAATACATGGGCACAGTGCCACCAAATACATGGGCACAGTGCCACCAAATACATGGACACAGTGCCACCAAATACATGGGCACAGTGCCACCAAATACATGGGCACAGTGCCACCAAATACATGGGCACAGTGCCACCAAATACATGGGCACAGTGCCACCAAATACATGAACATGGGCACAGTGCTACCAAATACATGGCCACAGTGCCACCAAATACATGGGCACAGTGCCACCAAATACATGGGCACAGTGCCACCAAATACATGGGCACAGTGCCACCAAATACATGGGCACAGTGCCACCAAATACATGGGCACAGTGCCACCAAATACATGGGCACAGTGCCACCAAATACATGGACACAGTGCCACCAAATACATGGGCACAGTGCCACCAAATACATGGGCACAGTGCCACCAAATACATGGGCACAGTGCCACCAAATACATGGGCACAGTGCCACCAAATACATGGGCACAGTGCCACCAAATACATGGGCAAAGTGCCACCAAATACATGGGCACAGTGCCACCAAATACATGGGCACAGTGCCACCAAATACATGGACATGGGCACAGTGCCACCAAATACATGGGCACAGTGCCACCAAATACATGGGCACAGTGCCACCAAATACATGGGCACATGGCCACTAAATACATGGGCACAGTGCCACCAAATACATGGGCACAGTGCCACCAAATACATGAACATGGGCACAGTGCCACCAAATACATGGGCACAGTGCCACCAAATACATGGGCACAGTGCCACCAAATACATGGTCACAGTGCCACCAAATACATGGACATGGGCACAGTGCCACCAAATACATGGGCACAGTGCCACCAAATACATGGGCACAGTGCCACCAAATACATGGGCACAGTGCCACCAAATACATGGGCACAGTGCCACCAAATACATGGGCACAGTGCCACCAAATACATGAACATGGGCACAGTGCCACCAAATACATGGTCACAGTGCCACCAAATACACAGTGCTACCAAATATATGAACATGGGCACAGTGCCACCAAATACATGAACACATTTTCACCATATACATGAACACATTTCCACCAAATACATGGGCACAGTGCCACCAAATACATGGGTACAGTGCCACCAAATACATGGGCACAGTGCCTCCAAATACACGGGCACAGTGCTACCAAATACATGAACATGGGCACAGTGCAACCATATACATGAACACATTTCCACCATATACATGAACACATTTCCACCAAATACATGGGCACAGTGCCACCAAATACATGGGCACAGTGCCACCAAATACATGGGCACAGTGCCACCAAAACATATGGCCACAGTGCCACCAAATACATGGGCACAGTGCCACCAAATACATGGGCAAAGTGCCACCAAATACATGGGCAAAGTGCCACCAAATACATGGGCACAGTGCCACCAAATACATGGACAAAGTGCCACCAAATACATGGGCACAGTGCCACCAAAACATATGGCCACAGTGCCACCAAATACATGGGCACAGTGCCACCAAATACATGGGCAAAGTGCCACCAAATACATGGGCACAGTGCCACCAAAACATATGGCCACAGTGCCACCAAATACATGGGCACAGTGCCACCAAATACATGGGCAAAGTGCCACCAAATACATGGGCACAGGGCCACCAAATACATGGGCACAGTGCCACCAAATACATGGGCACAGTGCCACCAAATACATGGGCACAGTGCCACCAAATACATGGACATGAGCACAGTGCCACCAAATACATGGGCACAGTGCCACCAAATACATGGGCACAGTGCCACCAAATACATGGGCACAGTGCCACCAAATACATGGGCACAGTGCCACCAAATACATGGGCACAGTGCCACCAAATACATGGGCAAAGTGCCACCAAATACATGGGCAAAGTGCCACCAAATACATGGGCACAGTGCCACCAAATACATGGGCAAAGTGCCACCAAATACATGGGCACAGTGCCACCAAAACATATGGCCACAGTGCCACCAAATACATGGGCACAGTGCCACCAAATACATGGGCAAAGTGCCACCAAATACATGGGCACAGGGCCACCAAATACATGGGCACAGTGCCACCAAATACATGGGCACAGTGCCACCAAATACATGGGCACAGTGCCACCAAATACATGGACATGGGCACAGTGCCACCAAATACATGGGCACAGTGCCACCAAATACATGGGCACAGTGCCACCAAATACATGGGCACAGTGCCACCAAATACATGGGCACAGTGCCACCAAATACATGGGCACAGTGCTACCAAATACATGGCCACAGTGCCACCAAATACATGGGCACAGTGCCACCAAATACATGGGCACAGTGCCACCAAATACATGGGCACAGTGCCACCAAATACATGGGCACAGTGCCACCAAATACATGGGCACAGTGCCACCAAATACATGGGCACAGTGCCACCAAATACATGGACACAGTGCCACCAAATACATGGGCACAGTGCCACCAAATACATGGGCACAGTGCCACCAAATACATGGGCACAGTGCCACCAAATACATGGGCACAGTGCCACCAAATACATGGGCACAGTGCCACCAAATACATGGGCAAAGTGCCACCAAATACATGGGCACAGTGCCACCAAATACATGGGCACAGTGCCACCAAATACATGGACATGGGCACAGTGCCACCAAATACATGGGCACAGTGCCACCAAATACATGGGCACAGTGCCACCAAATACATGGGCACATGGCCACTAAATACATGGGCACAGTGCCACCAAATACATGGGCACAGTGCCACCAAATACATGAACATGGGCACAGTGCCACCAAATACATGGGCACAGTGCCACCAAATACATGGGCACAGTGCCACCAAATACATGGTCACAGTGCCACCAAATACATGGACATGGGCACAGTGCCACCAAATACATGGGCACAGTGCCACCAAATACATGGGCACAGTGCCACCAAATACATGGGCACAGTGCCACCAAATACATGGGCACAGTGCCACCAAATACATGGGCACAGTGCCACCAAATACATGAACATGGGCACAGTGCCACCAAATACATGGTCACAGTGCCACCAAATACACAGTGCTACCAAATATATGAACATGGGCACAGTGCCACCAAATACATGAACACATTTTCACCATATACATGAACACATTTCCACCAAATACATGGGCACAGTGCCACCAAATACATGGGTACAGTGCCACCAAATACATGGGCACAGTGCCTCCAAATACACGGGCACAGTGCTACCAAATACATGAACATGGGCACAGTGCAACCATATACATGAACACATTTCCACCATATACATGAACACATTTCCACCAAATACATGGGCACAGTGCCACCAAATACATGGGCACAGTGCCACCAAATACATGGGCACAGTGCCACCAAAACATATGGCCACAGTGCCACCAAATACATGGGCACAGTGCCACCAAATACATGGGCAAAGTGCCACCAAATACATGGGCAAAGTGCCACCAAATACATGGGCACAGTGCCACCAAATACATGGACAAAGTGCCACCAAATACATGGGCACAGTGCCACCAAAACATATGGCCACAGTGCCACCAAATACATGGGCACAGTGCCACCAAATACATGGGCAAAGTGCCACCAAATACATGGGCACAGTGCCACCAAAACATATGGCCACAGTGCCACCAAATACATGGGCACAGTGCCACCAAATACATGGGCAAAGTGCCACCAAATACATGGGCACAGGGCCACCAAATACATGGGCACAGTGCCACCAAATACATGGGCACAGTGCCACCAAATACATGGGCACAGTGCCACCAAATACATGGACATGAGCACAGTGCCACCAAATACATGGGCACAGTGCCACCAAATACATGGGCACAGTGCCACCAAATACATGGGCACAGTGCCACCAAATACATGGGCACAGTGCCACCAAATACATGGGCACAGTGCCACCAAATACATGGGCAAAGTGCCACCAAATACATGGGCAAAGTGCCACCAAATACATGGGCACAGTGCCACCAAATACATGGGCAAAGTGCCACCAAATACATGGGCACAGTGCCACCAAAACATATGGCCACAGTGCCACCAAATACATGGGCACAGTGCCACCAAATACATGGGCAAAGTGCCACCAAATACATGGGCACAGGGCCACCAAATACATGGGCACAGTGCCACCAAATACATGGGCACAGTGCCACCAAATACATGGGCACAGTGCCACCAAATACATGGACATGGGCACAGTGCCACCAAATACATGGGCACAGTGCCACCAAATACATGGGCACAGTGCCACCAAATACATGGGCACAGTGCCACCAAATACATGGGCACAGTGCCACCAAATACATGGGCACAGTGCTACCAAATACATGGCCACAGTGCCACCAAATACATGGGCACAGTGCCACCAAATACATGGGCACAGTGCCACCAAATACATGGGCACAGTGCCACCAAATACATGGGCACAGTGCCACCAAATACATGGGCACAGTGCCACCAAATACATGGGCACAGTGCCACCAAATACATGGACACAGTGCCACCAAATACATGGGCACAGTGCCACCAAATACATGGGCACAGTGCCACCAAATACATGGGCACAGTGCCACCAAATACATGGGCACAGTGCCACCAAATACATGGGCACAGTGCCACCAAATACATGGGCAAAGTGCCACCAAATACATGGGCACAGTGCCACCAAATACATGGGCACAGTGCCACCAAATACATGGACATGGGCACAGTGCCACCAAATACATGGGCACAGTGCCACCAAATACATGGGCACAGTGCCACCAAATACATGGGCACATGGCCACTAAATACATGGGCACAGTGCCACCAAATACATGGGCACAGTGCCACCAAATACATGAACATGGGCACAGTGCCACCAAATACATGGGCACAGTGCCACCAAATACATGGGCACAGTGCCACCAAATACATGGTCACAGTGCCACCAAATACATGGACATGGGCACAGTGCCACCAAATACATGGGCACAGTGCCACCAAATACATGGGCACAGTGCCACCAAATACATGGGCACAGTGCCACCAAATACATGGGCACAGTGCCACCAAATACATGGGCACAGTGCCACCAAATACATGAACATGGGCACAGTGCCACCAAATACATGGTCACAGTGCCACCAAATACACAGTGCTACCAAATATATGAACATGGGCACAGTGCCACCAAATACATGAACACATTTTCACCATATACATGAACACATTTCCACCAAATACATGGGCACAGTGCCACCAAATACATGGGTACAGTGCCACCAAATACATGGGCACAGTGCCTCCAAATACACGGGCACAGTGCTACCAAATACATGAACATGGGCACAGTGCAACCATATACATGAACACATTTCCACCATATACATGAACACATTTCCACCAAATACATGGGCACAGTGCCACCAAATACATGGGCACAGTGCCACCAAATACATGGGCACAGTGCCACCAAAACATATGGCCACAGTGCCACCAAATACATGGGCACAGTGCCACCAAATACATGGGCAAAGTGCCACCAAATACATGGGCAAAGTGCCACCAAATACATGGGCACAGTGCCACCAAATACATGGACAAAGTGCCACCAAATACATGGGCACAGTGCCACCAAAACATATGGCCACAGTGCCACCAAATACATGGGCACAGTGCCACCAAATACATGGGCAAAGTGCCACCAAATACATGGGCACAGTGCCACCAAAACATATGGCCACAGTGCCACCAAATACATGGGCACAGTGCCACCAAATACATGGGCAAAGTGCCACCAAATACATGGGCACAGGGCCACCAAATACATGGGCACAGTGCCACCAAATACATGGGCACAGTGCCACCAAATACATGGGCACAGTGCCACCAAATACATGGACATGAGGACAGTGCCACCAAATACATGGGCACAGTGCCACCAAATACATGGGCACAGTGCCACCAAATACATGGGCACAGTGCCACCAAATACATGGGCACAGTGCCACCAAATACATGGGCACAGTGCCACCAAATACATGGGCAAAGTGCCACCAAATACATGGGCAAAGTGCCACCAAATACATGGGCACAGTGCCACCAAATACATGGGCAAAGTGCCACCAAATACATGGGCACAGTGCCACCAAAACATATGGCCACAGTGCCACCAAATACATGGGCACAGTGCCACCAAATACATGGGCAAAGTGCCACCAAATACATGGGCACAGGGCCACCAAATACATGGGCACAGTGCCACCAAATACATGGGCACAGTGCCACCAAATACATGGGCACAGTGCCACCAAATACATGGACATGGGCACAGTGCCACCAAATACATGGGCACAGTGCCACCAAATACATGGGCACAGTGCCACCAAATACATGGGCACAGTGCCACCAAATACATGGGCACAGTGCCACCAAATACATGGGCAATACATGGGCACAGTGCCACCAAATACATGGGCACAGTGCCACCAAATACATGGGCACAGTGCCACCAAATACATGGGCACAGTGCCACCAAATACATGGGCACAGTGCCATGAAATACATGGGCACAGTGCCACCAAATACATGGGCACAGTGCCACCAAATACATGGGCACAGTGCCACCAAATACATGAACATGGGCACAGTGCTACCAAATACATGGCCACAGTGCCACCAAATACATGGGCACAGTGCCACCAAATACATGGGCACAGTGCCACCAAATACATGGGCACAGTGCTACCAAATACATGGGCACAGTGCCACCAAATATATGGGCACAGTGCCACCAAATACATGGGCACAGTGCCACCAAATACATGGGCACAGTGCCACCAAATACATGGGCACAGTGCCACCAAATACATGGGCACAGTGCCACCAAATACATGGGCACAGTGCCACCAAATACATGGGCACAGTGCCACCAAATACATGGGCACAGTGCCACCAAATACATGGGCACAGTGCCACCAAATACATGGGCACAGTGCCACCAAATACATGAGCACAGTGCCACCAAATACATGGGCACAGTGCCACCAAATACATGAACATGGGCACAGTGCCACCAAATACATGGTCACAGTGCCACCATATACATGGGCACAGTGCCACCAAATACATGGGCACAGTGCCACCAAATACATGAACATGGGCACAGTGCCACCAAATACATGGGCACAGTGCCACCAAATACATGGGCACAGTGCCACCAAATACATGGGCACAGTGCCACCAAATACATGGACACAGTGCCACCAAATATATGGGCACAGTGCTACCATATACATGGGCACAGTGCCACCAAATACATGGGCACAGTGCCATCAAATACATGGGCACAGTGCCACCAAATATATGGGCACAGTGCCACCAAATACATGAACATGGGCACAGTGCCACCAGATATATGGGCACAGTGCCATCAAATACATGGGCACAGTGCCACCAAATACATGGGCACAGTGCCACCAAATACATGGGCACAGTGCCATCAAATACATGGGCACAGTGCCACCAAATATATGGGCACAGTGCCACCAAATACATGAACATGGGCACAGTGCCACCAGATATATGGGCACAGTGCCACCAAATACATGGGCACAGTGCCACCAAATACATGAACATGGGCACAGTGCCACCAAATACATGAACATGGGCACAGTGCTACCAAAAACAAGAACATAGCACAGTTCCACCAAATACATGAACATGGGCACAGTGCCACCAGATACATGGGCACAGTGCCACCAAATACATGAACATGGGCACAGTGCTACCAAAAACAAGAACATAGCACAGTTCCACCAAATACATGGACATGGGCACAGTGCCACCAAATACATGGGCACAGTGCCACCAAATACATGGGCACAGTGCCACCAAATACATGGGCACAGTGCCATCAAATACATGGGCACAGTGCCACCAAATACATGGGCACAGTGCCACCAAATACATGAACATGGGCACAGTGCCACCATATACATGGGCACAGTGCCACCAAATACATGAACATGGGCACAGTGCCACCAAATACATGAACATGGGCACAGTGCCACCAAATACATGAACATGGGCACAGTGCCACCAAATACATGGGCACAGTGCCACCAAATACATGGGCACAGTGCCACCAAATACATGAACATGGGCACAGTGCCACCAAATACATGGGCACAGTGCCACCAAATACATGGGCACAGTGCCACCAAATACATGGGCACAGTGCCACCAAATACATGGGCACAGTGCCACCAAATACATGAACATGGGCACAGTGCCACCATATACATGGACACAGTGCCACCATATATAAATATTGTGATGAAACTTTGTGTCTGACATGTAGCAGTGTTGTATTTTTGCACCTTGAATGTGGAGTATATACTGATTTCATGTTTGTATAGTGGATCCCACTTGCCACAATATTTGTCTTTAATAACTATGTCAATGTTTAATAACTGTCATTGTACTTGTATAAGAACTGTTATAATGTGCTTGTGCAAATGTCAATTCAAAATTTAGGAAAAAAATCTAAGATTTATCTGTTCAACAAAAATTATGTTCATAATACCTTTTTTTCCTACAAGTACTTATGTTTCCCAAAGTAAAAAAAATTAGCAGAGATGGCACTTTGACCGACATGTATAGAGACCAGCCACCCCCTGTCATTAAAGACCATATAGCCCCCTGTCATTAGATCATATAGCCCCCTGTCATTAGACCATATACCCCCCTGTCATTAGACCATATACCCCCCTGTCATTAGACCATATAGCCCCCTGTCATTAGACCATATAGCCCCCTGTCATTAGACCATATAGCCCCCTGTCATTAGACCATATACCCCCCTGTCATTAGACCATATAGCCCCCTGTCATTAGACCATATAGCCCCCTGTCATTAGACCATATAGCCCCCTGTCATTAGACCATATAGCCCCCTGTCATTAGACCATATAGCCCCCTGTCATTAGACCATATAGCCCCCTGTCATTAGACCATATAGCCCCCTGTCATTAGACCATATAGCCCCCTGTCATTAGACCATATAGCCCCCTGTCATTAGGCCATATAGCCCCCTGTCATTAGACCATATAGCCCCCTGTCATTAGACCATATAGCCCCCTGTCATTAGACCATATAGCCCCCTGTCATTAGACCATATAGCCCCCTGTCATTAGACCATATAGCCCCCTGTCATTAGACCATATAGCCCCCTGTCATTAGACCATATAGCCCCCTGTCATTAGACCATATAGCCCCCTGTCATTAGACCATATAGCCCCATCATTAGACCATATAGTCCCTGTTACCAAGATCAGTTTTGTTGTTTCAGTGTGTCCTGACATAGATGTAAAGAACACCTACAGAAACCTGAAGCTGCTCACTAACTGTACAGTCATTGAAGGTTCTCTACACATCTCTCTCTTTCACAATGTGCATAAGTCAGAGTATGAGAAGTACAGGTATGATATTTGCATAAATTAGAGTATGAGAAATATAAGTATGTTTCTAGACATGAACAGTAAACATGTAAATGACACAGACCACTTTCCCCATATCAAATGCCTTCACATAATCTTTCTGTCCCCAACTTGGCTATCTGATGATCTTTCTGTCCCCAACTTTGGCTACATGATGATCTTTCTGTCCCCAACTTTGGCTACATGATGATCTTTCTGTCCCCAACTTTGGCTACCTGATGATCTTTCTGTCCCCAACTTGGCTATCTGATGATCTTTCTGTCCCCAACTTTGGCTACCTGATGATCTTTCTGTTCCCAACTTTGGCTACCTGATGATCTTTCTGTCCCCAACTTTGGCCACCTGATGATCTTTCTGTCCCCAGCTTCCCCAAACTGCGTGAGATCACTGGCTACCTGATGCTGTACCGGGTGTATGGCCTTGAGTCCCTCCAGAACCTGTTCCCCAACCTGCGGGTCATCCGTGGCCACACCCTGTTTTTCCGCTTGTATGCACTGGTGGTCCATGAGCTGCCCGACCTGAAGGACCTGGGCCTGATAGATCTGGTCACCATACCAAATGGTGCGGTCAGGCTGACCAACAACCACAACTTGTGCTACGTCAACACTATCGACTGGTCCCGTCTGGCTCCTGGTGTTGACCCATCCAAACACCAAATCATTGTAAGTACCCTCCCCTGGTCTACACTACATGTTGGCCCATCCAAACACCTGTAAGTACCCTCCCCTGGCCTACACTACATGTTGGCCCATCCAAACACCTGTAAGTACCCTCCCCTGGCCTACACTACATGTTGGCCAATCCAAACACCTCTAAGTACCCTCCCCTGGCCTACACTACATGTTGGCCCATCCAAACACCTGTAAGTACCCTCCCCTGGCCTACACTACATGTTGGCCCATCCAAACACCTGTAAGTACCCTCCCAACTCTGCTGGCCTACACTACATGTTGGCCCATCCAAACACCTGTAAGTACCCTCCCCTGGCCTACACTACATGTTGGCCCATCCAAACACCTGTAAGTACCCTCCCCTGGCCTACACTACATGTTGACCCATCCAAACACCTGTAAGTACCCTCCCCTGGCCTACACTACATGTTGGCCCATCCAAACACCTTTAAGTACCCTCCCCTGGCCTACACTACATGTTGGCCCATCCAAACACCTGTAAGTACCCTCCCCTGGCCTACACTACATGTTGGCCCATCCAAACACCATTGAGCCAATGAACAAAATTGGAAATAGTTGTATTTGAATAGCCACCAATTTGAAAGAGTTTTCTCATGTGCCACTGTATCTTTGTATTGTAACAGAACAACAGAGATGAGCTGATGTGTACCAACATTTGCAATGACAGTTGTCCAGCACCAAGTGGCCCTAAAAGTAGAAGGTGCTGGAATTCTCAAGCCGAGGCCTGCCAAAAAGATGCTGGTAGGTCACAGTCAAACAGTAGGTCACAGTCAAACAGTAGGTCACAGTCAAACACTAGGTCACAGTCAAACACTAGGTCACAGTCAAACACTAGGTCACAGTCAAACACTAGGTCACAGTCAAACACTAGGTCACAGTCAAACAGTAGGTCACAGTCAAACACTAGGTCACTAGTTGGTTTTAATGTTGTAGATGTAAGCAGCAAAAGGTTTCTGTTGTAGATGTAAGCAGCAAAAGTTTTTTGTTGTAGATGTAAGCAGCAAAAGTTTTCTGTTGTAGATGTAAGCAGCAAAATGTTTCTGTTGTAGATGTAAGCAGCAAAAGTTTTCTGTTGTAGATGTAAGCAGCAAAAGTTTTCTGTTGTAGATGTAAGCAGCAAAAGTTTTCTGTTGTAGATGTAAGCAGCAAAAGTTTTCTGTTGTAGATGTAAGCAGCAAAAGTTTTCTGTTGTAGATGTAAGCAGCAAAAGTTTTCTGTTGTAGATGTAAGCAGCAAAATGTTTCTGTTGTAGATGTAAGCAGCAAAAGTTTTCTGTTGTAGATGTAAGCAGCAAAAGTTTTCTGTTGTAGATGTAAGCAGCAAAAGTTTTCTGTTGTAGATGTAAGCAGCAAAAGTTTTCTGTTGTAGATGTAAGCAAAGTTTTCTGTTGTAGATGTAAGCAAAGTTTTCTGTTGTAGATGTAAGCAGCAAAAGTTTTTTGTTGTAGATGTAAGCAAAGTTTTCTGTTGTAGATGTAAGCAGCAAAAGTTTTCTGTTGTAGATGTAAGCAGCAAAAGTTTTTTGTTGTAGATGTAAGCAAAGTTTTCTGTTGTAGATGTAAGCAGCAAAAGTTTTTTGTTGTAGATGTAAGCAAAGTTTTCTGTTGTAGATGTAAGCAGCAAAAGTTTTCTGTTGTAGATGTAAGCAAAGTTTTCTGTTGTAGATGTAAGCAGCAAAAGTTTTCTGTTGTAGATGTAAGCAAAGTTTTCTGTTGTAGATGTAAGCAAAGTTTTCTGTTGTAGATGTAAGCAAAGTTTTCTGTTGTAGATGTAAGCAGCAAAAGTTTTTTGTTGTAGATGTAAGCAAAGTTTTCTGTTGTAGATGTAAGCAAAGTTTTCTGTTGTAGATGTAAGCAGCAAAATGTTTCTGTTGTAGATGTAAGCAGCAAAAGTTTTCTGTTGTAGATGTAAGCAGCAAAACCTTTCTGTTGTAGATGTAAGCAGCAAAAGTTTTCTGTTGTAGATGTAAGCAAAGTTTTCTGTTGTAGATGTAAGCAAAGTTTTCTGTTGTAGATGTAAGCAGCAAAAGTTTTCTGTTGTAGATGTAAGCAAAGTTTTCTGTTGTAGATGTAAGCAGCAAAATGTTTCTGTTGTAGATGTAAGCAGCAAAAGTTTTTTGTTGTAGATGTAAGCAGCAAAATGTTTCTGTTGTAGATGTAAGCAGCAAAAGTTTTCTGTTGTAGATGTAAGCAAAGTTTTCTGTTGTTGATGTAAGCAGCAAAAGTTTTCTGTTGTAGATGTAAGCAAAGTTTTCTGTTGTAGATGTAAGCAGCAAAAGTTTTCTGTTGTAGATGTAAGCAAAGTTTTCTGTTGTAGATGTAAGCAGCAAAAGTTTTCTGTTGTAGATGTAAGCAGCAAAAGTTTTCTGTTGTAGATGTAAGCAAAGTTTTCTGTTGTAGATGTAAGCAAAGTTTTCTGTTGTAGATGTAAGCAGCAAAAGTTTTTTGTTGTAGATGTAAGCAAAGTTTTCTGTTGTAGATGTAAGCAAAGTTTTCTGTTGTAGATGTAAGCAAAGTTTTCTGTTGTAGATGTAAGCAAAGTTTTCTGTTGTAGATGTAAGCAGCAAAACTTTTCTGTTGTAGATGTAAGCAGCAAAAGTTTTCTGTTGTAGATGTAAGCAAAGTTTTCTGTTGTAGATGTAAGCAGCAAAAGTTTTCTGTTGTAGATGTAAGCAAAGTTTTCTGTTGTAGATGTAAGCAAAGTTTTCTGTTGTAGATGTAAGCAAAGTCTTCTGTTGTAGATGTAAGCAAAGTTTTCTGTTGTAGATGTAAGCAAAGTTTTCTGTTGTAGATGTAAGCAAAGTTTTCTGTTGTAGGTGTAAGCAGCAAAAGTTTTCTGTTGTAGGTGTAAGCAAAGTTTTCTGTTGTAGATGTAAGCAAAGTTTTCTGTTGTAGATGTAAGCAGCAAAAGTTTTCTGTTGTAGGTGTAAGCAGCAAAAGTTTTCTGTTGTAGATGTAAGCAGCAAAAGGTTTCTGTTGTAGACGTAAGCAGCAAAAGTTTTCTGTTGTAGATGTAAGCAAAGTTTTCTGTTGTAGATGTAAGCAGCAAAAGTATTCTGTTGTAGATGTAAGCAGCAAAAGTTTTCTGTTGTAGATGTAAGCAGCAAAAGTTTTCTGTTGTAGATGTAAGCAGCAAAAGTTTTCTGTTGTAGATGTAAGCAGCAAAAGTTTTCTGTTGTAGATGTAAGCAGCAAAAGTTTTCTGTTGTAGATGTAAGCAAAGTTTTCTGTTGTAGATGTAAGCAAAGTTTTCTGTTGTAGATGTAAGCAAAGTTTTCTGTTGTAGATGTAAGCAGCAAAAGTTTTCTGTTGTAGATGTAAGCAGCTCCTGCCACAAGTACTGTTTGGGTGGATGTACTGGACCAAGCAAATCTCAGTGTATTGCCTGTACCAATGTCACTCTCAATGGTGAATGCTGGCCTTACTGCCCCAAAGGCACTTACATGGTAAACATCAACACTCAACACTTATAATATATCAAGTTTTAATGTATAATACAGGTATTTTAACATTTGTGTTTCAGTAGACTACAGGTATTTTAACATTTGTGTTTCAGTACCTGGACTTCAGGTATTTTAACATTTTTGTTTCAGTAGACTACAGGTATTTTAACATTTGTGTTTTAGTAGACTACAGGTATTTTAACATTTGTGTTTTAGTAGACTACAGGTATTTTAACATTTGTGTTTCAGTACCTGGACTTCAGGTATTTTAACATTTGTGTTTCAGTAGACTACAGGTATTTTAACATTTGTGTTTTAGTAGACTACAGGTATTTTAACATTTGTGTTTCAGTACATGAATTACAGGTGTCTTACAGACCATGAGTGTATGAAACTTAAGAAACACTTCCCTAGGGCTGGCACGCCAGAAAAAATTAGTCACAAACTTTATCATGGAGAGGAGGGCAAACCCAGCCAGTGTGTTTTCATGTGTCCACCCAACTTCATGGACAACCAAAATAATGATATTAAAGAATGTGTACCTTGTCAAGGTGTTTGCCCCAAAGGTTAGTGTTGTCATTTGTCTTCTATCTCAAGGTGTTTGTCACCTATGTGTGTCCTACTTATCTGTCTTGTCTGTGTGCCCTGCATGTCCTACAGATCTTTCACAAATGTGTGTCCTACACTTCTGTGTGTCCTACACTTCTGTGTGTCCTACACTTCTGTGTGTCCTACACTTCTGTGTGTCCTACACTTTTGTGTGTCCTACACTTCTGTGTGTCCTACACATCTGTGTGTCCTACACTTATGTGTGCCCTACACTTCCATGTGTCCTACACTTATGTGTGTCCTACACTTCCGTGTGTCCTACACTTATGTGTGTCCTACACTTCTGTGTGTCCTACACTTCTGTGTGTCCTACACTTCTGTGTGTCCTACACTTCTGTGTGTCCTACACTTCTGTGTGTCCTACACTTGTGTGTGTCCTACACTTGTGTGTGTCCTACACTTCTGTGTGTCCTACACTTCTGTGTGTCCTACACTTCTGTGTGTCCTACACTTCTGTGTGTCCTACACTTCTGTGTGTCCTACACTTGTGTGTGTCCTACACTTGTGTGTGTCCTACACTTCTGTGTGTCCTACACTTCTGTGTGTCCTACACTTCTGTGTGTCCTACACTTCTGTGTGTCCTACACTTCTGTGTGTCCTACACTTCTGTGTGTCCTACAATTGTGGCAACCCTCTAGTTATTGCTTGACAATACAACTGTCCTGTTACAGATTGTGAGAATAAAGGAACCATCAACAGAGTACAAGACACAGAATATTTATTTGGCTGCACAACTTTGAAGGGAAATTTGATCATTGTCCTGAGCTCTAAATCAAGTAAGTTGTACCAGCACACCAACAGGCTAGTCAGTTGTGTGACAGTGGGTTGTACCAGCACATCAACAGTTGTGTGACAGTGGGTTGTACCAGCACACCAACAGGCAAGTCAGTTGTGTGACAGTGAGTTGTACCAACAGGCAAGTCAGTTGTGTGACAGTGGGTTGTATCAGCACATCAACAGGCAAGTCAGTTGTGTGACAGTGGGTTGTACCAGCACACCAACAGTTGTGTGACAGTGGGTTGTACCAGCACACCAACAGTTGTGTGACAGTGGGTTGTACCAGCACATCAACAGTTGTGTGACAGTGGGTTGTACCAGCACACCAACAGTTGTGTGACAGTGGGTTGTACCAGCACACCAACAGTTGTGTGACAGTGGGTTGTATCAGCACATCAACAGGCAAGTCAGTTGTGTGACAGTGGGTTGTACCAGCACACCAACAGGCAAGTCAGTTGTGTGACAGTGGGTTGTACCAGCACACCAACAGTTGTGTGACAGTGGGTTGTACCAGCACACCAACAGTTGTGTGACAGTGGGTTGTACCAACAGGCAAGTCAGTTGTGTGACAGTGGGTTGTACCAACAGGCAAGTCAGTTGTGGTGTGACAGTGGGTTGTACCAGCACATCAACAGTTGTGTGACAGTGGGTTGTATCAGCACACCAACAGTTGTGTGACAGTGGGTTGTATCAGCACACCAACAGTTGTGTGACAGTGGGTTGTACCAGCACACCAACAGGCAAGTCAGTTGTGGTGTGACAGTGAGTTGTACCAACAGGCAAGTCAGTTGTGTGACAGTGGGTTGTACCAGCACACCAACAGGCAAGTCAGTTGTGTGACAGTGGGTTGTACCAGCACATCAACAGTTGTGTGACAGTGGGTTGTACCAGCACACCAACAGTTGTGTGACAGTGGGTTGTACCAGCACACCAACAGGCAAGTCAGTTGTGTGACAGTGGGTTGTACCAGCACACCAACAGTTGTGTGACAGTGGGTTGTACCAGCACACCAACAGTTGTGTGACAGTGGGTTGTACCAGCACACCAACAGTTGTGTGACAGTGGGTTGTACCAGCACATCAACAGTTGTGTGACAGTGGGTTGTACCAGCACACCAACAGTTGTGTGACAGTGGGTTGTACCAGCACACCAACAGGCAAGTCAGTTGTGTGACAGTGGGTTGTACCAGCACATCAACAGTTGTGTGACAGTTGGTTGTATCAGCACATCAACAGTTGTGTGACAGTGGGTTGTACCAGCACACCAACAGTTGTGTGACAGTGGGTTGTACCAGCACATCAACAGTTGTGTGACAGTGGGTTGTACCAGCATATCAACAGTTGTGTGACAGTGGGTTGTACCAGCACATCAACAGTTGTGTGACAGTGGGTTGTACCAGCATATCAACAGTTGTGTGACAGTGGGTTGTACCAGCACATCAACAGTTGTGTGACAGTGGGTTGTATCAGCACACCAACAGTTGTGTGACAGTGGGTTGTACCAGCACATCAACAGTTGTGTGACAGTGGGTTGTACCAGCACACCAACAGGCAAGTCAGTTGTGTGACAGTGGGTTGTACCAGCACATCAACAGTTGTGTGACAGTGGGTTGTACCAGCACATCAACAGTTGTGTGACAGTGGGTTGTACCAGCACACCAACAGGCAAGTCAGTTGTGTGACAGTGGGTTGTACCAGCACACCAACAGGCAAGTCAGTTGTGTGACAGTGGGTTGTACCAGCACATCAACAGTTGTGTGACAGTGGGTTGTATCAGCACATCAACAGTTGTTTGACAGTGGGTTGTATCAGCACATTAACAGGCAAGTCAGTTGTGGTGTGACAGTGAGTTGTACCAGCACACCAACAGTTGTGTGACAGTGGGTTGCACACATTGATGAATTCATTGATTGATTCAATTAGTGATGAGAGTAGAGATTGAATGATTGAACTATTGATGAGAGTAGAGATTGCAGATTGAACGCCTATGATTTCAGCCAACCTTCAGCAAGAGCTGACCAAGAACCTGGGCCTGCTACGGAATGTGACTGGCTACATTAAAATCATGTTCTCTGTCTCCCTGCTGAGTCTCAACTTCTTGAAGAGTCTGGAATACATAGGTGGCTCTTCACTAGTCCACCAGAAGTAAGACATCTATTGCTCAGATCTATAGGAATATATATTTTATAAGGGACACAGTGGTTGCTCATATCTATAGGAATATAGATTCTAGATTTTTTTAAAGGTGGCACGCAACATTGGATGATTTAACCAGTGCCTGTAGAATGTTGTTCATGTTTCTATCTAAAGACAATGTTGTTCATGTTTCTAACTAAAGACAATGTTGTTCATGTTTCTAACTAAAGACAATGTTGTTCATGTTTCTAACTAAAGACAATGTTGTTCATGTTTCTAACTAAAGTCAATGTTGTTCATGTTTCTAGCTAAAGACAATGTTGTTCATGTTTCTAACTAAAGACAATGTTGTTCATGTTTCTAGCTAAAGACAATGTTGTTCATGTTTCTAACTAAAGTCAATGTTGTTCATGTTTCTAGCTACAGTTTACTAGTGAAAGACAACATCAACCTTGAAAAACTGTTTCCAGAAGAACAGACAAAAAAATTGTTCATTAACAGAGGAGTGGTTAGTTTCCACGGCAACCGTAAACTGTGTATTAGAGAGATTGAAACCTTCAAAAACTTGACCCAGAGTCGACACAACACTTCATCAGTGACCTACGACTGGAACACCATGACAAATGGTGACAACAGCCCATGTAAGTTTTCCTCACTAGTTCTGGGTTAGCCACCCATTATGTACTGAGGCCACATTGTTAGGGTATCATCGTCCCCCCCACCCATTGTTTGCTGAGACCACTTGTCTAGCCCTAACCCCCCCCCCCCTCCATAATCTACACATGATTAGGGCCCCCCATTATGTACTGAGTGTACTGAGACCACATGTTTAGCCCCCCCCCCCCCATTCTGTACTGAGACCACATGTTTAGCCCCCCCCCCCCCCCCCCCCAACCACATGTTTAGCCCCCCCCACCCTTATTCTGTACTGAGACCACACGTTTAGGCCCCCCCCCACCCTCCATTCTGTACTGAGACCACATGTTTAGCCCCCCCCCCCCCCCCCCCATTCTGTACTGAGACCACACGTTTAGGCCCCCCCACCCCCATTCTGTACTGAGACCACATGTTTAGGGCCCCCCCACCCCCATTCTGTACTGAGACCACATGTTTAGGCCCCCCCCCCCCCATTCTGTACTGAGACCACATGTTTAGGGCCCCCCACCCCCATTCTGTACTGAGACCACATGTTTAGGCCCCCCCCCCCATTCTGTACTGAGACCACATGTTTAGGGCCCCCCAGCCCCATTCTGTACTGAGACCACATGTTTAGGGCCCCCCCAGCCCCATTCTGTACTGAGACCACATGTTTAGGCCTCCCCCATCCCCATTCTGTACTGAGACCACATGTTTAGGGTCCCCACCCCCATTCTGTACTGAGACCACATGTTTAGGGCTCCCCCCACCCCCATTCTGTACTGAGACCACATGTTTAGGGCCCCCCAGCCCCATTCTGTACTGAAACCACATGTTTAGCCCCCCCACCCCCATTCTGTACTGAGACCACATGTTTAGGCCCCCCCCCCACCCCCATTCTGTACTGAGACCACATGTTTAGGGCCCCCCCATTCTGTACTGAAACCACATGTTTAGGGCCCCCCCACCCCCATTCTGTACTGAGACCACATGTTTAGCCCCCCCCCCCCCATTCTGTACTGAGACCACATGTTTAGGGCCCCCCCACCCCCATTCTGTACTGAAACCACATGTTTAGGGCCCCCCCATCCCCATTCTGTACTGAGACCACATGTTTAGGGCCCCCCCACCCCCATTCTGTACTGAGACCACATGTTTACGGCCCCCCCACCCCCATTCTGTACTGAAACCACATGTTTAGGGCCCCCCACCCCCATTCTGTACTGAGACCACATGTTTAGGGCCCCCCCACCCCCATTCTGTACTGAGACCACATGTTTAGCCCCCCCCCACCTCCATTCTGTACTGAGACCACATGTTTAGCCCCCCCCCCACCTCCATTCTGTACTGAGACCACATGTTTAGCCCCCCCCCCCCCCCACCCCCATTCTGTACTGAGACCACATGTTTAGGGCCCCCCCACCCCCATTCTGTACTGAGACCACATGTTTAGCCCCCCCCCCCCCACCTCCATTCTGTACTGAGACCACATGTTTAGCCCCCCCCCCCCCACCTCCATTCTGTACTGAGACCACATGTTTAGCCCCCCGCCCCCGCCCCACCTCCATTCTGTACTGAGACCACATGTTTAGCCCCCCCCCCCCCCCCCCCCACCCCCATTCTGTACTGAGACCACATGTTTAGCCCCCCCCCCCACCTCCATTCTGTACTGAGACCACATGTTTAGGGCCCCCCCATTCTGTACTGAGACCACATGTTTAGCCCCCCCCCCCCATTCTGTACTGAGACCACATGTTTAGGGCCCCCCCACCCCCATTCTGTACTGAGACCACATGTTTAGGGCCCCCCCACCCCCATTCTGTACTGAGACCACATGTTTAGGGCCCCCCAGCCCCATTCTGTACTGAGACCACATGTTTAGCCCCCCCCCACCTCCATTCTGTACTGAGACCACATGTTTAGCCCCCCCCCCCACCTCCATTCTGTACTGAGACCACATGTTTAGCCCCCCCCCCCACCTCCATTCTGTACTGAGACCACATGTTTAGCCCCACCCCCATTCTGTACTGAGACCACATGTTTAGGCCCCCCCTCCATTCTGTACTGAGACCACATGTTTAGGCCCCACCCCCCACCCCCATTCTGTACTGAGACCACATGTTTAGGGCCCCCCCAGCCCCATTCTGTACTGAGACCACATGTTTAGGGCCCCCCAGCCCCATTCTGTACTGAGACCACATGTTTAGGCCCCCCCCCCCCCATTCTGTACTGAGACCACATGTTTAGGGCCCCCCCATTCTGTACTGAGACCACATGTTTAGGCCCCACCCCCCACCCCCATTCTGTACTGAGACCACATGTTTAGGCCCCCCCCCCCCCCCACCCCCATTCTGTACTGAGACCACATGTTTAGGCCCCCCCCCACCCCCATTCTGTACTGAGACCACATATGTTTCAGGTGATGAGGCCCTAATTCGCCTGACAGTGGAGAAAATGTTTAGCCCCCCCCCCCCCCCCATTCTGTACTGAGACCACATATGTTTCAGGTGATGAGGCCCTAATTCGCCTGACTGTGGAGAAAATGTTTAGCCCCCCCCCCCCCATTCTGTACTGAGACCACATATGTTTCAGGTGATGAGGCCCTAATTCGCCACATATGTTTCAGGTTATGAGGCCCTAATTCGCCACATATGTTTCAGGTGATGAGGCCCTAATTCGCCTGACTGTGGAGAAAATGAATGTCTTGCAAGTTGAGATCTCTCTCCATCTAGAGCTGCAGGATGGGGACACACGACGCATAGCAGGATACCAAATCTATTATAAAAATGTGTAAGTATAGCAGGATACCAAATCTATTATAAAAATGTGTAAGTATAGCAGGATACCAAATCTATTATAAAAATGTGTAAGTATAGCAGGATATCAAATCTATTATAAAAATGTGTAAGTATAGCAGGATATCAAATCTATTATAAAAATGTGTAAGTATAGCAGGATACCAAATCTATTATAAAAATGTGTAAGTATAGCAGGATATCAAATCTATTATAAAAATGTGTAATTATAGCAGGATATCAAATCTATTATAAAAATGTGTAAGTATTGCAGGATACCAAATCTATTATAAAATGTGTAAGTATAGCAGGATATCAAATCTATTATAAAAATGTGTAAGTATAGCAGGATATCAAATCTATTATAAAAATGTGTAAGTATAGCAGGATACCAAATCTATTATAAAAATGTGTAAGTATAGCAGGATACCAAATCTATTATAAAAATGTGTAAGTATAGCAGGATACCAAATCTATTATAAAAATGTGTAAGTATAGCAGGATATCAAATCTATTATAAAAATGTGTAAGTATAGCAGGATATCAAATCTATTATAAAAATGTGTAAGTATAGCAGGATATCAAATCTATTATAAAAATGTGTAAGTATAGCAGGATATCAAATCTATTATAAAAATGTGTAAGTATAGCAGGTAATCAAATCTATTATAAAAATGTGTAAGTATAGCAGGATACCAAATCTATTATAAAAATGTGTAAGTATAGCAGGATACCAAATCTATTATAAAAATGTGTAAGTATAGCAGGATATCAAATCTATTATAAAAATGTGTAAGTATAGCAGGATATCAAATCTATTATAAAAATGTGTAAGTATAGCAGGATACCAAATCTATTATAAAAATGTGTAAGTATAGCAGGATACCAAATCTATTATAAAAATGTGTAAGTATAGCAGGATATCAAATCTATTATAAAAATGTGTAAGTATAGCAGGATATGAAATCTATTATAAAAATGTGTAAGTATAGCAGGATATCAAATCTATTATAAAAATGTGTAAGTATAGCAGGATATCAAATCTATTATAAAAATGTGTAAGTATAGCAGGATATCAAATCTATTATAAAAATGTGTAAGTATAGCAGGATATCAAATCTATTATAAAAATGTGTAAGTATAGCAGGATATCAAATCTATTATAAAAATGTGTAAGTATAGCAGGATACCAAATCTATTATAAAAATGTGTAAGTATAGCAGGATACCAAATCTATTATAAAAATGTGTAAGTATAGCAGGATATCAAATCTATTATAAAAATGTGTAAGTATAGCAGGATATCAAATCTATTATAAAAATGTGTAAGTATAGCAGGATATCAAATCTATTATAAAAATGTGTAAGTATAGCAGGATACCAAATCTATTATAAAAATGTGTAAGTATAGCAGGATACCAAATCTATTATAAAAATGTGTAAGTATAGCAGGATATCAAATCTATTATAAAAATGTGTAAGTATAGCAGGATACCAAATCTATTATAAAAATGTGTAAGTATAGCAGGATACCAAATCTATTATAAAAATGTGTAAGTATAGCAGGATATCAAATCTATTATAAAAAAGTGTAAGTATAGCAGGATATCAAATCTATTATAAAAATGTGTAAGTATAGCAGGATATCAAATCTATTATAAAAATGTGTAAGTATAGCAGGATATCAAATCTATTATAAAAATGTGTAAGTATAGCAGGATATCAAATCTATTATAAAAATGTGTAAGTATAGCAGGATATCAAATCTATTATAAAAATGTGTAAGTATAGCAGGATATCAAATCTATTATAAAAATGTGTAAGTATAGCAGGATACCAAATCTATTATAAAAATGTGTAAGTATAGCAGGATACCAAATCTATTATAAAAATGTGTAAGTATAGCAGGATATCAAATCTATTATAAAAATGTGTAAGTATAGCAGGATATCAAATCTATTATAAAAATGTGTAAGTATAGCAGGATATCAAATCTATTATAAAAATGTGTAAGTATAGCAGGATACCAAATCTATTATAAAAATGTGTAAGTATAGCAGGATACCAAATCTATTATAAAAATGTGTAAGTATAGCAGGATATCAAATCTATTATAAAAATGTGTAAGTATAGCAGGATACCAAATCTATTATAAAAATGTGTAAGTATAGCAGGATACCAAATCTATTATAAAAATGTGTAAGTATAGCAGGATATCAAATCTATTATAAAAATGTGTAAGTATAGCAGGATATCAAATCTATTATAAAAATGTGTAAGTATAGCAGGATACCAAATCTATTATAAAAAAGTGTAAGTATAGCAGGATATCAAATCTATTATAAAAATGTGTAAGTATAGCAGGATATCAAATCTATTATAAAAAAGTGTAAGCATATCTTTTAAAAAGCCATGTTGTATTGTGAAAATTGTTTTTGCTGTACAAAGTGATGCTAAAGGAAGTCTCTGTGTATAAAGTTATGTTTCAATGACGGTTGTTTAGTCATATGATGTATCTAGACATGATCTCAGCACTGAGAGCAAACCTAACAGGTAGATAATGTTTTGCTCAGCACAGAGCCAGTGAATAACATCTATCAAAACCTAACAGGTAGCTAATATTTTGCTCAGCACATGGCCAGTGAATAACATCTATCAAAACCTAACAGGTAGATAATGTTTTGCTCAGCACATGGCCAGTGAATAACATCTATGAGAGAAAACCTAACAGGTAGCTAATATTTTGCTCAGCACAGAGCCAGTGAACAACATCTATGAGATCAAGGACGCCTGCTCCACCTCTGCCTGGATGACAGACTGGGTCTCACTAGAGACCAAGACCTACAACATCACCCATCTCAATGCTGACACTGTCTATGCTGTCTATGTCGAGGCTACCAATCTTGCTTCTGCTACAACAACAGCCGTCTCTAAAGTGGTCTACTTCAGAACTTCTCCCAGCGGTAGGTTTTTTAACCCTGTCTAACTTGGTCAGGTTAGAACATATTTAGTAATAATGCTTACCCACCTAGATAGCTAGCAGCAGCTATATTACATGGCTTACCCACCTAGATAACTAGCTGCAGCTATATTACATGGGTTACCCACCTAGATAACTAGCTGCAGCTATATTACATGGGTTACCCACCTAGATAACTAGCTGCAGCTATATTACATGGGTTACCCACCTAGATAACTAGCTGCAGCTATATTACAAATATTTGTAAGTTGTGCAATAAGTTTTCCATATTTAAGTCAAACAAGATGCCGTGCCAAAACTTAATATGATCAAATATAATGTACAGGGTTCGTACGCAGTCTGGAAAGTGGAAAAAGTCTTGAATTCAGAAAAATGAATTCCAGACTTTAAAAAGTCTGGAAAATCACTTGTTTTTGGGCTGTATTTTTTAAAAGTCTGGAAAAAGTCTGGAATCTAGTTTTAGAAACAAAACTTCTAAGTCCATATTTTCCAACTTAAAAAATTTCTATTTTTAAGTGAATATACTCCAATTTTTCCCCGCTAAACTACCCCGCCCCTCCTTGTAACTATGGTCACTTGTGTGAACTCACCATGACCCTAATTGCGTAGTTGGTACATCTTGGTAGTTGGTACAGCTTGGTAGTTGGTACATCTTGGTAGTGGTACATCTTGGTAGTTGGTACATCTTGGTAGTTGGTACATCTTGGTAGTGGTACATCTTGGTAGTTGGTACATCTTGGTAGTTGGTACAGCTTGGTAGTTGGTACAGCTTGGTAGTGGTACATCTTGGTAGTTGGTACAGCTTGGTAGTTGGTACATCTTGGTAGTTGGTACAGCTTGGTAGTTGGTACAGCTTGGTAGTGGTACATCTTGGTAGTTGGTACAGCTTGGTAGTTGGTACATCTTGGTAGTTGGTACAGCTTGGTAGTTGGTACATCTTGGTAGTTGGTACAGCTTGGTAGTTGGTACAGCTTGGTAGTTGGTACATCTTGGTAGTGGTACATCTTGGTAGTTGGTACAGCTTGGTAGTTGGTACAGCTTGGTAGTTGGTACAGCTTGGTAGTTGGTACATCTTGGTAGTGGTACATCTTGGTAGTTGGTACAGCTTGGTAGTTGGTACAGCTTGGTAGTTGGTACATCTTGGTAGTGGTACATCTTGGTAGTTGGTACAGCTTGGTAGTTGGTACATCTTGGTAGTTGGTACAGCTTGGTAGTTGGTACAGCTTGGTAGTTGGTACATCTTGGTAGTGGTACATCTTGGTAGTTGGTACAGCTTGGTAGTTGGTACAGCTTGGTAGTTGGTACAGCTTGGTAGTTGGTACTGCTTGGTAGTTGGTACAGCTTGGTAGTTGGTGCAGCTTGGTAGTTGGTACATCTTGGTAGTTGGTACATCTTGGTAGTTGGTACAGCTTGGTAGTTGGTACAGCTTGGTAGTTGGTACATCTTGGTAGTTGGTACAGCTTGGTAGTTGGTACAGCTTGGTAGTTGGTACATCTTGGTAGTTGGTACATCTTGGTAGTTGGTACATCTTGGTAGTTGGTACAGCTTGGTAGTTGGTACATCTTGGTAGTTGGTACAACTTGGTAAAGAGGGTGGGGAGGGTATAAGTCACATCACAGTGAGTTCATGCTGTGAGGTATTAAACAGGCATACTGAAGACTAGACTACTATGACCTCACAGTGACCCCCTTCACTGGGTCTTGGGGGGAAGAGAATACCTGCAATTTTTTATTGCAGACCTCAGCTATAAGCATCAGTGAATGATGTGGTTACAGCCTGCAGAATGGTTGTTTTTTTTTCTCCAAATTTTTCTGTACTAGTAGCCTATATTAGGCTACTCAACAAGAGCAGACCTAATTTAATACATTACATTATTATTCTTTAAAGTAATTAACTCTCACTATTATGCAATACCATTTTAATAATGGTTTTATTGAAAGCATAAGCAATTAGATCAGGAACAGATTACATAAGTCTAATGTTGGAAACAAAATAGTTGCATCATTTTAATCCATTTTTTTAATTGTTAAAATTTTAGGGGGAGTGAGTGGAGTAGGCAAACTTAGAAGAAAAGTGATTTTCTGTCAATTTAGCTAGAGAAAGTTCAATATAAATAAAGCTCAATTGCCTAAAATAAATGTCAATGTAGTATAAGTAATTATAATGAGAGTACAAATGTTGCATCATTTTATAAATCATTCGCTAACACATTATCTGTATAAAGTCAGGAATTTTTCCAAAAATGTCTGGAAAAAGTCTGGAAAGTACTGACCTTATGATATTAAAATCTATTTGAAAAATGTCTTGTTCTGTAAAGTTTGTTAGACAGACTTTTTAAAAATTCATGATCAATTTTTAAAAAATCTGTGTCTGAAACATTCATTTGCAGTAGATTTCAATGTCTGTGTTACCCCTGTATAGCAACCTCCAGCTATATGATCTTGCTGTATACCTCCACATTTGTTCCAGTGCCCAAGGAACCAGTTGAACTCAAGTTCAGCTCCACAGACCCTCATGAGATGGTTGTATCCTGGAAACCCCCTCTAGAAACCAATGGCAATGTGACCCACTACAAAGTCTTGTCCAGACTCCAGCCATGGAACAATGCCAGTTTCCACCAGATGGACAAATGTAAAAGTCAGTCTTGGGCTTTACACACTTTTTATATTGATTGGCCAACACTTGTACCCCAGATGTTATGATTGTCACTTCAAACAGTATGATTGTCACTTCAAACATTATCATTGTAATTCAAACAATATGATTGTCACTTCAAACAGTATGATTGTCACTTCAAACAGTATGATTGTAATTCAAACAGTATGATTGTAATTCAAACAATATGATTGTCACTTCAAACAGTATGATTGTCACTTCAAACAGTATGATTGTCACTTCAAACAGTATGATTGTAATTCAAACAGTATGATTGTCACTTCAAACAGTATGATTGTCACTTCAAACAGTATGATTGTCACTTCAAACAGTATGATTGTAATTCAAACAGTATGATTGTAATTCAAACAGTATGATTGTCACTTCAAACAGTATGATTGTAATTCAAACAGTATGATTGTAAATCAAACATTATGCTTGTACTTCAGATATGACTGTGACTTCAGACATTGTGATTGTGACTTTAACATTGTGACTGTGGACTGACTGCCATCATGTATTTGTAGGTGATGGTTATGTGTTGGCAAAAAGAGAAGAAAAGGTAAAAGAGGAGGATAAAGAAGATGTAAATCTAAACGAAACGTGCTGTGCTTGTCCCAAATCCCCTGGCAATGACTATGATGAAACTATCTTGATACTTGATGTTTATTTTGAGGATCACATTCAAGGCATTGTTTACATCAGGTCAGCTACCATTGCCGTATTTCCTTGAGGTTTATCTAGTCAACTGGCACTCTATACCCATGAAAATGTTTTTACTTAAATTCTGCCACACCCCCACCTCCCACCCTTGAAACTGTTGAAAATGTATTTTTTATCCTTTGCCTCTTCCCCTCCACCCCTAAAAATGTTTGATACATAAACCCCCAGCCATGTTTTATAAATGTAAACATCTTCCCCTCCACCCCTAAAAATGTTTGATACATAAACCCCCAGCCATGTTTTATAAATGTAAACATCTTCCTTTGACTTGTCTGAACATCTCTGTAGGCCACTGGCATGTTTTTTAAATGTAAACATCTTCCTTTGACTTGTCTGAACATCTCTGTAGGCCACTGGCATGTTTTTTAAATGTAAACATCTTCCTCTGACTTGTCTGAACATCTCTGTAGGCCACTGGCATGTTTTATAAATGTAAACATCTTCCTCTGACTTGTCTGAACATCTCTGTAGGCCACTGGCATGTTTTATAAATGTAAACATCTTCCTCTGACTTGTCTGAACATCTCTGTAGGCCACTGGCAGAGACTGGGAAATGTGTCAACACCAGCCAGCTTCACCTGCCACGTAATAACACACCTGAGGAGCACAGCCCTCAGCCCCAGCAGGAGGAGCGCATCATCCAGCCTGTGTACAGGAAGTCTGGCCTGGACTTCTCCGACCCTATCACGCATCACGACCTGCCAAAGGTCGAGATAAAGAGGAACTCAAGCGTGTCCACCAGCTCCAGTTTACCTGGGGACAACAGCAGCAGTGGCAGTGATCCCAACAAGAACCTGGAGGTCATCGTCTACGACACTCACATCACCCTCACCAACCTAGAACATTACCATAGGTATCATATTGAGGTAGGCACACCCTCACCAACCTAGAACATTACCATAGGTATCATATGTAGGTAATCCCTCCCTCACCAACCTAGAACATTACCATAGGTATCATATTGAGGTAGGCACACCCTCACCAACCTAGAATATTACCATAGGTATCATATTGAGGTAGGCACTCCCTCACCAACCTAGAACATTACCATAGGTATCATATTGAGGTAGGCCCTCCCTCCCCCACCTAGAACATTACCATAGGTATCATATTGAGATAGGCACACCCTCACCAACCTAGAACATTACCATAGGTATCATATTGAGGTAGGCACACCCTCACCAACCTAGAGCATTACCATAGGTATCATATTGAGATAGGCACACCCTCACAAACCTAGAACTAGAACATTACCATAGGTATCATATTGAGGTAGGCACACCCTCACCAACCTAGAACATTACCATAGGTATCATATTGAGGTAGGCACACCCTCACCAACCTAGAGCATTACCATAGGTATCATATTGAGATAGGCACACCCTCACCAACCTAGAGCATTACCATAGGTATCATATTGAGGTAGGCACACCCTCCCCCACCTAGAACATTACCATAGGTATCATATTGAGGTAGGCACACCTTCACCAACCTAGAATATTACCATAGGTATCATATTGAGGTAGGCACACCCTCACAAACCTAGAACTAGAACATTACCATAGGTATCATATTGAGGTAGGCACACCCTCACCAACCTAGAACATTACCATAGGTATCATATTGAGGTAGGCCCTCCCTCACCAACCTAGAACATTACCATAGGTATCATATGTAGGTAGGCACACCCTCCCCCACCTAGGACCCTACCAATGATGACTGATACATTTGTTGCAGGTGATTGCCTGTCATGAAACTGACCCAGTGACCAACAAAAAACTTTGTGGGAAAAGTGCAGTAGGTTCCAGTGTAACCATGCCTGATGGTAAGTTGGTCTCCTGTGTAACCATGCCTGTGTCACCAGTTGTATAGTTGTAATAGACTTTTCACCTGCCTTGTCAACTGACTGAATGTTTTGAACAGTTGTGTCACCAGTTGTATAGTTGTAATAGACTTTTCACCTGCCTTGTCAACTGACTGAATGTTTTGAACAGTTGTGTCACCAGTTGTATAGTTGTAATAGACTTTTCACCTGCCTTGTAAACTGACTGAATGTTTTGAACAGTTCAGGCTGATAACATCAACAGCTCTCTGGTCAGTGTGCAAGTACTGTCCAGAGATGTGCTGGTCAGGTGGGAGCCACCCCCTCACCCCAATGGACTTTTGCTCATGTACAACATTCAAGTCAAGAAAATGGTTGAAGTTGAGGTCAGCATCTTGTTTAACCTTTCAGCATTCAGCTTTGTAGTTGTAGTGTTGAGCACATGTCATGTCATCAGCCATATCAAGTTGTAGTGTTGAGCACTTGTCATTAGCACATGTCATCAGCGGTCATGAGGTTGATTTTTAGTCATGAAATACCACTAACCAGATTAGCAGGTTTAACAATTGACCTTGTTGACCACATGTCTAGCTGACCACATGTCTAACTGACCACATGTCTAACTGACCACATGTCTAACTGACCACATGTCTAGCTGACCACATGTCTAACTGACCAGTCTAGCTGACCACATGTCTAGCTGACCACATGTCTAACTGACCACATGTCTAACTGGCCACATGTCTAACTGACCACATGTCTAACTGACCACATGTCTAGCTGACCACATGTCTAGCTGACCACATGTCTAGATGACCACATGTCTAACTGACCACATGTCTAACTGACCACATGTCTAGCTGACCACATGTCTAGCTGACCACATGTCTAGCTGACCACATGTCTAGCTGACCACATGTCTAGCTGATCACATGTTTAACTGACCACATGTCTAACTGACCACATGTCTAACTGACCACATGTCTAACTGACCACATGTCTAGCTGACCACATGTCTAGCTGACCAGTCTAGCTGACCACATGTCTAACTGACCACATGTCTAGCTGACCACATGTCTAACTGACCACATGTCTAGCTGACCACATGTCTAATAGAACCTATATTTCCTATAGATCAAGCCAACCACCTTTTGTGTAAGTTTGCTGGAGTACATGAACTCAAGCAAGAGCTATTTGCTGAAGGACTTTGGGCCAGGAAATTATTCCCTGCAGATTCGGGCAATATCATTGGCTGGGAATGGCACATACACACCAGCTGTTTACTTCCAGGTGTATCAGGGTGGGTTCTTTCATTCCTCTCTCACCTGTCTAGACCAGGTGTATCAGGGTGGGTTCTTTCATTCCTCTCTCACCTGTCTAGACCAGGTGTATCAGGGTGGGTTCTTTCATTCCTCTCTCACCTGTCTAGACCAGGTGTATCAGGGTGGGTTCTTTCATTCCTCTCTCACCTGTCTAGACCAGGTGTATCAGGGTGGGTTCTTTCATTCCTCTCTCACCTGTCTAGACCAGGTGTATCAGGGTGGGTTCTTTCATTCCTCTCTCACCTGTCTAGACCAGGTGTATCAGGGTGGGTTCTTTCATTCCTCTCTCACCTGTCTAGACCAGGTGTATCAGGGTGGGTTCTTTCATTCCTCTCTCACCTGTCTAGACCAGGTGTATCAGGGTGGGTTCTTTCATTCCTCTATCACCTGTCTAGACCAGGTGTATCAGGGTGGGTTCTTTCATTCCTCTCTCACCTGTCTAGACCAGGTGTATCAGGGTGGGTTCTTTCATTCCTCTCTCACCTGTCTAGACCAGGTGTATCAGGGTGGGTTCTTTCATTCCTCTCTCACCTGTCTAGACCAGGTGTATCAAGGTGGGTTCTTTCATTCCTCTCTCACCTGTCTAGACCAGGTGTATCAGGGTGGGTTCTTTCATTCCTCTCTCACCTGTCTAGACCAGGTGTATCAGGGTGGGTTCTTTCATTCCTCTCTCACCTGTCTAGACCAGGTGTATCAAGGTTGGTTCTTTCATTCCTCTCTCACCTGTCTGGCTAGGCTTTAAGAGTTGAGCTGCCAGACCTCTGAAAGTTTGTTTTATTTTTCAGATTCCCCAGACTCTCCAACCAACATGCTTGTGGGAATAATTGTTGCAGCCGTTGCTCTCATTTCTTTGGTTGTCATTATTGTTTTTGTCCGTCTCAGGTATGGTTAGGCTTTCCTATTATCTAAAGACTTTCTCCATTTTAGTACCAACATGGGAGGGGTGGGGGTAGGAACAGGCTCCAAGAATAAGTGGCTGATACTTTACAGAAGTACTCATGCCTAACAAAACATTTGCTTTGGGAGGGGTGTGCATCACATATACCAAGGAAGGGGTATGCATCATATATACCAGGGAAGGGGTGTGCACCACATATACCAAGGGAGGGATATGCACGACAAATATCTCCCTAACATTTGTTTCCTACTGCTATCAGCCCAAATCTTCCCAGTATGTTTTCCATAAAGATCTGACACCTGCCTTCTATTGTATATGGCTAAAAAATCCTTTGACCAACCTACATTTTTTTCTGCAGGTCCAAACGTAAGGCTGCAGTGATAGTGTCGCAAAATGCAAACTATATCCCTACAGAATTGTGTAAGTCTTTTTTTATTTACACCATCAGATGGCCCATCATGTACATGTGACAGCTGGGCCAATGTGAACAAAATGTGACAGCTGGGCCAATGTGTACATGTGACAGCTGGGCCAATGTGTACATGTGACAGCTGGGCCAATGTGTACATGTGACAGCTGGGCCAATGTGTACAACATGTGACAGCTGGGCCAATGTGTACAGCATGTGACAGCTGGGCCAATGTGTACAACATGTGACAGCTGGGCCAATGTGTACATGTGACAGCTGGGCCAATGTGTACAACATGTGACAGCTGGGCCAATGTGTACATGTGACAGCTGGGCCAATGTGTATAGGTGACAGCTGGGCCAATGTGTACATGTGACAGCTGGGCCAATGTGTACAACATGTGACAGCTGGGCCAATGTGTACATGTGACAGCTGGGCCAATGTGTACAACATGTGACAGCTGGGCCAATGTGTACATGTGACAGCTGGGCCAATGTGTATAGGTGACAGCTGGGCCAATGTGTACATGTGACAGCTGGGCCAATGTGTACAACATGTGACAGCTGGGCCAATGTGTACAACATGTGACAGCTGGGCCAATGTGTACATGTGACAGCTGGGCCAATGTGTACAACATGTGACAGCTGGGCCAATGTGTACATGTGACAGCTGGGCCAATGTGTACATGTGACAGCTGGGCCAATGTGTACATGTGACAGCTGGGCCAATGTGTACAGCATGTGACAGCTGGGCCAATGTGTACATGTGACAGCTGGGCCAATGTGTATAGTTACAGATATTATATTGTAGTGTAGTGAAGCTATAGTTACAGATATTATATTGTAGTGTAGTGAAACTATAGTTACATATATTATATTGTAGTGTAGTGAAACTATAGTTACAGATATTATATTGTAGTGTAGTGAAACTATAGTTACAGATATTATATTGTAGTGTAGTGAAATTATAGTTACAGATATTATATTGTAGTGTACTCTGCTGATGAATGGGAGATTCCCAGAGAAAACATACGTCTAATCAAAGAATTAGGTCAAGGCTCTTTTGGAACTGTTTTTGAAGGATTGATGGACGACCCTGAGTTCAAGTGCAGTATTCCAGTTGCTATAAAGGTAGTTTTATCAACCATTTGTTAGTTAGTGGTAGCTGTATATATAAGTGAAGGTTGCTACTTAATTAAGGTGGGTTTATTATAAATAAACTAGTCCAAAACACATGAAGTAAAGAAGACATTTAGCCACTGTGGTCTCCGTCAGCCTTGTCATACATTTGCTGTAGGAACAATGATGTTTGCAAGTGCTTAATCGCAATAAACAAACAGAGGATAAAATATACATCACTTGTTTTGGTCCACTGCAATCTATATTTTGCTTCTAAATTGTAGACAAATATATGTTTACAATGTTGAATCAAAGTTTGATCCATTTGATCCAATGCTGTTTGTTGAGGGGTGTTGCCATGATAGAATGGAGCACACTGTTTGTTGAGGGGTGTTGCCATGATAGAATGGAGCACACTGTTTGTTGAGGGGTGTTGCCATGATAGAATGGAGCACACTTTTTGTTGAGGGGTGTTGCCATGATAGAATGGAGCACACTGTTTGTTGAGGGGTGTTGCCATGATAGAATGGAGCACACTTTTTGTTGAGGGGTGTTGCCATGATAGAATGGAGCACACTGTTTGTTGAGGGGTGTTGCCATGATAGAATGGAGCACACTGTTTGTTGAGGGGTGTTGCCATGATAGAATGGAGCACACTGTTTGTTGAGGGGTGTTGCCATGATAGAATGGAGCACACTGTTTGTTGAGGGGTGTTGCCATGATAGAATGGAGCACACTGTTTGTTGAGGGGTGTTGCCATGATAGAATGGAGCACACTGTTTGTTGAGGGGTGTTGCCATGATAGAATGGAGCACACTGTTTGTTGAGGGGTGTTGCCATGATAGAATGGAGCACACTGTTTGTTGAGGGGTGTTGCAATGATAGAATGGAGCACACAAAAGTTTTTTTTTCTTGTTTGAAGATGGCACAAAAAATATAATTTTTAAATGCATTATATCTGGGTCAAGGTTAGTGCAAGAGGTTAGTTCTAGGGTTAGTCTAAGAAAAATATTAATGATCTTTATGTTGGAGACAATGTGTTGACTCAGTAGTTTAGTATAAAGTTGTGTAACCAACTCACATTCTTGTTTCAATGTGTTGACTCAGTAGTTTAGTATAAAGTTGTATAACCAACTCACATTCTTGTTTCAATGAACAGACTGTTGGAGACAAAGCTGACTTCCATGAGAGGCTCAAAATATTAAAGGAAGCAACAACCATGAAGTAAGCTGAAAACTTGTCATGTCAAAATGTGGGAAACTTGTCAGGTCTAAATGTGTGAAACTTGTCAGGTCTAAATGTGGGAAACTTGTCAGGTCTAAATGTGTGAAACTTGTCAGGTCTAAATGTGGGAAACTTGTCAGGTCTAAATGTGTGAAACTTGTCAGCTCTAAATGTGGGAAACTTGTCAGGTCTAAATGTGGGAAACTTGTCAGGTGTAGAGTAACCTACCATATGAGTGTATTAATCCACTAGAGTAACCTACCATATGAGTGTATTAATCCACCAGAGTTTTTGAGTGCCATCATGTGGTCAAGCTGCTTGGTGTTGTATCCAAAAGTCAGCCTGCCCTTATCATCATGGAGCTCATGTCATTGGGTGACCTGCGCAATCATTTACGCAAGTGTCGCATGGAACAAGAGGTAAGTTTTATATGAGAGGAGGCTAGTTTTTGTATGAGAGGGGGCTAGTTTTATATGAGAGGGGGCTAGTTTTATATGATAGGGGCTAGTTTTATGTGAGAGGGGGCTAGTTTTATGTGAGAGGGGGCTAGTTTTATATGAGAGGGGGCTAGTTTTATATGAGAGGGGGCTATTTTTTGTATGAGAGGGGGCTAGTTTTATGTGAGAGGGGTCTAGTTTTATATGAGAGGGGGTTAGTTTTATGTGAGAGGGGGCTAGTTTTATGTGAGAGGGGGTTAGTTTTATATGAGAGGAGGCTAGTTTTATGTGAGAGGGGGCTAGTTTTATGTGAGAGGGGACTAGTTTTATGTGAGAGGAGGCTAGTTTTATATGAGAGGGGGCTAGTTTAATGTGAGAGGTCTTTTTGTGTCTGTCTGACCCAGTCGCCCTGTCTTTCCTAGGAGTTCCCAGACTTCCAGCCACCAACTGTGAGTGAGATTTACCAAATGGCAGGTGAGATTGCAGATGGCATGGCTTACCTGGCCCACAGAAAGATAGTTCACAGAGACCTGGCCGCTAGGAACTGTCTTGTTGCTGAAGACAGAACTGTCAAAATTGCTGGTAAATGGTAGACTTAGAGCTTGCTACAAACTTTCTGTTAGGGTAGACTTAGAGCTTGCTACAAACTTTCTGTTATGGTAGACTTAGAGCTTGCTACAAACTTTCTGGTAGACTTAGAGCTTGCTACAAACTTTCTGTTATGGTAGACTTAGAGCTTGCTACAAACTTTCTGTTAGGGTAGACTTAGAGCTTGCTACAAACTTTCTGTTATGGTAGAGCTACAACCATTGTGTTATGACCTATGACCTTCCTTCTTGTGCCCAGATTTTGGTATGGCCAGAGATGTGTATATGACAGAGTACTATAGAAAAGATCAGCGCGCTCTTCTACCTGTACGTTGGATGGCACCAGAGTCCTTGAAAGATGGAATTTTTACCACCATGTCTGATGTATGGTAAGTCTTCAACTTGTCCTAAATGTTGTCCTACAGGATCTTTACCATCTCAACACAGCTTAAGGACATGGGCGGGTGTACTTTTCGTCATAAATCCACTAAATCATCGATTTCCCACTTTTACTTGATCTATACAGAATATCCATCGTTGAATCTAAAAATGACATTGTTATGACCCTAAAAACAGTATTTATTTATAAACAAGTAATTAAAAAAAGTCTAGTGACAATTTTAGCGCAATTTCCGTGTGTTATCTAAAAATAGCTCTGTCGTAGCGTAAATCAAGAGCAGGGTTAGTAAAACCATTGGTTAGTTATTAAAACGTTTTTTATTAATTTTTTTTTCAGTATTTTACATGTTTTATTTACAATAGAGTAACATGACTAAAAATCATTGCGCGCCCAGCTAACGAACGTGACGTCGCAGCCATTGAACGTGATGGCGCAGCTATTGAACGTGATGACGCGTGTGGTGTGGTTGGATAAATATGCCTACTAATTCGGTCCAAATTTTAATTAATTAAAAAAAAATGTTGTGACCGAACGAAAGGATATTTTTGAAAACTTTCTTCGGCAATATTGTTCTAAATTATGGCAGGAATCGATTGGTACATGTTTCAAGTCGCTAAGTGGTCTGGTTGCCGAGATATGGGCCAAAAACTGCTTTTTTTCGAGGTTTTTTGGCTTTTCCGGGAAATCCATGAAAGAAACCCGGAATTTTTATGGCCTATGTTCATCCTCGTAACTTGCTTAACATAATTGCTTTTGGAACTAGTCATCGATATTGCTTCGTTGAGGAGGAGAAACGACTTAAAGCTGCGGACACACATCCATCCATTCATTCATACATTCATACATCCAGAAATGACGGGTTAATAAACGCAATTCTCCAGAATGGAAATTGCGCTAAAAACCGGGTTCAAAGTAGTGTGTACAGGGTCATTTGTTAATTTTTTGGTAAAATTAGCCATTTTTCGACCTAGAAAAGTACTATTAGGCTTCACGGAAACCTAATGTGTTTCATATCAATGGAAAGGCCGTGACCTCCTTTCTTTATTTGTTCTAAAATTAAAGGACCAATCAAAATACTTATTTTAATGTGATTATTTTTCTACGTCATAAACTTGTTTATTTTACTCAGTCGGGTTTTTCCGGTATGCAAATTTTGACCTCAATTTTTTCATTGGCGTTCAACGGCGGAAGCTAGTTAGTGATTGGTCGTTTCGCTTCGGAAGTAAACATTCCCTTAGTTTCAGCGCGTTGCTAAGTTTGATCTAGTTTTGTTTCTCTAAGCTTCTGTGAAATACTTACATTATTTTAACATATAATTATTTCAATTAAATATACTATTAACAGTTTAGATTAGTTTGTGTGAATTATCATAAGCAGTGAGACGATTTAATTTGTTTCTCTTTCGATAATGGGTAGAATAAAACACTCGCTAAAAATAGATACACACAAACATCTAACTAATTTACTAAAGCAAGGGCACGTCCGAATGCAACTGATTGCAGCTACCTCTACTCAATCTAGCACTATTCAACAAGCACTGGTGCAGATGTAATATGCACATTTACTAAGAAACTGCGACAATTTAAGACACAGTTTTTACAGACAGAAGAAAGCACTGTTACATCTAGTACTGGTAGTGCTAATTGTAAACCACAGCCATGCAGAATTATTGTCGAATGTGATTTGCTTCTTGATGTTATCAATACATTTCCTCGCCCACTGTGATGTAGTGGCTACTATTGATGAAAACAGTGTAAAGGGTTTGCTTCAAGCATGGTGTGGCAGTAATAAAAATGTTGTAAACCGTAAGTATACAACTGCAAAAGAATCCAGAACAAGGCCATTCACAATAAACAAAGACATCGTCTTATCATAATTGGCTTTAGCAGTGGCGTAGTTTGAGAGGGGTGCAAATCGAAAGTTTGAGGGGGGGGTGCAAATCGAAAGTTTGTCCCCGGGTAAAAATTGGACCCCCCCCCCCCCTGAGACGATCCTGGCTACGCCACTGGGCTTTAGACATGAGACCATGCAAAATATACTGCTGTTTCTGCGATAGCATAATTCAATTTTGGGCCCAGGCATGCTATGGCATTGCTGTCAAAAGAAGGAAACCATAGTCGAAGACTCAGTGAAGGACGCCAAAAAAGACGCGTTGACAACAGCTTTTCTACAGCTCTAGGTAAAACAAAGAGCGCCAAAAAAAAAAAGAAAACTAATAGCTGAACAAGCTCAGAAGGAATATATTCAGCAGCACCATACTTCAGGCTATGAATGTGGTCGATTTTAGTGACATACAGCTGTAAATTTTCATTTTTTGCAACTTTTTGTTGGCTTTTTGCGTTTTTCTCAGTTTGATGTTTTTTTGTACAATTGTTGAAATAACTTTGTTAATAATTATCAGAACTGAACTAAATTTGCTCCAGTTACTCGGTATATATGTTCCAATAAAACTTATTGAACACTTTTGGAATTGTTGTAAAGATTTTTTTTTTTTATTGTTTAAATAGTGAAAAAATTGGACGAAATAATGACATTTTTACAGTGATGTATCGAAAAAAAAAGTAAAAAAAAAACTATCTTCTTTTTTAAAAATGTAATCAATAAGAAGTCTTAAACACATGTGTCTGCAGATTATATTAAGTTTTCAAGAAATTTGTACAAACCATTTTTGAGTTATTTCCATTTAAAAATCGTCAATAAAATCCAATATGGCCGCGTCACCATGGCAACGGAGGATTTAAAAAATTAAAAAAAATATTTTTATGCTTAACTCTTTGAGTTATAACTATTAGCCAAGTATTACATCTTTAGACTTGGAAATAAAGAAGTTGGTATTCATCACCCACCTATGCCCTTAAATGTCCCATAGGACCTTTAGTACCATCTTACCACATGTCTTAAATGTTGTCCTACAGGACCTTTAGTAACATCTAACCACATGCCCTACAGGACCTTTAGTACCATCTTACCACATGTCCTAAATGTTGTCCTACAGGACCTTTAGTACCATCTTACATGTCCTAAATGTTGTCCTACAGGTCCTTTGGAGTGGTGCTCTGGGAAATGGTGACACTAGGAGAGCAGCCGTACCAAGGCCTAGGGAATGATGAAGTCTTGAACTATGTCATAGGCAAGCAGAGGATGAACAGTCCTGTAGGCTGTCCACATGATCTGTGAGTAACATTTGGTCCACCTAACCTGTGAGTAACATTTGGTCCACCTGACCTGTAACATTTGGTCCACCTGACCTGTAACATTTGGTCCACCTGACCTGTAACATTTGGTCCACCTGACCTGTAACATTTGGTCCACATGACCTGTGAGTAACATTTGGTCCACCTGACCTGTAACATTTGGTCCACCTGACCTGTAACATTTGGTCCACATGACCTGTGAGTAACATTTGGTCCACCTGACCTGTAACATTTGGTCCACCTGACCTGTGAGTAACATTTGGTCCACCTGACCTGTGAGTAACATTTGGTCCACCTGACATGTAATATTTGGTCCACCTGACCTGTAACATTTGGTCCACCTGACCTGTGAGTAACATTTGGTCCACCTGACCTGTGAGTAACATTTGGTCCACCTGACCTGTAACATTTGGTCCACCTGACCTGTAACATTTGGTCCACCTGACCTGTAACATTTGGTCCACCTGACCTGTAACATTTGGTCCACCTGACCTGTGAGTAACATTTGGTCCACCTGACCTGTGAGTAACATTTGGTCCACCTGACCTGTAACATTTGGTCCACATGACCTGTAACATTTGGTCCACCTGACCTGTAACATTTGGTCCACATGACCTGTGAGTAACATTTGGTCCACCTGACATGTAACATTTGGTCCACATGACCTGTAACATTTGGTCCACCTGACCTGTAACATTTGGTCCACATGACCTGTGAGTAACATTTGGTCCACCTGACATGTAACATTTGGTCCACCTGACTGCTCTACTTCATCTACCTTTACATACACTACTACTCTAGTTCATCTACCTTTACATACACTACTACTCTACTTCATCTACCTTTACATACACTACTGCTCTACTTAATCTACCTTTACATACACTACTGCTCTACTTAATCTACCTTTACATACACTACTGCTCTACTTCATCTACCTTTACATACACTACTGCTCTACTTCATCTACCTTTACATACACTACTGCTCTACTTAATCTACCTTTACATACACTACTGCTCTACTTAATCTACCTTTACATACACTACTGCTCTACTTCATCTACCTTTACATACACTACTGCTCTACTTCATCTACCTTTACATACACTACTGCTCTACTTCATCTACCTTTACAAACACTACTGCTCTACTTCATCTACCTTTACATACACTACTGCTCTACTTAATCTACCTTTACATACACTACTGCTCTACTTCATCTACCTTCATCTACTGCTCTATTTCATCTACCTTTACATACACTACTGCTCTACTTCATCTACCTTCATCTACTGCTCTATTTCATGTACCTTTACATACACTACTGCTCTACTTCATCTACCTTCATCTACTGCTCTACTTTATCTACCTTTACATACACTACTGCTCTATTTCATCTACCTTCATCTACTGCTCTGCTTCATCTACCTTCATCTACTGCTCTACTTCATCTACTGCTCTACTTCATCTACCTTCATCTACTGCTCTATTTCAGCTACTCTTTGATGCTGATGTGCTGGACATATAAACCAGATCTGCGCCCAAGCTTCAAGGATTTAATACAGATTTTATCCCCTCATCTCAACTCGAAGTTTGAAGAAGTTTCTTTTTATTACAAAGAGCTGAAACAGCTGAATGCTGAGAGCCAGAATGTGGAACAAAGTCCTGGGATTGAGGGGGCCACAGGAGAAGATCAAGGGTACTTTCTCTTGTGTGTTGTCAGCCTCACTAGTTTGTGATGTGTCCCCAGTCTGTGTCTTAATGATGTGTCTCTGTCCCCAGCCTGTGTCCTAATGATGTGTCTCTGTCCCCAGCCTGTGTCCTAACGATGTGTCTCTGTCTGTGTCCTAACAATGTATCTCTGTCTGTGTCCTAACGATGTGTCTGTGTCCTAACAATGTGTCTGTGTCCTAACGATGTGTCTGTGTCCTAACAATGTGTCTCTGTCCCCAGCCTGTGTCCTAACAATGTGTCTCTGTCTGTGTCCTAACAATGTGTCTCTGTCTGTGTCCTAATGATGTGTCTCTGTCCCCAGCCTATGTCCTAACAATGTGTCTCTGTCCCCAGCCTGTGTCCTAACAATGTGTCTCTGTCTGTGTCCTAACAATGTGTCTCTGTCCCTAGCCTGTGTCCTAACAATGTGTCTCTGTCTGTGTCCTAACGATGTGTCTCTGTCCCCAGCCTGTGTCCTAACAATGTGTCTCTGTCTGTGTCCTAACAATGTGTCTCTGTCCCTAGCCTGTGTCCTAACAATGTGTCTCTGTCCCCAGCCTGTGTCCTAATGATGTGTCTCTGTCCCCAGCCTGTGTCCTAATGATGTGTCTCTGTCCCCAGCCTGTGTCCTAATGATGTGTCTCTGTCCCCAGCCTGTGTCCTAACGATGTGTCTCTGTCTGTGTCCTAACAATGTGTCTGTGTCCTAACGATGTGTCTGTGTCCTAACAATGTGTCTGTGTCCTAACGATGTGTCTGTGTCCTAACAATGTGTCTCTGTCCCCAGCCTGTGTCCTAACAATGTGTCTCTGTCTGTGTCCTAACAATGTGTCTCTGTCTGTGTCCTAATGATGTGTCTCTGTCCCCAGCCTATGTCCTAACAATGTGTCTCTGTCCCCAGCCTGTGTCCTAACAATGTGTCTCTGTCTGTGTCCTAACGATGTGTCTGTGTCCTAACAATGTGTCTCTGTCCCCAGCCTGTGTCCTAACAATGTGTCTCTGTCTGTGTCCTAACAATGTGTCTCTGTCCCTAGCCTGTGTCCTAACAATGTGTCTCTGTCTGTGTCCTAACAATGTGTCTCTGTCCCCAGCCTGTGTCCTAACGATGTGTCTCTGTCCCTAGCCTGTGTCCTAACAATGTGTCTCTGTCCCCAGCCTGTGTCCTAATGATGTGTCTCTGTCCCCAGCCTGTGTCCTAACAATGTGTCTCTGTCTGTGTCCTAATGATGTGTCTCTGTCCTAACAATGTGTCTCTGTCTGTGTCCTAACAATGTGTCTCTGTCCCCAGCCTGTGTCCTAACGATGTGTCTCTGTCTGTGTCCTAACAATGTGTCTCTGTCTGTGTCCTAACAATGTGTCTCTGTCTGTGTCCTAACAATGTGTCTCTGTCCCCAGCCTGTTTCCTAACAATGTGTCTCTGTCCCCAGCCTGTGTCCTAACAATGTGTCTCTGTCTGTGTCCTAATGATGTGTCTCTGTCTGTTTCCTAACAATGTGTCTCTGTCTGTGTCCTAACGATGTGTCTCTGTCCCCAGCCTGTGTCCTAACGATGTGTTTCTGTGTCCTAACAATGTGTCTCTGTCCCCAGCCTGTGTCCTAACAATGTGTCCGTCTGTGTCCTAACAATGTGTCTCTGTCTCTGTCCTAACGATGTGTCTCTGTCCCCAGCCTGTGTCCTAACGATGTGTCTCTGTCTGTGTCCTAACAATGTGTCTCTGTCCCCAGCCTGTGTCCTAATGATGAGGTGCCATGTCCACCAGATGGCAGTACCTACCCTACCCTGCAGATAGGCAGGAACCATTGGCAGCCCTCAGACACAGAGTCTGATGATGAGAGAAAGGACCAGGCTTCAGAGAGGTTAAAGTTGTTGCCTGCCAACACAGCAACTAATGAATATACACTCATGTCTCCACCTGCTCACAAAACTTTGGCTTTTTTTCCAACATCACCCCTACAAACTTCACCCCTACAAATGTCACCTCTACAAACATCACCCCTACAAACATCACCCCTACAAACATCACCCCTACAAACATCACCTCTACAAACATCCTCCCTACAATCAACCTCATCCATACAAACATCCTCTCCAAAATCATCTCCCTTACAACCTTTGCTTCCAAAATTAACAGCATCTCATCAGCCCTCCACATCTCACCAGCCCACTACACCTCACCAGCCCTCCACATCTCATCAGCCCACTACACCTCACCAGCCCACCACTCCTCATCAGCCCCCCCAGCCCACCCCACCTGTGAGTAAGCTCCAGACAGGAGTAAACTGTGCAGGGGAGACAACTCACCGGCTGACCAAGAGCAGCAGTGATGGCAGTTCCTCCAGTGGGGGCAGTAACTATCACAGCACCTCCAATGGTCATGGACCTTACCCACACCAACAGCCTGCACTTTGCTAGATAGACACAGCATTACATCAACCCTCTCATTGATAAGGAGCATTTCCCCTGCAGTAGACGAGCCACGTCTAATGAATTCATAATTGCATTACTGTCACAACTCCAGCTGTTTTACAATATGATACTTTGCTTACTGAAACCAAGAACCCATACTACAGGAGCTATTCAAATGTTCTGTGGTAAAGACAAAGTTGAATGTCTACAAGTGTTTCTAGTGGTCATCTAATTCCTGAAAATTGAATGCCGTTTCCTGTGAATGGATGATGGCTTACTCTAATGGTTTGTGATTGAACCCAAGAGTGGAAGAGAGTATTTCTACTGACATCTTGCCTCAATGTTTCAATTGTAAAAACTATCAACGGTTGCAAATTTAGATTTTTATGTTTTTACACATTATTTTATTGTAAAAAAAAGTTTTTGCTGTGAAAGGGGTTTAAGATAACTTTTTATCAATGTACACATTAGTATTGATCAAGGCCCCCCCCCCCCCAACTTGCTACATGTACATGTTTGATTTGATCAACAACTTTTATTCATCAACTCACATTGGCCTTTATCAATCAATAACTTGAAGCTTCAAATTATAGACATGGATGCAGTTTGTTTAAATTTTTTGCTATTTTGGCTGTGTATATTTTCTTTTATTCTATGCATATATTATATACAATCTCTTTTTAGATTTTAAATTGTGCATAGCAAAGTTTTACCGACAACATGTTGCCATTTGTTTCTGACCTATGTAAAATTGTCCTGGCAACTTGTATTCTCTAGCTAGAGAAGACTTGTACCTGTAGACAAGTGAGACCCATTGTACAGACACCCGTATTGTGCCTTGGTGTGCTAACAGGGCAGGAGGCAACAAGGCACTGCTGGCCCTGGGATGTTTCTTTTAGCTACTTCATAGATTTCATGCATTATTGGACTTTTTTGTGCCATGCAAACTGTTGGCAACTGTACTCAATATTAAATTTCATGCATTTTATTTTGAGACTTTTTTGTGCCATATAAAATAATTTTTTTTCATGTGCCATTCTGTCAGTAATTTCAAAGTGTATCATCTGTACAGAGAAATGGATGCAATTGCAGTTTTTTTTTGGTTTCAGAAATAAAGTTAGTGCAAACCATTTATTTCTTGTCCTTTTGAATTTAAGGATATAATATTATTATCATGTAGTAAACATAAGTGCTTTTGCCTGGCCAGTAAACATAAGTGCTTTTGCCTGTCCATTGAAGGTTTGTTAGATTCTCCATACTTTAAAGACTTCCTACTTAAAATAGCGGCCCAAACCCAATGTAATGCTCTGGACTCCATCTGCCCGGTGTTGCTCAATTAAGTCAACAAAATAGTTTGACACTAAGAGCCACATTATAAACTAACTTAACTGCAGAATTTGCTTGATAAAAATAATTTACTTTTTGAAACAACTGCTCAACTTTGTAAAAAAATGAAAAGGTCGATTGGTCTTATCCAGCAGCTATCCACCCCAAGGCAACATTTTAAAAAGTAGGTCAAGCAGCAACCTATCAAAACTAAACTGTCCCTGTCTAACTTATTCACAAGAATTATTTTTTTTTAACATTTATTTTGTAAAACAAAGTACATTTAAAACCATTTCAGAATAAGAAGAACATATTTAATGTCCACTGAAATGTGGGCAGTGTCACCTCAGTCACTCTCAGACCCAGCAGGTCCACCACCTGATCCTGCTTCTGGTGACCTGGACTTAGATCGTGATTTTGACCTGGACCTTGATTTGGATCTTGACCTAGACTTTGATCTTGACCTTGATTTGGATCTTGACCTTGATTTGGATCTTGACCTTGATTTGGATCTTGACCTAGACTTTGATCTTGACCTAGACCTTGATTTGGATCTTGACCTAGACCTAGATTTGGATCTTGACCTAGACCTTGATTTGGATTTTTCACTTCTAGAGCCAGACCTAGATTTCCTTGAGCCTGACCTTGACCTTGACCTATGTTTATCAGAGCCAGATTTCCCGCCCAGACTTCCGTCTTCACTATCACTACCCAGGATGCGGCGCTTTCGTTTGACATTTGATTCTCCCTCACTTTCACTGCTGTAAACAAGAAAAAATTCAGAAACTGTCAGACACAAATGAATCAGTGTCAGACACCTAAAACAAGTTTTTCACATTGTTGTATAAACTAATGTAATGCTTCTGTCAGTTAGTGGGCCATCTTAGTTTCTTACCTAGGTAACCACTTCTGTCAGCTAGAGGGCCATCTTACTTAGGTAACTGCTTCTGTCAGTAAGTGAGCCATCTTACCTAGGTAACTGCTTCTGTCAGTGGGCCATCTTACCTAGGTAACCGCTTCTGTCAGTGGGCCATCTTACCTGGGTAACTGCTTCTGTCAGTGGGCCATCTTACCTAGGTAACCGCTTCTGTCAGTGGGCCATCTTACCTGGGTAACTGCTTCTGTCAGTGGGCCATCTTACCTAGGAAACTGCTTCTGTCAGTTAGTGGGCCATCTTACCTAGGTAACTGCTTCTGTCAGAGGGCCATCTTACCTGGGTAACTGCTTCTGTCAGTTAGTGGGCCATCTTACCTGGGTAACTGCTTCTGTCAGAGGGCCATCTTACCTGGGTAACTGCTTCTGTCAGAGGGCCATCTTACCTGGGTAACTGCTTCTGTCAGTGGGCCATCTTACCTGGGTAACTGCTTCTGTCAGTGGGCCATCTTACCTAGGAAACTGCTTCTGTCAGTTAGTGGGCCATCTTACCTGGGTAACTGCTTCTGTCAGAGGGCCATCTTACCTGGGTAACTGCTTCTGTCAGTTAGTGGGCCATCTTACCTAGGTAACTGCTTCTGTCAGTGGGCCATCTTACCTAGGTAACTGCTTCTGTCAGTTAGTGGGCCATCTTACCTGGGTAACTGCTTCTGTCAGTTAGTGGGCCATCTTACCTAGGTAACTGCTTCTGTCAGTGGGCCATCTTACCTAGGTAACTGCTTCTGTCAGCTAGTGGGCCATCTTACTTAGGTAACTGCTTCTGTCAGAGGGCCATCTTACCTGGGTAACTGCTTCTGTCAGTGGGCCATCTTACCTGGGTAACTGCTTCTGTCAGAGGGCCATCTTACCTAGGTAACTGCTTCTGTCAGTTAGTGGGCCATCTTACCTGGGTAACTGCTTCTGTCAGAGGGCCATCTTACCTGGGTAACTGCTTCTGTCAGTGGGCCATCTTACCTGGGTAACTGCTTCTGTCAGTGGGCCATCTTACCTGGGTAACTGCTTCTGTCAGAGGGCCATCTTACCTAGGTAACTGCTTCTGTCAGTGGGCCATCTTACCTAGGTAACTGCTTCTGTCAGCTAGTTGGCCATCTTACTTAGGTAACTGCTTCTGTCAGAGGGCCATCTTACCTGGGTAACTGCTTCTGTCAGTGGGCCATCTTACCTGGGTAACTGCTTCTGTCAGAGGGCCATCTTACCTGGGTAACTGCTTCTGTCAGTGGGCCATCTTACTTAGGTAACTGCTTCTGTCAGAGGGCCATCTTACCTAGGTAACTGCTTCTGTCAGTGGGCCATCTTACCTGGGTAACTGCTTCTGTCAGTGGGCCATCTTACCTGGGTAACTGCTTCTGTCAGAGGGCCATCTTACCTAGGTAACTGCTTCTGTCAGTTAGTGGGCCATCTTACCTAGGTAACTGCTTCTGTCAGTGGGCCATCTTACCTAGGTAACTGCTTCTGTCAGTTAGTGGGCCATCTTACCTAGGTAACTGCTTCTGTCAGTGGGCCATCTTACCTAGGTAACTGCTTCTGTCAGCTAGTGGGCCATCTTACTTAGGTAACTGCTTCTGTCAGTTAGTGGGCCATCTTACCTGGGTAACTGCTTCTGTCAGAGGGCCATCTTACCTGGGTAACTGCTTCTGTCAGTTAGTGGGCCATCTTACCTGGGTAACTGCTTCTGTCAGTTAGTGGGCCATCTTACCTGGGTAACTGCTTCTGTCAGTGGGCCATCTTACCTAGGTAACTGCTTCTGTCAGTTAGTGGGCCATCTTACCTGGGTAACTGCTTCTGTCAGAGGGCCATCTTACCTGGGTAACTGCTTCTGTCAGCTAGAGGGCCATCTTACCTGGGTAACTGCTTCTGTCAGAGGGCCATCTTACCTGGGTAACTGCTTCTGTCAGCTAGAGGGCCATCTTACCTGGGTAACTGCTTCTGTCAGTGGGCCATCTTACCTGGGTAACTGCTTCTGTCAGTGGGCCATCTTACCTAGGTAACTGCTTCTGTAAGTTAGTGGGCCATCTTACCTGGGTAACTGCTTCTGTCAGTGGGCCATCTTACCTGGGTAACTGCTTCTGTCAGTGGGCCATCTTACCTAGGTAACTGCTTCTGTCAGTGGGCCATCTTACCTGGGTAACTGCTTCTGTCAGTGGGCCATCTTACCTAGGTAACTGCTTCTGTCAGTTAGTGGGCCATCTTACCTAGGTAACTGCTTCTGTCAGTGGGCCATCTTACCTGGGTAACTGCTTCTGTCAGTGGGCCATCTTACCTAGGTAACTGCTTCTGTCAGTGGGCCATCTTACCTGGGTAACTGCTTCTGTCAGTTAGTGGGCCATCTTACCTGGGTAACTGCTTCTGTCAGAGGGCCATCTTACCTGGGTAACTGCTTCTGTCAGAGGGCCATCTTACCTGGGTAACTGCTTCTGTCAGTTAGTGGGCCATCTTACCTGGGTAACTGCTTCTATCAGTTAGTGGGCCATCTTACCTGGGTAACTGCTTCTGTCAGAGGGCCATCTTACCTAGGTAACTGCTTCTGTCAGCTAGTGGGCCATCTTACTTAGGTAACTGCTTCTGTCAGCTAGTGGGCCATCTTACCTAGGTAACTGCTTCTGTCAGTGGGCCATCTTACCTGGGTAACTGCTTCTGTCAGCTAGAGGGCCATCTTACTTAGGTAACCACTTCTGTCAGTGGGCCATCTTACCTAGGTAACCGCTTCTGTCAGCTAGTGGGCCATCTTACTTAGGTAACCACTTCTGTCAGAGGGCCATCTTACCTAAGTAACCGCTTCTGTCAGCTAGTGGGCCATCTTACTTAGGTAACCACTTCTGTCAGAGGGCCATCTTACCTGGGTAACCGCTTCTTCCTTGTATCCGAGTCGGAACCCTCGCTGGATGAGATAACGGCCTTGGATACAATCTTCCTGCGCTGCTTGGCAGTCAGACCATCATCTTTTGCTTTCTTGTCACCCTTCCCTTCTTTTCCTTTGCCTTTTCTTCGCCTCTTTCTATCACCTCTATCATCATTTTCATCATCACTGTCATTAACAAAGTCATCCTTCTTGGACCTGGTAGAGAGAGTCCATGCAGCTTCAGCTTCGTCAATAACTTCCACATTAGTACACACAAAACAAAGGTACACACTTGCATAAATGTACAAACTAAGAGAAATTTACACAGAATACACTCACACATCATTCACAGAATACACTCACAGATCACTCAAAGAATACACTCACACATCACTCACAGAATACACTCACACATCACTCACAGAATACACTCACACATCACTCACAGAATACACTCACACATCACTCACAGAATACACTCACACATCACTCACAGAATACACTCACACATCACTCACAGAATACACTCACACATCACTCACAGAATACACTCACACATCACTCACACATCACTCACAGAATACACTCACACATCACTCACAGAATACACTCACACATCACTCACAGAATACACTCACACATCACTCACAGAATACACTCACACATCACTCACACATCACTCACAGAATACACTCACACATCACTCACAGAATACACTCACACATCACTCACAGAATACACTCACACATCATTCACAAAATACACTCACACATCACTCACAGAATACACTCACACATCACTCACAGAATACACTCACACATCACTCACAGAATACACTCACACATCACTCACAGAATACACTCACACATCACTCACAGAATACACTCACACATCACTCACAGAATACACTCACACATCACTCACACATCACTCACAGAATACACTCACACATCACTCACAGAATACACTCACACATCACTCACAGAATACACTCACACATCATTCACAAAATACACTCACACATCACTCACAGAATACACTCACACATCACTCACAGAATACACTCACACATCACTCACAGAATACACTCACACATCACTCACAGAATACACTCACACATCACTCACAGAATTCACTCGCGCATCACTCACAGAATACACTCACAGATCACTCAAAGAATACACTCACACATCACTCACAGAATACACTCACACATCACTCACAGAATACACTCACACATCACTCACAGAATACACTCACACATCACTCACAGAATACACTCACACATCACTCACACATCACTCACAGAATACACTCACAGAATTCACTCGCGCATCACTCACAGAATACACTCACACATCATTCACAAAATACACTCACACATCACTCACAGAATACACTCACATCACTCACAGAATACACTCACACATCACTCATAATATAAAGTTACCTTCTCTTGGTTTTGCGTTTTTTTCTTTTCTCTCCATCCTCATCTTCCTCACCAGATACACTAGATGACCTCTTCTTCTTTTTCTTTTTAGGCCTCTCCTCTTCACTCTCAGACAAAATTTCTCCATCCTCTGCCCGCTTGGATCTCTGCAATCAGACAGGATTCATTATGTGGCCTGATCCAATAAGACAGGATTCATTACGTGGCCTGATCCAATAAGACAGGATTCATTATGTGGCCTGATCCAATAAGACAGGATTCATTATGTGGCCTGATCCAATAAGACAGGATTCATTATGTGGCCTGATCCAATAAGACAGGATTCATTACGTGGCCTGATCCAATAAGACAGGATTCATTATGTGGCCTGATCCAATAAGACAGGATTCATTACGTGGCCTGATCCTATCAGACAATCAGAATCAACCAATTCCCCACCCCCTAAATGTCAACAAACCTTTCCCCAAAATGTGAAGAAACCTACCTTTCCCCCAAATGTCAAGAAACATACCTTCCCCCCAAATGTCAAGAAACCTACCTTTCCCCAAATGTCAAGAAACCAACCTTTCCCCCAAATGTCAAGAAACTAAACTTTCCCCAAATGTCAAGAAACCTACATTTCCCCCAAATGTCAAGAAACCAACCTTCCCCCCAAATGTCAAGAAACCAACCTTTCCCCCAAATGTCAAGAAACCAACCTTTCCCCCAAATGTCAAGAAACCTACCTTTCCCCCAAATGTCAAGAAACCAACCTTTCCCCCAAATGTCAAGAAACCAACCTTTCCCCAAAATGTCAAGAAACCAACCTTTCCCCCAAATGTCAAGAAACCTACCTTTCCCCCAAATGTCAAGAAACCAACCTTTCCCCCAAATGTCAAGAAACCTACCTTTCCCCAAATGTCAAGAAACCAACCTTTCCCCCAAATGTCAAGAAACCTACCTTTCCCCCAAATGTCAAGAAACCTACCTTCCCCCCAAATGTCAAGAAACCAACCTTCCCCCCAAATGTCAAGAAACCTACCTTTCCCCCAAATGTCAAGAAACCTACCTTTCCCCCAAATGTCAAGAAACCTACCTTCCCCCCAAATGTCAAGAAACCAACCTTCCCCCCAAATGTCAAGAAACCTACCTTCCCCCCAAATGTCAAGAAACCTACCTTCCCCCCAAATGTCAAGAAACCTACCTTTCCCCCAGACTTGCGTGGTCTGTCCTCAGGCTCAGGCTCCAGGTTGATTTTCTTGGCTTTCTCCACAAACACTGCTCTCTGTTCCAACATCTTCTTCTCCAGCTCTTCCTTCTGCTTTTGTTTCTCCAGCTGCACAAACAAGTTATCAGTAGAGAACCAGAACACAGACACCTGGGACCCTCACCTGACCCAGCTGTTACCACCTGACCCAGCTGTTACCCTACCACCTGACCCAGCTGTTACCACCTGACCCAGCTGTTACCACCTGACCCAGCTGTTACCACCTGACCCAGCTGTTACCCTACCACCTGACCCAGCTGTTACCACCTGACCCAGCTGTTACCACCTGACCCAGCTGTTACCCTACCACCTGACCCAGCTGTTACCCTACCACCTGACCCAGCTGTTACCACCTGACCCAGCTGTTACCACCTGACCCAGCTGTTACCCTACCACCTGACCCAGCTGTTACCACCTGACCCAGCTGTTACCACCTGACCCAGCTGTTACCACCTGACCCAGCTGTTACCACCTGACCCAGCTGTTACCCTACCACCTGACCCAGCTGTTACCACCTGACCCAGCTGTTACCCTACCACCTGACCCAGCTGTTACCACCTGACCCAGCTGTTACCACCTGACCCAGCTGTTACCCTACCACCTGACCCAGCTGTTACCACCTGACCCAGCTGTTACCACCTGACCCAGCTGTTACCACCTGACCCAGCTGTTACCACCTGACCCAGCTGTTACCACCTGACCCAGCTGTTACCCTACCACCTGACCCAGCTGTTACCACCTGACCCAGCTGTTACCCTACCACCTGACCCAGCTGTTACCACCTGACCCAGCTGTTACCCTACCACCTGACCCAGCTGTTACCACCTGACCCAGCTGTTACCACCTGACCCAGCTGTTACCACCTGACCCAGCTGTTACCACCTGACCCAGCTGTTACCACCTGACCCAGCTGTTACCACCTGACCCAGCTGTTACTACCTGACCCAGCTGTTACCACCTGACCCAGCTGTTACTCACCTGTTCACTGAGTTGCTTCTGTTTGATTGCCTCCATTTCTTCCTCTTGCCTCTTTCTGATTTCCTTCTCCTCTTCATCAATTTTTCTGGCCCTAGCCACATGGTACTGGGCCTGGCTCAGCAGATCTGAGCATTGCCTGCAGACAGGTGAATCAGTCTAGTTCATACAGGTGAATCAGTCTAGTTCATACAGGTGAATCAGTCTAGTTCATACAGGTGAATCAGTCTAGTTCATACAGGTGAATCAGTCTAATTCATACAGGTGAATCAGTCTAGTTCATACAGGTGAATCAGTCTAGTTCATACAGGTGAATCAGTCTAGTTCATACAGGTGAATCAGTCTAGTTCATACAGGTGAATCAGTCCAGTTCATACAGGTGAATCAGTCCAGTTCATACAGGTGAATCAGTCTAGTTCATACAGGTGAATCAGTCTAGTTCATACAGGTGAATCAGTCTAGTTCATACAGGTGAATCAGTCCAGTTCATACAGGCGAATCAGTTTAGTTCATACAGGTGAATCAGTCTAGTTCATACAGGTGAATCAGTCTAGTTCATACAGGTGAATCAGTCTAGTTCATACAGGTGAATCAGTCCAGTTCATACAGGTGAATCAGTCTAGTTCATACAGGTGAATCAGTCTAGTTCATACAGGTGAATCAGTCTAGTTCATACAGGTGAATTAGTCTAGTTCATACAGGTGAATCAGTCTAGTTCATTCAGGTGAATCAGTCTAGTTCATACAGGTGAATCAGTCTAGTCCTAATCAGAGTCCTAGCGACCACTCCTCGGCCCGGGGCGAACTACTCGCTGCAAATTAAACCCCCTGAATATGCATTATACTTTTTAAAAAGATTAACTGTCAGAAAAAAATAAGCCTGATCTGAGAGTAGATGGTAGTTTTTAGCAGGAGCTAATTTGTTTAGGTTAGTCTTTTAGGTTCCCAGGTGCTAATTTGTTTAGGTTAGTCTTTTAGGTTCCCAGGTGCTAATTTGTTTAGGTTAGTCTTTTAGGTTCCCAGGTGCTAATTTGTTTAGGTTAGTCTTTTAGGTTCCCAGGTGCTAATTTGTTTAGGTTAGTCTTTTAGGTTCCCAGGTGCTAATTTGTTTAAGTCAGTCTTTTATGTTCTAGTCACGACATTTCTTAAATAAATCGGCTTGTGAAATTGTACATTACACGTTCATATATTAGCTTGTAGCCTTTAACATTTGCTGTTTATAATTCAAATTGCAGCTTAAAATGGCCTTTTACATTTTTTTTCTACCCCCTTTGGCGTCCCCTAGGGTCAACAACCAGGGTTGGCCGTCCCTGCCCCCCACCCATGCCTCTTGTCTGTGAAATGTCCTCATGTGAAATGTCCTCATGTAAAATATCCTCATGTAAAATGTCCTCATGTAAAATGTCCTCATGTAAAATGTCCTCGTGTAAAATGTCCTGGTGTGAAATGCCCTGGTGTAAAATGTCCTGGTGTGAAATGTCCTGGTGTAAAATGTCCTAGTGTGAAATGTCCTGGTGTAAAATGTCCTGCTGTAAAATGTCCTGGTGTAAAATGTCCTCATGTAAAATGTCCTCGTGTAAAATGTCCTGGTGTAAAATGTCCTCATGTAAAATGTCCTGGTGTGAAATGTCCTGGTGTAAAATGACCTGGTGTGAAATGTCCTAGTGTAAAATGTCCTGGTGTAAAATGTCCTCATGTAAAATGTCCTGGTGTAAAATGTCCTGATGTAAAATGTCCTGCTGTAAAATGTCCTGGTGTAAAATGTCCTCATGTGAAATGTCCTGGTGTGAAATATCCTAGTGTAATATGTCCTGGTGTAAAATGTCCTAGTGTAAAATGTCCTGGTGAAAAATGTCCTGGTGTAAAATGTCCTGGTGTAAAATGTCCTGGTGTAAAATGTCCTGCTGTAAAATGTCCTGGTGTAAAATGTCCTGCTGTAAAATGTCCTGCTGTAAAATGTCTTGGTGTAAAATGTCCTGGTGTAAAATGTCCTGCTGTGAAATGTCCTAGTGTAAAATGTCCTAGTGTAAAATGTCCTGGTGTAAAATGTCCTAGTGTAACTTACTGAGCCTCAGCTGCTGCTTGAGCCAAATCAAATTTCATCCTGTCCCCATGCTGGCCCAGGTAGGTGAAGTACCTGCAAGTAAACACATGTGGCTACACATCAACACATGTGGCTACACATCAACACATGTGGCTACACATCAACACATGTGGCTACACATCAACACATGTGGCTACACATCAACACATGTGGCTACACATCAACACATGTGGCTACACATCAAAACATGTGGCTACACACACATCAACACATGTGGCTACACATCAAAACTTGTGGCTACACACACATCAACACATGTGGCTACACATCAACACATGTGGCTACACATCAACACATGTGGCTACACATCAACACATGTGGCTACACATCAACACATGTGGCTACACATCAACACATGTGGCTACACACACATCAACACATGTGGTTACACATCAACACATGTGGCTACACATCAACACTGGTGGCTACACATCAACACATGTGGCTACACATCAACACATGTGGCTACACATCAACACATGTGGCTACACATCAACACATGTGGCTACACATCAACACATGTGGCTACACAAACATCAACACATGTGGCTACACATCAACACATGTGGCTACACATCAACACATGTGGCTACACATCAACACATGTGGTTACACACACATCAACACATGTGGCTACACATCAACACATGTGGCTACACATCAACACATGTGGCTACACATCAACACATGTGGCTACACAAACATCAACACATGTGGCTACACATCAACACATGTGGCTACACATCAACACATGTGGCTACACAAACATCAACACATGTGGCTACACATCAACACATGTGGCTACACATCAACACATGTGGCTACACAAACATCAACACATGTGGCTACACATCAACACATGTGGCTACACATCAACACATGTGGCTACACAAACATCAACACATGTGGCTACACAAACATCAACACATGTGGCTACACATCAACACATGTGGCTACACATCAACACATGTGGCTACACATCAACACATGTGGCTACACAAACATCAACACATGTGGCTACACATCAACACATGTGGCTACACATCAACACATGTGGCTACACATCAACACATGTGGCTACACATCAACACATGTAGCTACACAAACATCAACACATGTGGCTACACATCAACACATGTGGCTACACACACATCAACACATGTGGCTACACATCAACACATGTGGCTACACATCAACACATGTGGCTACACATCAACACATGTGGCTACACATCAACACATGTGGCTACACACACATCAACACATGTGGCTACACATCAACACATGTGGCTACACATCAACACATGTGGCTATATAAACAACACATGTGGCTACACATCAACACATGTGGCTACACAAACACCATCACATGTGGCTACACAAACATCAACACATGTGGCTACACATCAACACATGTGGCTACACATCAACACATGTGGCTACACATCAACACATGTGGCTACACATCAACACATGTGGCTACACATCAACACATGTGGCTACACAAACATCAACACATGTGGCTACACATCAACACATGTGGCTACACATCAACACATGTGGCTACACATCAACACATGTGGCTACACATCAACACATGTGGCTACACATCAACACATGTGGCTACACATCAACACATGTGGCTACACACACATCCACACATGTGGCTACACATCAACACATGTGGCTACACATCAACACATGTGGCTACACATCAACACATGTGGCTACACATCAACACATGTGGCTACACATCAACACATGTGGCTACACACACATCAACACATGTGGCTACACATCAACACATGTGGCTACACAAACATCAACACATGTGGCTACACATCAACACATGTGGCTACACATCAACACATGTGGCTACACACACATCAACACATGTGGCTACACATCAACACATGTGGCTACACATCAACACATGTGGCTACACAAACATCAACACATGTGGCTACACATCAACACATGTGGCTACACATCAACACATGTGGCTACACACACATCAACACATGTGGCTACACATCAACACATGTGGCTACACATCAACACATGTGGCTACACACACATCAACACATGTGGTGGCTACACATCAACACATGTGGCTACACATCAACACATGTGGCTACACACACATCAACACATGTGGCTACACATCAACACATGTGGTGGCTACACATCAACACATGTGGCTACACAAACATCAACACATGTGGCTACACACACATCAACACATGTGGCTACACATCAACACATGTGGCTACACAACAACACATGTGGCTACACAACACATGTGGCTATATAAACAACACATGTGGCTACACATCAACACATGTGGCTACACATCAACACATGTGGCTACACATCAACACATGTGGCTACACAACACATGTGGCTACACATCAACACATGTGGCTACACATCAACACATGTGGCTACACACACATCAACACATGTGGCTACACATCAACACATGTGGCTACACATCAACACATGTGGCTACACAACACATGTGGCTATATAAACAACACATGTGGCTACACAACAACACATGTGGCTACACAACACATGTGGCTATATAATCAACACATGTGGCTACACATCAACACATGTGGCTACACAACACATGTGGCTATATAAACAACAGATGTGGCTACACATCAACACATGTGGCTACACATCAACACATGTGGCTACACAAACACCATCACATGTGGCTACACAAACATCAACACATGTGGCTACACATCAACACATGTGGCTAAACACACACATGTGGCTACACACACATCAACACAGACATAAAGAAAGACAAACACAGACAGACAAAGAGACAAACAGAGACAAACAAAGACAGAGAGAGAGTTGAGTAAAGCAGTAACCACCTGTGTGCCAGCTCTAGGTCTCTGACTGCTATCAACACTTTCTTCAGGTTACTTTTCTCATCCTTCAGGATCATGGTGGCCAGTTTCTGTTGGACCAGGGCGATGTTGTACAGCAGCACCGTGTCATTTGGTGCAACATGACGGGCCTGTGGGGGAGGAATACATTCAGTAGCACAGGGAGGAATACATTAAGTAGCGCAGGGAGAAATACATTAAGTAGTGCAGGGAGAAATACATTCAGTAGCGCAGGGAGGAATACATTCAGTAGCACAGGGAGGAATACATTAAGTAGCGCAGGGAGAAATACATTAAGTAGTGCAGGGAGAAATACATTAAGTAGCACAGGGAGGAATACATTCAGTAGCGCAGGGAGAAATACATTAAGTAGTGCAGGGAGAAATACATTCAGTAGCACAGGGAGGAATACATTCAGTAGCGCAGGGAGGAATACATTCAGTAGCACAGGGAGAAATACATTCAGTAGCACAGGGAGGAATACATTCAGTAGCGCAGGGAGGAATACATTAAGTAGCGCAGGGAGAAATACATTAAGTAGCGCAGGGAGAAATACATTAAGTAGCACAGGGAGGAATACATTCAGTAGCGCAGGGAGGAATACATTCAGTAGCGCAGGGAGGAATACATTCAGTAGCGCAGGGAGAAATACATTCAGTAGCGCAGGGAGAAATACATTAAGTAGTGCAGGGAGAAATACATTCAGTAGCACAGGGAGGAATACATTCAGTAGCGCAGGGAGGAATACATTCAGTAGCGCAGGGAGGAATACATTCAGTAGCGCAGGGAGAAATACATTCAGTAGCGCAGGGAGAAATACATTAAGTAGTGCAGGGAGAAATACATTCAGTAGCACAGGGAGAAATACATTAAGTAGTGCAGGGAGAAATACATTCAGTAGCACAGGGAGGAATACATTCAGTAGCGCAGGGAGGAATACATTCAGTAGCACAGGGAGAAATACATTAAGTAGCGCAGGGAGAAATACATTAAGTAGCGCAGGGAGAAATACATTAAGTAGCGCAGGGAGAAATACATTAAGTAGCGCAGGGAGGAATACATTAAGTAACGCAGGGAGAAATACATTAAGTAGCGCAGGGAGAAATACATTCAGTAGCACAGGGAGAAATACATTAAGTAGTGCAGGGAGAAATACATTAAGTAGTGCAGGGAGGAATACATTAAGTAGCGCAGGGAGAAATACATTCAGTAGCACAGGGAGAAATACATTAAGTAGCGCAGGGAGAAATACATTAAGTAGCGCAGGGAGAAATACATTCAGTAGCACAGGGAGAAATACATTAAGTAGCGCAGGGAGGAAAAAAGCCACATTTGTAAGAAGACATCAAAAGAAATGTCTGACCTACCTTGAGAAGTGTGTGTTTGCATTCAGAAAGTTTGCCACATTTGAAATAAGCTCTGGCTAGGTACATCATCACCTCCATGTTGTGACTCTTGAAAAACTTCTTCAGACAGTTCTCGTACTGGGGATACAGGGGGATGCACATCAAAGCTGGACACATGGACAACAGCTGGACACATGGACAACAGCTGGGCACATGGACAACAGCTGGGCACTTAGACAACAGCTGGACAACAGCTGGGCACATGGACAACAGCTGGACAACAGCTGGGCACATGGACAACAGCTGGGCACATGGGCAACAGCTGGGCACATGGACAACAGCTGGACAACAGCTGGGCACATGGGCAACACCTGGACAACAGCTGGACAACAGCTGGGCACATGGACAACAGCTGGGCACATGGGCAACAGCTGGGCACATGGACAACACCTGGACAACAGCTGGACACATGGACAACAGCTGGGCACATGGACAACAGCTGGATACATGGACAACAGCTGGACACATGGACAACAGCTGGGCACATGGACAACAGCTGGACACATGGACAACAGCTGGGCACATGGACAACAGCTGGGCACATGGACAACAGCTGGCCACATGGACAACAGCTGGACAACAGCTGGGCACACGGACAACAGCTGGGCACATGGACAACAGCTGGACAACAGCTGGGCACACGGACAACAGCTGGGCACATGGACAAAAGCTGGACAACAGCTGGACACCTGGACAACAGCTGGCCACATGGACAACAGCTGGCCACATGGACAACAGCTGGGCACATGGACAACAGCTGGACAACAGCTGGGCACATGGACAACAGCTGGGCACATGGACAACAGCTGGCCACATGGACAACAGCTGGACACATGGACAACAGCTGGGCACATGGACAACAGCTGGACACATAGACAACATCTGGACAACAGCTGGACACATGGAAAACAGCTGGACAACAGCTGGGCACATGGACAACAGCTGGACAACAGCTGGGCACATGGGCAACACCTGGACAACAGCTGGACAACAGCTGGGCACATGGACAACAGCTGGGCACATGGGCAACAGCTGGGCACATGGACAACACCTGGACAACAGCTGGACACATGGACAACAGCTGGGCACATGGACAACAGCTGGATACATGGACAACAGCTGGACACATGGACAACAGCTGGGCACATGGACAACAGCTGGACACATGGACAACAGCTGGGCACATGGACAACAGCTGGGCACATGGACAACAGCTGGCCACATGGACAACAGCTGGACAACAGCTGGGCACACGGACAACAGCTGGGCACATGGACAACAGCTGGACAACAGCTGGGCACACGGACAACAGCTGGGCACATGGACAAAAGCTGGACAACAGCTGGACACCTGGACAACAGCTGGCCACATGGACAACAGCTGGCCACATGGACAACAGCTGGGCACATGGACAACAGCTGGACAACAGCTGGGCACATGGACAACAGCTGGGCACATGGACAACAGCTGGCCACATGGACAACAGCTGGACACATGGACAACAGCTGGGCACATGGACAACAGCTGGACACATAGACAACATCTGGACAACAGCTGGACACATGGAAAACAGCTGGACAACAGCTGGGCACATGGACAACAGCTGGACAACAGCTGGACACATGGAAAACAGCTGGACAACAGCTGGGCACATGGACAACAGCTGGACACATAGACAACAGCTGGACAACAGCTGGACAACAGCTGGGCACATGGACAACAGCTGAACACATAGACAACAGCTGGACAACAGCTGGACACATGGACAACAGCTGGACACATGGACAACAGCTGGGCACTTAGACAACAGCTGGACACTTAGACAAACTCTGGACACATGGACAACAGCTGGACACATAGACAACATCTGGACAACAGCTGGACACATGGACAACAGCTGGACACATGGACAACAGCTGGGCACATGGACAACAGCTGGACACATGGACAAAAGCTGGACACTTAGACAACAGCTGGACACATGGACAACAGCTGGGCACTTAGACAACAGCTGGACACATGGACAACAGCTGGACAACAGCTGGACACATGGACAACAGCTGGACACATAGACAACAGCTGGACAACAGCTGGACACATGGACAACAGCTGGGCACATGGACAACACCTGGGCACATGGACAACAGCTGGACAACACCTGGGCACATGGACAACAGCTGGACAACAGCAGGGCACATGGACAACAGCTGGACAACAGCTGGGCACATGGACAACAGCTGGACAACACCTGGGCACATGGACAACAGCTGGACAACAGCAGGGCACATGGACAACAGCTGGACAACAGCTGGGCACATGGACAACAGCTGGACACATGGACAACAGCTGGACACATGGACAACAGCTGGACACTTAGACAACAGCTGGACACTTAGACAACAGCTGGACACATGGACAACAGCTGGACAACAGCTGGACACATGGACAACAGCTGGGCACTTAGACAACAGCTGGACACATGGACAACAGCTGGGCACATGGACAACAGCTTGACACTTAGACAACAGCTGGACAACAGCTGGACACATGGACAACAGCTGGGCACATGGACAACACCTGGACAACACCTGGGCACATGGACAAGAGCTGGACAACACCTGGGCACATGGACAACACCTGGACAACAGTTGGGCACATGGACAACACCTGGACAACAGTTGGGCACATGGACAACACCTGGACAACAGTTGGGCACATGGACAACACCTGGACAACAGTTGGGCACATGGACAACAGCTGGACACATGGACAACAGCTGGGCACATGGACAACACCTGGACAACACCTGGGCACATGGACAACACCTGGACAACAGTTGGGCACATGGACAACACCTGGACAACAGTTGGGCACATGGACAACACCTGGGCACATGGACAACAGCTGGACACTCACCATCTGGACTGCCGCCACATATTGCTTCTGCTCCACATAAATGTGAGCAATGTTTAACCAGACATCACAAAAATCTGCTGTGGCCTCCCGCACCTGAGCAAACACATCTCGGCTCTCATTGATGCAGCCTTTATGTGCTAGTACACAGCCTACAATAGAATAATGGGCACACAAAGACATTTAGACAGGTTAGGATGGACACACTAAGACATTTAGACAGGTTAGGATGGACACACTAAGACATTTAGATAGGTTAGGATGGACACACTAAGACATTTAGACAGGTTAGGATGGACACACTAAGACATTTAGACAGGTTAGGATGGACACACTAAGACATTTAGATAGGTTAGGATGGACACACTAAGACATTTAGACAGGTTAGGATGGACACACTAAGACATTTAGACAGGTTAGGATGGGCACACTAAGACATTTAGACAGGTTAGGATGGACACACTAAGACATTTAGACAGGTTAGGATGGACACACTAAGACATTTAGACAGGTTAGGATGGACACACTAAGACATTTAGACAGGTTAGGATGGACACACTAAGACATTTAGACAGGTTAGGATGGACACACTAAGACATTTAGACAGGTTAGGATGGACACACTAAGACATTTAGACAGGTTAGGATGGACACACTAAGACATTTAGACAGGTTAGGATGGACACACTAAGACATTTAGACAGGTTAGGATGGACACACTAAGACATTTAGACAGGTTAGGATGGACACACTAAGACATTTAGACAGGTTAGGATGGACACACTAAGACATTTAGATAGGTTAGGATGGACACACTAAGACATTTAGATAGGTTAGGATGGACACACTAAGACATTTAGACAGGTTAGGATGGACACACTAAGACATTTAGACAGGTTAGGATGGACACACTAAGACATTTAGACAGGTTAGGATGGACACACTAAGACATTTAGACAGGTTAGGATGGACACACTAAGACATTTAGACAGGTTAGGATGGACACACTAAGACATTTAGACAGGTTAGGATGGACACACTAAGACATTTAGACAGGTTAGGATGGACACACTAAGACATTTAGACAGGTTAGGATGGACACACTAAGACATTTAGACAGGTTAGGATGGACACACTAAGACATTTAGATAGGTTAGGATGGACACACTAAGACATTTAGATAGGTTAGGATGGACACACTAAGACATTTAGACAGGTTAGGATGGACACACTAAGACATTTAGACAGGTTAGGATGGACACACTAAGACATTTAGACAGGTTAGGATGGACACACTAAGACATTTAGACAGGTTAGGATGGACACACTAAGACATTTAGACAGGTTAGGATGGACACACTAAGACATTTAGACAGGTTAGGATGGACACACTAAGACATTTAGACAGGTTAGGATGGACACACTAAGACATTTAGACAGGTTAGGATGGACACACTAAGACATTTAGACAGGTTAGGATGGACACACTAAGACATTTAGACAGGTTAGGATGGACACACTAAGACATTTAGACAGGTTAGGATGGACACACTAAGACATTTAGACAGGTTAGGATGGACACACTAAGACATTTAGACAGGTTAGGATGGACACACTAAGACATTTAGACAGGTTAGGATGGACACACTAAGACATTTAGACAGGTTAGGATGGACACACTAAGACATTTAGACAGGTTAGGATGGACACACTAAGACATTTAGACAGGTTAGGATGGACACACTAAGACATTGAAACATTCTTTAAGTAAAACACTTGATATCTTTATTTAATAAATAAAACCCAAATATTTTAATTAAAATTACTAATTAGTAAAACTTAAGATAACCAGCTTTTATCAACTTTTAATCAGTACTTTATTCCTGAACTCAAACCATGTCTTTAGCTCAGCAGCTTTAGGTCCTGGTATTGTCTGTACCCCCACCAAACCATGTCTTTAGCTCAGCAGCTTTAGGTCCTGGTATTGTCTGTACCCCCACCAAACCATGTCTTTAGCTCAGCAGCTTTAGGTCCTGGTATTGTCTGTACCCCCACCAAATCATGTCTTTAGCTCAGCAGCTTTAGGTCCTGGTATTGTCTGTACCCCCACCAAATCATGTCTTTAGCTCAGCAGCTTTAGGTCCTGGTATTGTATGTACCCCCACCAAACCATGTCTTTAGCTCAGCAGCTTTAGGTCCTGGTATTGTCTGTATCCCCACCAAACCATGTCTTTAGCTCAGCAGCTTTAGGTCCTGGTACTTTAGCTCAGCAGCTTTAGGTCCTGGTATTGTCTGTACCCCCACCAAATCATGTCTTTAGCTCAGCAGCTTTAGGTCCTGGTATTGTCTGTACCCCCACCAAATCATGTCTTTAGCTCAGCAGCTTTAGGTCCTGGTATTGTATGTACCCCCACCAAACCATGTCTTTAGCTCAGCAGCTTTAGGTCCTGGTATTGTCTGTACCCCCACCAAACCATGTCTTTAGCTCAGCAGCTTTAGGTCCTGGTATTGTCTGTACCTTCACCAAACCATGTCTTTAGCTCAGCAGCTTTAGGTCCTGGTATTGTCTGTACCTTCACCAAACCATGTCTTTAGCTCAGCAGCTTTAGGTCCTGGTACTTTAGCTCAGCAGCTTTAGGTCCTGGTATTGTATGTACCCCCACCAAACCATGTCTTTAGCTCAGCAGCTTTAGGTCCTGGTATTGTCTGTACCCCCACCAAACCATGTCTTTAGCTCAGCAGCTTTAGGTCCTGGTACTTTAGCTCAGCAGCTTTAGGTCCTGGTATTGTCTGTACCCCCACCAAACCATGTCTTTAGCTCAGCAGCTTTAGGTCCTGGTACTTTAGCTCAGCAGCTTTAGGTCCTGGTATTGTATGTACCCCCACCAAACCATGTCTTTAGCTCAGCAGCTTTAGGTCCTGGTATTGTCTGTACCCCCACCAAACCATGTCTTTAGCTCAGCAGCTTTAGGTCCTGGTATTGTATGTACCCCCACCAAACCATGTCTTTAGCTCAGCAGCTTTAGGTCCTGGTATTGTCTGTACCCCCACCAAACCATGTCTTTAGCTCAGCAGCTTTAGGTCCTGGTATTGTCTGTACCCCCACCAAACCATGTCTTTAGCTCAGCAGCTTTAGGTCCTGGTATTGTCTGTACCCCCACCAAAACATGTCTTTAGCTCAGCAGCTTTAGGTCCTGGTATTGTCTGTACCCCCACCAAACCATGTCTTTAGCTCAGCAGCTTTAGGTCCTGGTATTGTCTGTACCCCCACCAAACCATGTCTTTAGCTCAGCAGCTTTAGGTCCTGGTATTGTATGTACCCCCACCAAACCATGTCTTTAGCTCAGCAGCTTTAGGTCCTGGTACTTTAGCTCAGCAGCTTTAGGTCCTGGTATTGTCTGTACCCCCACCAAACCATGTCTTTAGCTCAGCAGCTTTAGGTCCTGGTATTGTATGTACCTTCACCAAACCATGTCTTTAGCTCAGCAGCTTTAGGTCCTGGTATTGTCTGTACTTTCACAAAACCATGTTTAGAACCCTACTATACAAAACCTGGTGGCCTAGATCAAGGTGAGCTTCAAGCTGAGGGATAAAACTTATGATCAACTGATTACATAAGTCATTAGCTGCCCAAATGTAACTGATTACATAAGTCAATAGATGCCCAAATGTAACTGATTACATAAGTCAATAGATGCCCAAATGTAACTGATTACATAAGTCATTAGCTGCCCAAATGTAACTGATTACATAAGTCATTAGCTGCCCAAATGTAACTGATTACATAAGTCATTAGCTGCCCAAATGTAACTGATTACATAAGTCAATAGATGCCCAAATGTAACTGATTACATAAGTCAATAGATGCCCAAATGTAACTGATTACATAAGTCAATAGATGCCCAAATGTAACTGATTACATAAGTCATTAGCTGCCCAAATGTAACTGATTACATAAGTCATTAGCTGCCCAAATGTAACTGATTACATGTCATTAGCTGCCCAAATGTAACTGATTACATGTCATTAGCTGCCCAAATGTAACTGATTACATGCCAATTGCTGCCCAAATGTAACTGATTACATAAGTCATTAGCTGCCCAAATGTAACTTATTACCTATGCCATTTGCTGCCCAAATATTACGTGGGTCATTTCTTAAAACTTGTTTATACATAGCAAGAGCACGATCTTGGTGGCGTTTTTCCTGAAAATAAACACTGGCAATTAGACATGGGAGATGTGACACAGACATGACAGATATCAGATGGTGACAAAGACATTACAGATATCAGATGGTGACACAGACATTACAGATATCAGATGGTGACACAGACATTACAGATATCAGATGGTGACACAGACATTACAGATATCAGATGGTGACACAGACATGACAGTTATCAGATGGTGACACAGACATTACAGATATCAGATGGTGACACAGACATTACAGATATCAGATGGTGACACAGACATTACAGATATCAGATGGTGACACAGACATTACAGATAGATGGTTACATAGACATGACAGAAATCAGAAGGTGACACAGGCATTACAGAAATCAGAAGGTGACACAGACATTACAGATATCAGAAGGTGACACAGACATTACAGATATCAGATGGTGACACAGACATTACAGATATCAGATGGTGACACAGACATTACAGATATCAGATGGTGACACAGACATTAGAGATATCAGATGGTGACACAGACATTACAGATATCAGATGGTGACACAGACATTACAGATATCAGATGGTGACACAGACATTAGAGATATCAGATGGTGACACAGACATTACAGATAGATGGTTACATAGACATGACAGAAATCAGAAGGTGACACAGGCATTACAGAAATCAGAAGGTGACACAGACATAACAGATATCAGATGGTGACACAAACATGACAGATATCAGATGGTGACACATACATTACAGATATCAAATGGTGACACAGGCATGGTGATGCCAGGCATAAGAGTTGTAAAAAAAACCTACCTTTTCTCTGTCTCTCATGGGCTGATGAAGTGTCTGAAGCCAGACATTCCCCAGAGCAATCAGAGAGTAGGCATCATCTTTGGTTGCCTGGCGCTGCAGAATTCTCTCAAACTTTTTCTGACCAGGTCCCCACTCTTGTTTGGCCAGATGAAGATTGCCAATCAGTGACCAGGCGTCTGGATGGTCCTACACAAACATTACATGTCTAATTAGGTCCTACACAAACATTACATGTCTAATTAGGTCCTACACAAACATTACATGTCTAATTAGGTCCTACACAAACATTACATGTCTAATTAGGTCCTACACAAACATTACATGACTTATTAGGTCCTACATAAACATTCAATGTCTAAAGGTCCTACACAAACATTCAGTCTAAAGGTCCTACATAAACATTCAGTCTAAAGGTCCTACATAAACATTCAGTCTAAAGGTCCTACATAAACATTCAGTCTAAAGGTCCTACATAAACATTACATGACTTATTAGGTCCTACATAAACATTCAATGTCTAATTAGGTCCTACATAAACATTCAGTCTAAAGGTCCTACATAAACATTCAGTCTAAAGGTCCTACACAAACATTCAGTCTAAAGGTCCTACATAAACATTCAGTCTAAAGGTCCTACACAAACATTCAGTCTAAAGGTCCTACACAAACATTACATGTCTAGTATTTAGCATAGAGTTATAGTTCAAAGAGTTAAGTCTAAAAAAATTTAAAATGGCCAAAATTCCATGCCAATGCCCTTAAAGAATAGCCAAAAGTGAAAAGATCTTGGAATATGCGGCTGTTTTGAGCTTGTGCGGAGAGGGTGATAAGGTTTGGGTGAAGTGCAGGCCTAGTTTGAGGCCTAGTGTAGCCAACAGACCATTTACCATAGGGAAACTGGGTCGTCTAGTATAATAGAAAAGTATCAAATTGTAAGGGTTTTAGAGAAAATAAAAATTAAAGTAAAACCATCAGCTACTGGAAATTAGAGAAAAGCTGGCAGAAAGAAAAATGTTTTAAGAAAATCCCGGTTAAAAAACCCACCTGGTTTATCTGTAAAGCCTCTTTAAACCAATCAGACGCCTCGTAGATCTGTCCTCTGTCTCTTGCCATACAGCCCAGCCGCAGGTAACCTGAAATACAGGAGGTGACACAAAGGTAAGGACAAACACAGGAGGTGACACAAAGGTAAGGGAGCTTACAAACACAGGAGGTGACACAAAGGTAAGGACAAACACAGGAGGTGACACAAAGGTAAGGACAAACACAGGAGGTGACACAAAGGTAAGGACAAACACAGGAGGTGACACAAAGGTAAGGGAGCTTACAAACACAGGAGGTGACACAAAGGTAAGGACAAACACAGGAGGTGACACAAAGGTAAGGACAAACACAGGAGGTGACACAAAGGTAAGGACAAACACAGGAGGTGACACAAAGGTAAGGGAGCTTACAAACACAGGAGGTGATACAAAGGTAAGGACAAACACAGGAGGTGATACAAAGGTAAGGGAGCTTACAAACACAGGAGGTGACACAAAGGTAAGGACAAACACAGGAGGTGACACAAAGGTAAGGGAGCTTACAAACACAGGAGGTGACACAAAGGTAAGGACAAACACAGGAGGTGACACAAAGGTAAGGGAGCTTACAAACACAGGAGGTGACACAAAGGTAAGGACAAACACAGGAGGTGACACAAAGGTAAGGGAGCTTACAAACACAGGAGGTGACACAAAGGTAAGGACAAACACAGGAGGTGACACAAAGGTAAGGACAAACACAGGTGACACAAAGGTAGGGAGTTTACAAACACAGGAGGTGACACAAAGGTAAGGACAAACACAGGTGACACAAAGGTAGGGAGCTTACAAACACAGGAGGTGACACAAAGGTAAGGACAAACACAGGAGGTGACACAAAGGTAAGGACAAACACAGGAGGTGACACAAAGGTAAGGACAAACACAGGAGGTGACACAAAGGTAAGGACAAACACAGGAGGTGACACAAAGGTAAGGGAGCTTACAAACACAGGAGGTGACACAAAGGTAAGGGAGCTTACAAACACAGGAGGTGACACAAAGGTAAGGACAAACACAGGAGGTGACACAAAGGTAAGGACAAACACAGGTGACACAAAGGTAGGGAGCTTACAAACACAGGAGGTGACACAAAGGTAAGGACAAACACAGGTGACACAAAGGTAGGGAGCTTACAAACACAGGAGGTGACACAAAGGTAAGGACAAACACAGGAGGTGACACAAAGGTAGGGAGCTTACAAACACAGGAGGTGACACAAAGGTAGGGAGCTTACAAACACATGAGGTGACACAAAGGTAAGGACAAACACAGGAGGTGACACAAAGGTAAGGACAAACACAGGAGGTGACACAAAGGTAAGGACAAACACAGGAGGTGACACAAAGGTAAGGACAAACACAGGAGGTGACACAAAGGTAAGGACAAACACAGGAGGTGATACAAAGGTAGGGAGCTTACAAACACAGGAGGTGACACAAAGGTAAGGGAGCTTACAAACACAGGAGGTGATACAAAGGTAAGGGAGCTTACAAACACAGGAGGTGACACACATGTAGGGAGCTTACAAACACAGGAGGTGACACAAAGGTAAGGGAGCTTACAAACACAGGAGGTGACACAAAGGTAAGGGAGCTTACAAACACAGGAGGTGACACAAAGGTAAGGGAGCTTACAAACACATGAGGTGACACAAAGGTAGGGAGCTTACAAACACATGAGGTGATACAAAGGTAAGGACAAACACAGGAGGTGACACAAAGGTAAGGACAAACACAGGAGGTGATACAAAGGTAAGGACAAACACAGGAGGTGACACAAAGGTAAGGACAAACACAGGAGGTGACACAAAGGTAAGGGAGCTTACAAACACAGGAGGTGACACAAAGATAAGGGAGCTTACAAACACAGGAGGTGACACAAAGGTAAGGACAAACACAGGAGGTGATACAAAGGTAAGGACAAACACAGGAGGTGATACAAAGGTAAGGGAGCTTACAAACACAGGAGGTGACACAAAGGTAAGGGAGCTTACAAACACAGGATGTGACACAAAGGTAAGGACAAACACAGGAGGTGATATAAAGGTAAGGGAGCTTACAAACACAGGAGGTGATACAAAGGTAAGGACAAACACAGGAGGTGATACAAAGGTAGGGAGCTTACAAACACAGGAGGTGACACAAAGGTAGGGAGCTTACAAACACAGGAGGTGACACAAAGGTAGGGAGCTTACAAAAACAGGAGGTGACACAAAGGTAGGGAGCTTACAAACACAGGAGGTGACACAAAGGTAAGGGAGCTTACAAAAACAGGAGGTGACACAAAGGTAGGGAGCTTACAAACACAGGAGGTGACACAAAGGTAAGGACAAACACAGGAGGTGACACAAGATAAGGACAAACACAGGAGGTGACACAAAGGTAAGGACAAACACAGGAGGTGACACAAAGGTAAGGGAGCTTACAAACACAGGAGGTGACACAAAGGTAAGGACAAACACAGGAGGTGATACAAAGGTAAGGACAAACACAGGAGGTGATACAAAGGTAAGGGAGCTTACAAACACAGGAGGTGATACAAAGGTAAGGACAAACACAGGAGGTGACACAAAGGTAAGGACAAACACAGGAGGTGACACAAAGGTAAGGGAGCTTACAAACACAGGAGGTGATACAAAGGTAAGGACAAACACAGGAGGTGATACAAAGGTAAGGACAAACACAGGAGGTGACACAAAGGTAGGGATCTTACAAATATCAGTGTACTTATTGGTGTATTCATCTAATGACAATTTACAATCTATGTGGTACTAATGGTACACTTACAGTCCACGTAGTTGGGATGGTCTCTAAGAATATTCCTGTAATACTTGTCAGCCTTATCGTACTCATGCAAGGCCTCGTACAGCCTGGCCAGGTTGTATGTGCTAGTGACAGAGATGGCGCTGTAGTAAGTCTCATCATGTTGGGCTTCTGTTTTAGACCGCTCTAGAGACGCTTCGTAATATTTCTGTCACCAAAGATTTTCATTGTTTTTTAAAACTTCATTTAGGTAAGAGAATGTTTATACAAACTTACCATGTCACCCTGTCTATACAAACTTACCCTCGCCTGTCTATACAAACTTACCCTCGCCTGTCTATACAAACTTACCCTGTCTATACAAACTTACCCTGTCTATACAAACTTACCCTCGCCTGTCTATACAAACTTACCCTGTCTATACAAACTTACCCTGTCTATACAAACTTACCCTGGCATCCTCAAAGTTTCCTAGCCTGAAGTGTAGAGCTGCGACATTGTTGAGGATCTCTGGCGGAATGTCAGCCTCCACTTTTTCTTTCAGGATACGAGTGGCAGTGCCATATGCTGATAGGGCTCCCTGCAACAATACGGTTGTGTGGGGGTCAGCTGTTGTGTGAGGGTCAGCTGTTGTGTGGGGGTCAGCTGTTGTGTGGGGGTCAGCTGTTGTGTGGGGGTCAACTGTTGTGTGGGGGTCAGCTGTTGTGTGGGGGTCAGCTGTTGTGTGAGGTCAGCTGTTGTGTGAGGTCAGCTGTTGTGTGGGGGTCAGCTGTTGTGTGAGGTCAGCTGTTGTGTGGGGGTCAGCTGTTGTTGTATTGGAGGTCAGCTGTTGTGTGGGGGTCAGCTGTTGTGTGGGGGTCAGCTGTTGTGTGGGGGTCAGCTGTTGTGTGGGGGTCAGCTGTTGTGTGGGGGTCAACTGTTGTGTGGGGGTCAGCTGTTGTGGGGGGGTCAACTGTTGTGTGGGGGTCAGCTGTTGTGTGGGGGTCAACTGTTGTGTGGGGGTCAGCTGTTGTGTGGGGGTCAACTGTTGTGTGGGGGTCAGCTGTTGTGGGGGGGGTCAGCTGTTGTGTGGGGGTCAGCTGTTGTGTGGGGGTCAACTGTTGTGTGGGGGTCAGCTGTTGTGTGGGGGTCAACTGTTGTGTGGGGGTCAGCTGTTGTGTGGGGGTCAACTGTTGTGTGGGGGTCAGCTGTTGTGGGGGGGGGGGGGGTCAGCTGTTGTGTGGGGGTCAGCTGTTGTGTGGGGGTCAGCTGTTGTGTGGGGGTCAGCTGTTGTGTGGGGGTCAACTGTTGTGTGGGGGTCAGCTGTTGTGTGGGGGTCAGCTGTTGTGTGGGGGTCAGCTGTTGTGTGGGGGGGGGTCAGCTGTTGTGTGGGGGTCAGCTGTTGTGTGGGGGTCAACTGTTGGCCAACTCACCTGAACATGTTTAGTGGAGGTAAGGCCAACTCCCCTGAACATGTTTAGTGGAGGTAAGGCTAACTCACCTGAACATGTTTAGTGGAGGTAAGGCTAACTCACCTGAACATGTTTAGTGGAGGTAAGACCAACTCACCTGAACATGTTTAGTGGAGGTAAGGCTAACTCACCTGAACATGTTTAGTGGAGGTAAGGCTAACTCACCTGAACAAGTTTAGTGGAGGTAAGGCCAACTCACCTGAACATGTTTAGTGGAGGTAAGGCCAACTCCCCTGAACATGTTTAGTGGAGGTAAGGCTAACTCACCTGAACATGTTTAGTGGAGGTAAGGCTAACTCACCTGAACATGTTTAGTGGAGGTAAGACCAACTCACCTGAACATGTTTAGTGGAGGTAAGGCTAACTCACCTGAACATCTGTTTGTTCCATGATCTGAGCCAGTTCAATCCAGGCTTCAACGTCATCTGGAAATTGTTCAGTGACTTTCTTCATGTGTTGCTGTGGGAGGTACAATTCATAATAATCTAAACATCAGACATCTGTGTACACATCTACCTAAACACACACATGTACACATCTACCTAAACACACACTTGTACACATCTACCTAAACACACACATGTACACATCTACCTAAACACACCCTTGTACACATCTACCTAAACACACACTTGTACACATCTACCTAAACACACACATGTACACATCTACCTAAACACACCCTTGTACACATGTACCTAAACACACCCTTGTACACATCTACCTAAACACACCCTTGTACACATCTACCTAAACACACACTTGTACACATCTACCTAAACACACACTTGTACACATCTACCTAAACACATGCTTGTACACATCTACCTAAAACCACCCTTGTACACATCTACCTAAACACACGCTTGTACACATCTACCTAAACACACACATGTACACATCTACCTAAACACACACTTGTACACATGTACCTAAACACACCCTTGTACACATCTACCTAAACACACACTTGTACACATCTACCTAAACACACCCTTGTACACATCTACCTAAACACACCCTTGTACACATCTACTTAAACACACACTTGTACACATCTACCTAAACACACACTTGTACACATCTACCTAAACACACACTTGTACACATCTACTTAAACACACACTTGTACACATCTACCTAAACACACCCTTGTACACATCTACTTAAACACACCCTTGTACACATCTACTTAAACACACACTTGTACACATCTACCTAAACACACACTTGTACACATGTACCTAAACAGACACTTGTACACATCTACTTAAACACACACTTTTACACATCTACCTAAACACACACTTGTACACATCTACCTAAACACACCCTTGTACACATGTACCAAGCCATTGAACCTACTCTGGCTGTGTCCCTCTTGTCTTGATCTGAATGATTGGCATAGAGTGAGCCCAGGATCTTCATAGTTTCATAGTTACCTGGCTGGGCCTTCAGGACTTTCTCAAAACATTGGGCAGCCTGAGGGGGAATGTTTTACACTTGACACATCTCTATACATGTCTAGGGTACAAATCTAGCAACAAGTAGGCCTAACATGTTTAGGCTACAAATCTAGCAACAAGTAGGCCTATACATGTTTAGGCTACAAATCTAGCAACAAGTAGGCCTATACATGTCTAGGGTACAAATCTAGCAACAAGTAGGCCTATACATGTCTAGGGTACAAATCTAGCAACAAGTAAACATGTTCCTTTGGGAAAATGTTATGTATAGTATGCAGTATCACCGTAGGAAAATAGTAGGTCATACAATAGGCAAGTTGTAGGTCTTACAGTAGGCAAGTAGTAGGTCTTACAGTAGGCAAGTTGTAGGTCTTACAGTAGGCAAGTAGTAGGTCTTACAGTAGGCAAGTTGTAGGTCTTACAGTAGGCAAGTAGTAGGTCTTACAGTAGGCAAGTTGTAGATCTTACAGTAGGCAAGTAGTAGGTCTTACAGTAGGCAAGTAGTAGGTCTTACAGTAGGCAAGTTGTAGATCTTACAGTAGGCAAGTTGTAGGTCTTACAGTAGGCAAGTAGTAGGTCTTACAGTAGGCAAGTTGTAGATCTTACAGTAGGCAAGTAGTAGGTGTTACAGTAAGCAAGTTGTAGGTCTTACAGTAGGCAAGTAGTAGGTCTTACAGTAGGCAAGTAGTAGGTGTTACAGTAAGCAAGTTGTAGGTCTTACAGTAGGCAAGTAGTAGGTCTTACAGTAGGCAAGTAGTAGGTCTTACAGTTAATTTCACAACCGGCCCATATGATTACAGCCCAAACAATAAAAAACCTACGTTGTCATTGTCTCCTCTGAATATGTACATCTGGCCAAGACCAAAGAATGGCAGGACAAAATTGGCAGGAGCAAACTGGGTGGACTGGTAGTAGTACTGGAAGGCTTGGTCGTAGTCCTCCTGTAACAGGGGGGGGTTTGTACATGAGTTTGTACATGGGTTTGTACATGGGTTTGTGCATGGGTTTGTGCATGGTTTGTGTACGGGTTTGTGCACGGGTTTGTATATGGGTTTGTACATGGGTTTGTGTATGGGTTTGTACATGGGTTTGTGTACAGGTTTGTACATGGGTTTGTACATGGGTTTGTACATGGGTTTGTGTACAGGTTTGTACATGGGTTTGTACATGGGTTTGTACATGGGTTTGTACATGGCTTTGTGCATGGCTTTGTGCATGGGTTTGTGTATGGGTTTGTACATGGGTTTGTGCATGGGTTTGTACATGGGTTTGTTCATTAGTTTGTACATGGGTTTGTACACTGGTGTCAAGTGAACTAACTTGTTTATTATCTTGTAGTCTAGTTGTCCAATGTGCCAACATACCTGAACATGAAAAGCCCGAGCCAGCTGATATGTACTTTCTGCTCTCATGGCCTCGTTCTCTGTGTTGTGGAACGCATGAAGTGCTAAATGCTGGACCTTCTGGTAGTCCTGGAACAACAATCAACATGTCTTCACTGTCTCAGGGCAACATGTGGTCAGATGTGGGGTGTGGCCAGATTGGATGTGGGGTGTGGCCAGATTGGATGTGGGGTGTGGCCAGATTGGATGTGGGGTGTGGCCAGATTGGATGTGGGGTGTGGCCAGATTGGATGTGGGGTGTGGCCAGATTGGATGTGGGGTGTGGCCAGATTGCATGTGGGGTGTGGTCAGATTGGATGTGGGGTGTGGCTAGATTGGATGTGGGGTGTGGGCAGATTGGATGTGGGGTGTGGCCAGATTGGATGTGGGGTGTGGTCAGATTGGATGTGGGGTGTGGCCAGATTGGATGTGGGGTGTGGCCAGATGGATGTGGGGTGTGGCCAGATTCGATGTGGGGTGTGGCCAGATTGCATGTGGGGTGTGGTCAGATTGGATGTGGGGTGTGGCTAGATTGGATGTGGGGTGTGGCTAGATTGGATGAGGGGTGGAGCAGGGATAGAAATGCTGACTCTTACCTTCTTGTAAAAAAAATGGTTGGCCAAGTGGTTGAGCACCATAGGGTTGGATGAATCTATAGTGTAAGCCTTCGACAACAGCTGGACTCCATTCTTGATGGATTCTTGTGTCTTGGAGTTGAGTTCCAAAATGGCCAGACCTACAAGGGCGCCTACACAGTTGGGGTCAAGCTCAAGAGCCCTTTCAAAAGCCATCCTAGCAGAGAATTACAGCATGGCATGTCAGCTAGGACTAGCAGTACTAAATATGTTGGATTGTAGCACTACTAAATATGTTGGATTATAGCACTACTAAATATGTTGGATTGTAGCACTACTAAATATGTTGGATTGTCTCTATACTACTAAAACTCAAGTTTGTTTACATGTTAGAATATTTATTTGTTTGTTTTTATGTTTGTCTGATTGACTACTGGAGAAAATCTGCTCTATGTGTAGGGCTGTAAAATAGTATGTAGGTAGAGAACAATTTTTCTTTTCAGACAGACTGTTAATCACAAATTTATTTAAAGACGTTAATTAATTTATTGATTTATTCATAGGTAGATTAACCACATTAATTTTAAAATTTTCAAACAATGGCTTAACTTTGACTGAATAGTGACGTCACATGATTTGTTTACTTTTTAGTACAATAAAATGGCGGCTTCCATCATAGACTTTGTGGCCCATTCAAAAGTTAAATGTGTTCTAAAGCTAATTTTCTGTCGGCTATAACTTTAACAATATGTCCGGTTGCTGTTTTTATTACGTTGCAACACTTATATAAATTTTCAACTGTCTTTTTCAATTAGTTTTACAATAAATTTCTCTAGCTCTACAATCTGTCCAAGAAAGTTATCTATTTATTATCTAAATAAGTTGAATTGGATGCCCTACCTGGCTTTGTTCAAACGGTTCAACTTAACAAAACAATGTCCCATCCCTAGCCTGACTGAGGCGGGGCAGGTGGGGTTGGTGCGCAGAGCTTTCTTGTAATAGGCCAAGGCTCCCCTGTAGTCTTTCTTGTTGAAGGCTATACAGGCTTTTCCCAGCAGTGAGGGGATGTTGTTGCTGGACTGGACAGGGGATTCTTACATTAGAATGGCTTTATCAGCCTGCAAGGCATAAACTTAGCTATGAGAGACACAAGAACATACCTGGTTGAGTACAAGTTATGAGAGACACAAGAACCTACCTGGTTGAGTACAAGTTATGAGAGACACAAGAACCTACCTGATTGAGTACAAGTTGTGAGAGACACAAGAACATACCTGGTTGAGTACAAGCTATGAGAGACACAAGAACATACCTGATTGAGTACAAGCTATGAGAGACACAAGAACATACCTGGTTGAGTACAAGTTATGAGAGACACAAGAACCTACCTGGTTGAGTACAAGTTATGAGAGACACAAGAACCTACCTGGTTGAGTACAAGTTATGAGAGACAAGAACCTACCTGGTTGAGTACAAGTTATGAGAGACACAAGAACCTACCTGATTGAGTACAAGTTGTGAGAGACACAAGAACCTACCTGGTTGAGTACAAGTTATGAGAGACACAAGAACATACCTGGTTGAGTACAAGCTATGAGAGACACAAGAACATACCTGGTTGAGTACAAGTTATGAGAGACACAAGAACCTACCTGGTTGAGTACAAGTTATGAGAGACACAAGAACATACCTGGTTGAGTACAAGTTATGAGAGACACAAGAACCTACCTGATTGAGTACAAGTTGTGAGAGACACAAGAACATACCTGGTTGAGTACAAGCTATGAGAGACACAAGAACATACCTGATTGAGTACAAGTTATGAGAGACACAAGAACATACCTGGTTGAGTACAAGTTATGAGAGACACAAGAACCTACCTGGTTGAGTACAAGTTATGAGAGACACAAGAACCTACCTGATTGAGTACAAGTTATGAGAGACACAAGAACCTACCTGGTTGAGTACAAGCTCACAAGAACCTACCTGGTTGAGTACAAGTTATGAGAGACACAAGAACATACCTGGTTGAGTACAAGTTATGAGAGACACAAGAACCTACCTGGTTGAGTACAAGCTATGAGAGACACAAGAACATACCTGATTGAGTACAAGTTATGAGAGACACAAGAACATACCTGGTTGAGTACAAGTTATGAGAGACACAAGAACCTACCTGGTTGAGTACGAAGTTGAACTGGGCATCGGCCTGGTCCATCTTATCTCCCTCCAGCAGACAGAAGTAGGCGCGGCCCAGCAGATGGTTCTAGATACAAAAGAGATATTTAAACACAGCCTTAGTTGTGTGTGTGACCTACCACTACTTTATGTTTAACACTGGTCTAGGTGTGTGAGTGTGTGTCTGACCTACCACTACCTTATGTTTAACACTGCCCTAGGTGTGTGTGTGTGTGTGTGTGACCTGAATGCAGTCTCCAACTAACCCACCTGGTCATACATAATGATCCTGTCAGCTGTCGTGTATAGTAGTGTGGCCTTCATAAAGAGATCTTTCTTCCTATCTTTGTTTTTCTCCTTGTGCGCCTGCTGCACATAGTAGGCAGCCAAGGTGTCCAGTGAACGCATCTGGTCCTTCTCAAAGTTAGCATAGTCCAGACTGGCATCTGTGCGAGAGCCTTCAAGGATCTTGACAAAGTCATCAGGGTTACCCTGCTTCCAATACTCCAACTGAAATGTTTGGAAACTATGAAAATCTGAGAGCATGATCAGCTCAAAAGTTTCTAGTGGCAATACTCACAGCCAAGGTGACCCATATGTGGAGTGGTGCAGCCTCTTGCCGCAGGATGCTGAGCACCTCCTCACCTTCAGGCAATTGATCAAAATCTAGCTCAATAACCTGTCAGCACAAAAATCATCTAGGTCAGCAGATTAAAAAATGAAAAGAAATACAAGCCAGATTTGTACATTTTCATAAGCATTCAATAGTCTATAAAATGCTGTACAAATGTGTTTGAAAAAATGTCAGTAAATGAAGTTAGATCTCAAATTTTCTTTTATTAAGCTTATAGACCTATTTCATACTTTGCTAATGAATAGGTTTTAATTTAATAGGAAATGCCTCTAGCATACATCATACGTCATAAGTTTTTAATTTGAGAATGTCAATGAAGTCACTTTTCCCCCAAGTAATATGAAACACGTGGTGTCATTGTGGGTTCACATAAACTTAATTTGCCTACTACCAAGCAACTTTAGCGTCAAGAAACGGGGGAGAAAAGAGGTAGCCTACCTATATTTCTTTTACAGCTATGGTACAATGACAGAGCTAACACTAATCACTCATTAAATTCAACATTGTAACAACACCAGTCCTTGACCTTGATTACAGCCTTGTTCTTGTTTGGAACAAAAAGTATGCCAGCATGTGCCAACAACATCATCCAAGGCCAATACCACGTTACTAATGGGGTTCAAAGTTTAACTTACCCCGTTACTAATGGCAATGGGGTTCAAAGTTTAACTTTATCTTCAAGAAAGGGAGAGGGTGGTATTGGAAAAATGAAGCTTTAATAGTATTAAAATAGCGTATTAGTCGAGGCCTAATTTAAAAATTATATTTCTCATTTTGCCAAGAATTCAAAGGGTTGATTCTAAATATCATCCATTCCCAGCAAGCCTGCCAATCAGGTGGGGTACAATACGAGACAAAAATGTCATGTGACCGGCCATTTTTGCACCCTTCTTGCATTTTACCGCCTTGACATTTCACATCTCGCATTTTAACAAGACCCGCTACAGACAACCTCTACACTCTACTAGACATCTAGAATGGATCCAAGTGAGAATAGTCTTTAAAGATATTCGAGAGGCCCATTAAATTTTTTTTTTTATCATGCATGGTGTAGGCCTAATTAAAATTAATATGGTTGTAAAATCCCGACTGATTGGTTTTTTCTGACATTAAAAAAGAGATTGTTTATATTATTGTTTTGAGTTTACATTTAACTCAATGCAACGAGCCCGCCGGTTGGTTGTGTCCACGCCTGGGGAACGATCTGTCTGGGATTCAAAGGGTCGATTCTAAATATCATCCATTTTATCATACAAAATGTAAACAAAAAGGCAGAACTCGTTCATGTGGTTTAAAATAGCATTATGATTATGTTTTTACAAACTTTATCTACAAAGTTTTGTAAACAAATAGATCTAGATCTAGCTATTGCTAACAGAGTTGCTATGCCAAACAATGTTTTTTTTGTTTGTCATACAAACGTGAAACATCCAAAAGTGAAACATCCAGTTCAAACTTAGACTTGACTTAAATAAATAGAAATGTATTTGTAGCCTTAAACTCACTTAAACTAAAAAAATTATTTTAAAGTTCTCTGGATTTGAAACTTTTATAACATTCTTAGGCCCAAGTTTGTAGGCCTAGATAACTAGATTCTACATCTAGATCAGAAGATATAGATCTAGATCTAGAATCTAATTCTAAACTGACTAGAGATTCTAGATAGATCTAGAATCTGAGTCTAGACTCTAGAGACTAGACTAGATCTAGACTAGATTCTAGAAATCTAGTAGAATAAGTATTAAGTAGAATGTAGTGTATTAGTGTAGAAGTGTAGATTAGTGTAGATTATTAATATTATTATTCAATCATTCATTATTCATTTTTTACTTTCTCGTATATACGTAGTATAGAGAAAGTATTGTAATCGTGCAAAAAAAAAAAATCGAGATTTTTACAAATCTCGACGTTTTACACCTCACTGATACGGAAAAACATAATTTTGCAATCTTGTCCGTATGTCTGTGTGTGTGTGTGTCTGTCCGTGTGTGTGTCTGTCCGTGTGTAAACACGATAACTTGAGTACCGTTACAGCTAGGTTGATGAAATTTCATATATAAGTATTTTATCAAAATCGTAGATCCGTATCAACTTTTGAGCGATTTCCGATAACCGGAAGTGGTACTTTTCCTACTTTGAATTTTTTAAAAGCCTATAACTTGAGTACTATTTCAGATAGATAAATGAAATTTCACATGTAAGTAAAAGATCTAATTCTCTACCTTCTGTTAAATTTTGAGTAATGTCCGTTGACTGGAAGTAGTAATTTACGCTACTTCCGATTTCTCAAAAAACTAATGTAAATTTTAAAAGTACTAATAATATTGCGCACTATTATGCGCTTTTTTTATTTGCGTTCACTTGGTGTGCAATTAATTTGTCTACGAGATTTTATTCTATTTTTAAAACTTTAAGTATTTAAAATGGATTAAAAATCATGTCTATAGCCCGAGTTTCCATCCCGTTATTTTATATAAGAATATTCGAGAAAGTTTAGGGGAGATCACTCCCGGTTTATTTCTAGAGTCTAGTCAAACTATAAAAAATTAAAATGTTTATTTATATCCATGTCAACAATTTGATAGAATGATTCTCGTCAACTTATAGGCCTCCATTCTAGAATTCTAGATCTATAAATGAAGGCCATATTTCGTTTTAAGAAATTAGAAAAATATATTTCAATATTTACTTCATCTGTGTCTCTGAGAGGGATTTCAATCGAACCTCCCGATGAAGTAGCCATCTTTGTATAATGCAGCCTTGACCTTGCTCAATAAAAACATGGGAGATTCCAGTTCTAACTTCTAATCGAGACCAGAACCGAACTAAAAGTAGATTTACCTTTAATGTTTTACAGAAGTTTAATAGTTGTTTAAATCTAAAAAAAAATAGAATAAAAAAGCTTGTGTTAGATACTAAAACAAAACTAACAGTAGTAGTTGTAGATCTATAAAATATAGATCTAGACCCAGCCTGGATCTAGATTTATTTTGTGATAAATCCTGGTTCACTTTTATAATAATATTTTCAACAAAATGTTTTATTTTAGAGTCCTACTACTATGACTATCATTCTGTGGTAGGCCCTAATTACTAGATCTAATATCTCTTAATATAGATTAGATCTAGTTCAGGCTGTATGTTTCTCATAGATCTTACTAGATTCTATCTAGATCTAGATGGAGCGGTACACCATTGTGAAGAGGTTGGGAGTGGGAGCACATGGGGCTGTCTATCTTGTCAAACACACAGAAACTAACAGGTCAGTCAGTCTCATCAAATAATCTAAAGTTTCAAGAATGTTGTAAGTTATCTATCTACAAGTACAACACTAGTTTAAGTTTCATTCATTGTTTGCATTCCCTGTAGGTTACTTGCTATGAAAAAAATTGAAGTTGATGAGCGCAAGAAAACAAGAACTAAAGAAGCTGTATTAAAAGAAGCCAGGTATGTCATATTTATGATATTATTTTTTATGGGTAGTCATATAATGGCGTCATATGCATATGTTAAATACAGGGTATGTCATTTGTTAAAGAAGACAGCTGACATGTTAAAGAAGACAGGTATGTCACATACATTACGTATTGCCCTCAGACTGTATACAAATAAGAAAAGTGTATCACAGTTGTCAACATATTTGTTCTCCCCAGCATCTTGTCCCAGTTGCGACACCCACACATCATTTTATTTCATGAGTCATTCCTGGACCCTACCTTAGACAATGTCTGCATCATTTTGGTAAGTCTGTCTGTATCTGCATCATTTGGTATGTCTGAGAGTTGACACTTCAGACTTTAAATGTGACAGTGTATGAGAGTTGACACATCACTTTGTCTACAGGATTACTGTGATGGGGGAAACATGTCTGAACTCATCCAACAGGCTGCGCAGGTAGGAGAAAATGGTTGAACCTATAGGAACAGTTCATTTAAAAACTTATTAGAACTCTAAAAGCATGTAATGGACTCTTAAGGTTTAAGTCATTTGTTAAGTATAATTTTGTTTATTTTTCTTGAACAGACTTGCCGTGTGTTTACTGAAAGACAGATCATGCAGGTAAATTTAGACATCACTGTGTCAGGTGAAGTGTCAGGTTTGACAGGTGTGTCAGGTTTGACAGGTGTGTCAGGTTTGACAGGTGTGTCAGGTGAAGTGTCAGGTTTGACAGGTGTGTCAGGTTTGACAGGTGTGTCAGGTTTGACAGGTGTGTCAGGTTTGACAGGTGTCAGGTGAGGTATCAGGTCTGACCATATTTGTGTGTACTGTTTAATTTTATTTTTTGTATCTTTATTTTCAGTGGTTTATCCAGATTGTTATGGCCGTACAGTATATCCACTCTAAGCATATATTGCATAGGTCAGTTCCAGCTCTTACTTGTTACACTGGCTGTCATTTGTTACACTGGCTTTCATTTGTTAAACTGGCTGTCATTTGTTACACTGGCTTTCATTTGTTATACTGGCTGTCTTTTGTTACACTGGCTATCAAATGTAACATTGAGTACACACTGTATATTTACATGTTTACAGAACAGGCTAACATGTTTGAAATGTTAACATTTATTTCAGAGACCTGAAGGCTGAGAATGTTTTTTTAAACAAAAGAAATATGATCAAGTTAGGTAAGTTTTTATCTGGCAAATTTTCTTATTGTCTCCCCTAGTTGGCTGGCAATCAGATGGCACTAGCTTGAGATATTTTTCCTGCAATCAGATGACACTAGCTTGAGATATTTTTCCTGCAATCAGATGGCACTAGCTTGAGATATTTTTCCTGCAATCAGATGGCACTAGCTTGAGATATTTTTCCTGCAATCAGATGGCACTAGCTTGAGATATTTTTCCTGCAATCAGATGGCACTAGCTTGTGATATTTTTCCTGCAATCAGATGGCACTAGCTTGTGATATTTTTCCTGCAATCAGATGGCACTAGCTTGAGATATTTTTCCTGCAATCAGATGGCACTAGCTTGTGATATTTTTCCTGCAATCAGATGGCACTAGCTTGTGATATTTTTCCTGCAATCAGATGGCACTAGCTTGTGATATTTTTCCTGCAATCAGATGGCACTAGCTTGTGATATTATTCCTGCAATCAGATGGCACTAGCTTGAGATATTTTTCCTGCAATCAGATGGCACTAGCTTGAGATATTTTTCCTGCAATCAGATGGCACTAGCTTGTGATATTTCTCCTGCAATCAGATGGCACTAGCTTGTGATATTTTTCCTGCAATCAGATGGCACTAGCTTGAGATATTTTTCCTGCAATCAGATGGCACTAGCTTGTGATATTTTTCCTGCAATCAGATGGCACTAGCTTGAGATATTTTTCCTGCAATCAGATGGCACTAGCTTGTGATATTTTTCCTGCAATCAGATGGCACTAGCTTGTGATATTTTTCCTGCAATGATGGCACTAGCTTGTGATATTTTTCCTGCAATGAAAACCATCTGAAATAATGTTTTTGTTGTAGGAGATTTTGGCATCTCCAAAATTCTAGAGAACACAATTGATGTGGCTAAAACTGTAGTTGGTACTCCCTCCTACCTCAGCCCAGAGTTATGTCAGGACATCCCGTACAACTCAAAGTCAGATATATGGGTGAGTCACCCCATCTGAGTCTGTCTGTCTGTCTGTCTGTGTGTGTGTTAACAAAATAACTTGATGACCATTTTAATTAGGTAGAGAAAATGTAATTTACATTTCCCTAACTGGAAGTGGTACTTATATCTTCACTAACTTGTCTCAAAGTGACCTAAAGCAATTTGTCACAAAGTGACCTAAAGCAATTTGTCACAAAGTGACCTAAAGCAATTTGTCACAAAGTGACCTCAAGCAATTTGTCACAAAGTGACCTAAAGCAATTTGTCACAAAGTGACCTCAAGCAATTTGTCACAAAGTGACCTCAAGCAATTTGTCACAAAGTGACCTCAAGCAATTTGTCACAAAGTGACCTACAATTTCTATAGCCAGAGTGCACTGGAAGTGCTACCCCCACCAGAAATGTTGAATAAGAAAAATTGCAGAAATTTCAGGGGAGCTAACTCCTGCTTTATTCCGCAGGCTGTTGGCTGTCTGCTGTATGAGATGTGTGTCCTGCATCCACCTTTTGATGGGAAAAGTTTAATTAGTTTGTTCATCAACATCATTAAGGCAGGTTATAAGGTAATTACATAACACATATTTCCATGAGTTCATCTACTACACATATTTAAATACTTGTTTACAATTACAACTTTTTAGCGCAATTTCCATTCTGGAGAATTGCGTTTATTAACTCGTCATTTCTGGGAATGGATGGATGGATGAATGACTGAATGGATGAATGTGTGTCCGGGCTTTAAGTCGTATCTCCTCCTCAATGAAGCAATATCGATGACTAGTTCCAAAAGCAATTATGTTAAGCAAGTTACGAGAATGAGCATAGGCCATAAAAATTCCGGGTTTCTTTCATGTATTTCCCGTAAAAGCCAAAAAACCTCGAAAAAATGCAGTTTTTGGCCCATATCTCGGCAACCAGACCACTTAGCGACTTGAAACATGTACCAATCGATTCCTGCCATAATTTAGAACAATATTGCCGAAGAAAGTTTTCAAAAATATCCTCTCGTTCGGTCACAAATTTTAAAACTACATAAACACCTACAAACCGATCGCTCTTCTAGCTTGAACGCACCCCATCATTATACGTCAGAGCTATTTTTAGATAACATAAGGAAATTGCGCATAAATGTCACTAGACTTTTTAATTAACTTGCGCGCCTACTGAACGTGATGGCGCAGCCATGGAACGCGATGACGCATCTATTGAACGTGATGAAGCGTGTGGTGTGGTTGTATATACATGCCGGAAGTAGAGATCTATCATCTTAATGATTATCATGTTGATAATCAAGTTCAACTAACCAATGGTTTTAATAACCCTGCTCTTGATTTCAAGGTGCTTAGTTTAGTTAGTAGTTAGGTTTATTTAATAAAAAACGTTTTAATAACTAACCAATGGTTTTACTAACCCTGCTCTTGATTTACGCTACGACAGAGCTATTTTTAGATAACATAAGGAAATTGCGCTAAAATTGTCACTAGACTTTTAATTAACTTGTTTTTTGTAACAAATCACTAATCTTGTAAGCTAAAATCAAACTTGACAATCTTATAAGCTAGAATCAAACTTGACAATCTTGTAAGCTAGAATCAAACTTGACAATCTTGTAAGCTAGAATCAAACTTGACAATCTTATAAGCTAGAATCAAACTTGACAATCTTATAAGCTATAATCAAACTTGACAATCTTGTAAGCTAAAATCAAACTTGACAATCTTGTAAGCTAGAATCAAACTTGACAATCTTATAAGCTAGAATTAAACTTGACAATCTTATAAGCTAGAATTAAACTTGACAATCTTGTAAGCTAGAATCAAATTTGACAATCTTGTAAGCTAGAATCAAACTTGACAATCTTGTAAGCTAGAATCAAACTTGACAATCTTATAAGCTAGAATTAAACTTGACAATCTTATAAGCTAGAATTAAACTTGACAATCTTATAAGCTAGAATCAAACTTGACAATCTTGTGAGCTAGAATCAAACTTGACAATCTTATAAGCTAGAATCAAACTTGACAATCTTGTGAGCTAGAATTAAACTTGACAATCTTATAAGCTAGAATCAAACTTGACAATCTTGTAAGCTAGAATCAAACTTGACAATCTTGTGAGCTAGAATCAAACTTGACAAAACATTTTTCAGCCCTTCCCATCAGATGCTCCTACTGGTATACAGGAACTTGTCCGACAAATTCTTCAGAAAAATCCAGAGGATAGACCCAGGTATTTTGTGTTGCTCTAATACATTGGCTAGACCAGATGACACATTGGCTAGACCAGATGACACATTGGCTAGACCAGATGACACATTGGCTAGACCAGATGACACATTGGCTAGACCAGATGACACATTGGCTAGACCAGATGACACATTGGCTAGACCAGATGACACATTGGCTAGACCAGATGACACATTGGCTAGACCAGATGACACATTGGCTAGACCAGATGACATGACACATTGGCTAGACCAGATGACATGACACATTGGCTAGACCAGATGACACATTGGCTAGACCAGATGACATGACACATTGGCTAGACCAGATGACACATTGGCTAGACCAGATGACACATTGGCTAGACCAGATGACACATTGGCTAGACCAGATGACACATTGGCTAGACCAGATGACACATTGGCTAGACCAGATGACACATTGGCTAGACCAGATGACATGACACATTGGCTAGACCAGATGACATAACACAGTGGCTAGACCAGATGACACATTGGCTAGACCAGATGACACATTGGCTAGACCAGATGACACATTGGCTAGACCAGATGACACATTGGCTAGACCAGATGACACATTGGCTAGACCAGATGACACATTGGCTAGACCAGATGACATGACACATTGGCTAGACCAGATGACACATTGGCTAGACCAGATGACATGACACATTGGCTAGACCAGATGACATGACACATTGGCTAGACCAGATGACACATTGGCTAGACCAGATGACATGACACATTGGCTAGACCAGGTGACACATTGGCTAGACCAGATGACATGACACATTGGCTAGACCAGATGACATGACACATTGGCTAGACCAGATGACATGACACATTGGCTAAACCAGATGACATGACACATTGGCTAGACCAAATGACACATTGGCTAGACCAGATGACACATTGGCTAGACCAGATGACACATTGGCTAGACCAGATGACACATTGGCTAGACCAGATGACACATTGGCTAGACCAGATGACATGACACATTGGCTAGACCAGATGACACATTGGCTAGACCAGATGACATTACACATTGGCTAGACCAGATGACACATTGGCTAGACCAGATGACATTGGCTTGACCAGATGACAAATTGGCTAGACCAGATGACATGACACATTTGTCACGGGACACTAGACAGCCATACATTTGTCCTGTTACTTTGAGGATCAGGGAATATAGCATCAATATACTTGATGCAAACACCATTGGATCCTTATGTTTTAGCATTTGGTAGAGCTCTAGACCAATCAATAGGATGTAACAAAACTTGCTCTCCCTCCTCCAGTGCCAGCGCCATCTTGAACATGCCCTACGTCAAACAGCACTTGACATTTTTTATAGCTGACACAGAGAGCATTCGGACATGTCGGCCACGCAGGGATATAACATCAGCAGGAGATTTCTCACCTGCACACTCCAGGTAATACCACCACACCTGCACACTCCAGGTAATACCACCACACCAACACACACCACCAGGTAATACCACCACACCTGCACACTCCAGGTAATACCACCACACCTGCACACTCCAGGTAATACCACCATACACCACCAGGTAATACCACCACACACCACCAGGTAATACCACCACACCTGCACACTCCAGGTAATACCACCACACACCACCAGGTACTACTACCATACCAACACACGCCACCAGGTAATACCACCACACACCACCAGGTAATACCACCACACACCACCAGGTAATACCACCACACACCACCAGGTAATACCACCACACTCCACCAAGAAATACCACCACACACCACCAGGTAATACCATCACACACCACCAGGTAATACCAACACACACCACCAGGTAATACCACCACACACCACCAGGTAATACCACCACACTCCACCAGGTAATACCACCACACACCACCAGGTAATACCACCACACACCACCAGGTAATACCACCACACACCACCAGGTAATACCACCACACTCCACCAGGTAATACCACCACACACCACCAGGTAATACCACCACACACCACCAGGTAATACCACCACACACCACCAGGTAATACCACCACACCTGCACACTCCAGGTAATACCACCACACCAACACACACCACCAGGTAATACCACCACACCTGCACACTCCAGGTAATACCACCACACCTGCACACTCCAGGTAATACCACCACACACCACCAGGTAATACCACCACACACCACCAGGTAATACCACCACACCTGCACACTCCAGGTAATACCACCACACACCACCAGGTACTACTACCATACCAACACACGCCACCAGGTAATACCACCACACACCACCAGGTAATACCAGCACACACCACCTTGATAATACCACCACACACCACCTGATAATACCACCACACACCACCAGGTAATACCAGCACACAACCATGTAATACCACCACACACCACCAGGTAATACCACCACACTCCACCAGGTAATACCACCACACAACACCAGGTAATACCACCACACCTGCACACTCCAGGTAATACCACCACACACCACCAGGTAATACTACCACACCAACACACACCACCAGGTAATACCACCACACACCACCAGATAATACCACCACACACCACCAGGTAATACTACCACACCAACACACACCACCAGGTAATACCACCACACACCACCAGGTAATACCACCACACCTGCACACTCCAGGTAAAACCACCACACACCACCAGGCAATACCACCACACACCACCAGGTAATACCACCACACACCACCAGGTAATACCACCACACACCACCAGGTAATACCACCACACACCACCAGGTAATACCACAAAACACCACCAGGTAATACCACCACACACCACCAGGTAATACCACCACACACCACCAGGTAATACCACCACACCTGCACACTCCAGGTATTACCACCACACACCACCAGGTAATACCACCACACACCACCAGGTAATACCACCACACCTGCACACACCAGGTAATACCACCACACTCCACCAGGTAATACCACCACACAACACCAGGTAATACCACCACACCTGCACACTCCAGGTAATACCACCACACACCACCAGGTAATACTACCACACCAACACACACCACCAGGTAATACCACCACACACCACCAGATAATACCACCACACACCACCAGGTAATACTACCACACCAACACACACCACCAGGTAATACCACCACACACCACCAGGTAATACCACCACACCTGCACACTCCAGGTAAAACCACCACACACCACCAGGCAATACCACCACACACCACCAGGTAATACCACCACACACCACCAGGTAATACCACCACACACCACCAGGTAATACCACCACACACCACCAGGTAATACCACCACACACCACCAGGTAATACCACCACACACCACCAGGTAATACCACCACACACCACCAGGTAATACCACCACACCTGCACACTCCAGGTATTACCACCACACACCACCAGGTAATACCACCACACACCACCAGGTAATACCACCACACCTGCACACACCAGGTAATACCACCACACACCACCAGGTAATACCACCACACACCAGGTAATACCACCACACACCACCAGGTAATACCACCACACACCACCAGATAATACCACCACACACCACCAGGTAATACCACCACACCTGCACACCACCAGGTAATACCACCACACCTGCACACCACCAGGTAATACCATCACACCACCAGGTAATACCACCACACACCACCTGATAATACCAGCACACCCCACCAGGTAAAAAGTTTTAGGTCTGGTGTAATTGATTGTTTTGCTCCAACTACAGTTTATTTGTGGAGGCTTCAAGTCATCCATCTTCTCCTTGGGTCAAGGCTCCAGATGTCCAGTACACTACACAAGGTTCATACTCACCTGTTTGTCTATATGTTGATACTCACCTGTCTGTCTATACCTTGATACTCACCTGTTTGTCTATATGTTGATACTCACCTGTTTGTCTATATGTTGATACTCACCTGTCTGTCTATATGTTGATACTCACCTGTTTGTCTATATGTTGATACTCACCTGTCTGTCTATATGTTGATACTCACCTGTCTCTACCTTGATACTCACCTGTCTGTCTATATGTTGATACTCACCTGTCTGTCTATATGTTGATACTCACCTGTTTGTCTATATGTTGATACTCACCTGTCTCTACCTTGATACTCACCTGTCTGTCTATATGTTGATACTCACCTGTCTGTCTATATGTTGATACTCACCTGTTTGTCTATATGTTGATACTCACCTGTTTGTCTATATGTTGATACTCACCTGTTTGTCTATATGTTGATACTCACCTGTCTGTCTATATGTTGATACTCACCTGTCTGTCTATATGTTGATACTCACCTGTTTGTCTATATGTTGATACTCACCTGTCTCTACCTTGATACTCACCTGTCTGTCTATATGTTGATACTCACCTGTCTGTCTATATGTTGATACTCACCTGTTTGTCTATATGTTGATACTCACCTGTTTGTCTATATGTTGATACTCACCTGTTTGTCTATATGTTGATACTCACCTGTCTGTCCATATGTTGATACTCACCTGTTTGTCTATATGTTGATACTCACCTGTTTGTCTATATGTTGATACTCACCTGTTTGTCTATATGTTGATACTCACCTGTCTATATGTTGATACTCACCTGTCTGTCTATATGTTGATACTCACCTGTCTCTACCTTGATACTCACCTGTTTGTCTATATGTTGATACTCACCTGTCTGTCTATATGTTGATACTCACCTGTCTATATGTTGATACTCACCTGTCTGTCTATATGTTGATACTCACCTGTCTCTACCTTGATACTCACCTGTTTGTCTATATGTTGATACTCACCTGTCTGTCTATATGTTGATACTCACCTGTCTGTCTATATGTTGATACTCACCTGTCTCTACCTTGATACTCACCTGTTTGTCTATATGTTGATACTCACCTGTCTGTCTATATGTTGATACTCACCTGTCTATATGTTGATACTCACCTGTCTGTCTATATGTTGATACTCACCTGTCTCTACCTTGATACTCACCTGTTTGTCTATATGTTGATACTCACCTGTCTGTCTATATGTTGATACTCACCTGTCTCTACCTTGATACTCACCTGTCTGTCTATATGTTGATACTCACCTGTCTGTCTATATGTTGATACTCACCTGTTTGTCTATATGTTGATACTCACCTGTCTCTACCTTGATACTCACCTGTCTGTCTATATGTTGATACTCACCTGTCTGTCTATATGTTGATACTCACCTGTTTGTCTATATGTTGATACTCACCTGTTTGTCTATATGTTGATACTCACCTGTTTGTCTATATGTTGATACTCACCTGTCTGTCCATATGTTGATACTCACCTGTTTGTCTATATGTTGATACTCACCTGTTTGTCTATATGTTGATACTCACCTGTTTGTCTATATGTTGATACTCACCTGTCTATATGTTGATACTCACCTGTCTGTCTATATGTTGATACTCACCTGTCTCTACCTTGATACTCACCTGTTTGTCTATATGTTGATACTCACCTGTCTGTCTATATGTTGATACTCACCTGTCTATATGTTGATACTCACCTGTCTGTCTATATGTTGATACTCACCTGTCTCTACCTTGATACTCACCTGTTTGTCTATATGTTGATACTCACCTGTCTGTCTATATGTTGATACTCACCTGTCTGTCTATATGTTGATACTCACCTGTCTCTACCTTGATACTCACCTGTTTGTCTATATGTTGATACTCACCTGTCTGTCTATATGTTGATACTCACCTGTCTATATGTTGATACTCACCTGTCTGTCTATATGTTGATACTCACCTGTCTCTACCTTGATACTCACCTGTTTGTCTATATGTTGATACTCACCTGTCTGTCTATATGTTGATACTCACCTGTCTGTCTATATGTTGATACTCACCTGTCTGTCTATATGTTGATACTCACCTGTCTATGTTGCTCTAGATCTGTGGTCTATGTTGCTCTAGATCTGTGGTCTGTGTTGCTCTAGATCTGTGGTCTGTGTTGCTCTAGATCTGTTGTCTATGTTGCTCTAGATCTGTGGTCTGTGTTGCTCTAGATCTGTGGTCTGTGTTGCTCTAGATCTGTGGTCTGTGTTGCTCTAGATCTGTGGTCTGTGTTGCTCTAGATCTGTGGTCTGTGTTGCTCTAGATCTGTGGTCTGTGTTGCTCTAGATCTGTGGTCTGTGTTGCTCTAGATCTGTGGTCTGTGTTGCTCTAGATCTGTTGTCTATGTTGCTCTAGATCTGTGGTCTATGTTGCTCTAGATCTGTGGTCTGTGTTGCTCTAGATCTGTGGTCTATGTTGCTCTAGATCTGTGGTCTATGTTGCTCTAGATCTGTGGTCTATGTTGCTCTAGATCTGTGGTCTATGTTGCTCTAGATCTGTTGTCTATGTTGCTCTAGATCTGTGGTCTGTGTTGCTCTAGATCTGTGGTCTATGTTGCTCTAGATCTGTGGTCTATGTTGCTCTAGATCTGTGGTCTGTGTTGCTCTAGATCTGTGGTCTGTGTTGCTCTAGATCTGTGGTCTGTGTTGCTCTAGATCTGTGGTCTGTGTTGCTCTAGATCTGTGGTCTGTGTTGCTCTAGATCTGTGGTCTATGTTGCTCTAGATCTGTGGTCTGTGTTGCTCTAGATCTGTGGTCTATGTTGCTCTAGATCTGTGGTCTATGTTGCTCTAGATCTGTGGTCTGTGTTGCTCTAGATCTGTGGTCTATGTTGCTCTAGATCTGTTGTCTATGTTGCTCTAGATCTGTGGTCTATGTTGCTCTAGATCTGTGGTCTGTGTTGCTCTAGATCTGTGGTCTGTGTTGCTCTAGATCTGTGGTCTATGTTGCTCTAGATCTGTGGTCTGTGTTGCTCTAGATCTGTGGTCTATGTTGCTCTAGATCTGTTGTCTATGTTGCTCTAGATCTGTGGTCTATGTTGCTCTAGATCTGTTGTCTGTGTTGCTCTAGATCTGTGGTCTGTGTTGCTCTAGATCTCACTGTGACAGATGCTGGATCCGACTACTCTGACGACTTTGATGAGTCAACAAGTGAAGCTGGAGAAGGTAAGCTTTGACATACACACACACACACTACACACCACACACACTACACACCACACACACACACACCACACACACTACACACCACACACACTACATATTACATGACACACCACACTACTTTACACACTACATGACACTGTACACACATGACAAGCTACACTACATAGCAAACTAACCAACACATTAGGCAGAACATGACAATCTACACTACATAGCAAACTAACCAACACATTAGGCAGAACATGACAATCTACACTACATAGCAAACTAACCAACACATTAGGCAGAACATGACAATCTACACTACATAGCAAACTAACCAACACATTAGGCAGAACATGACAATCTACACTACATAGCAAACTAACCAACACATTAGGCAGAACATGACAATCTACACTACATAGCAAACTAACCAACACATTAGGCAGAACATGACAATCTACACTACATAGCAAACTAACCAACACATTAGGCAGAACATGACAATCTACACTACATAGCAAACTAACCAACACATTAGGCAGAATATGACAATCTACACTACATAGCAAACTAACCAACACATTAGGCAGAACATGACAATCTACACTACATAGCAAACTAACCAACACATTAGGCAGAACATGACAATCTACACTACATAGCAAACTAACCAACACATTAGGCAGAACATGACAATCTACACTACATAGCAAACTAACCAACACATTAGGCAGAACATGACAATCTACACTACATAGCAAACTAACCAACACATTAGGCAGAACATGACAAGCTACAATACACGCCACATAATACACACAACAAGACACTACACACTATACTGTTTTGAGTGAGTTGAAGTCAATGATTGAGTGCATATTTTGTTTGAAGAAATCTCTGCGAGTCCTGGAGATGGAGGGGACACTAACTGTGAGGAAGAGCTGCTCTACGCTGATGACTTTGAACAAACGGACTCTGAAGAGGTAGGTCCAGCAATAGAAGAGGTAGGTCCAGCAATAGAAGAGGTAGGTCCAGCAATAGAAGAGGTAGGTCCAGCAATAGAAGAGGTAGGTCCAGCAATAGAAGGCAAACTTTATCTCAGTCCCACCTCATAGACAAGTGCTTTATTTGATCAACTATAAGATATTATTAGGCATTCCAAACTGATTTTTCAAATCAGTCACACAATAATGGTTTTTGTTGTTGTTTTTGTTTGTTTTTTGCCAAGTACTAATGATTACAAGAATGTGGATACCAAATTTATGCCTGTCAGTAGTAAAAAAAAAAGTTGTGCGTTTTAGAAAATGTTTTTTTTTTTTTGGCCTCATGAGGACCTGACACCAATTATTTCAAAAACTAAAAAGGCTGTAGGCTACCCATTCTCTAACTTTATTCTATAACATTAAGTCGATCAACAGAAGACCAAATTTTTTTCAAACAAGTTTCACTAGTTTAACACGTAAATGTTATGTCTTAAAAATTGTACTTCACCATTTTCATCAAAACTTTGAACGGCTGGGAAAAAACGCAGTCTCCAACTTTCACAAAATCACTCAAATTCTTCAATGGCATCCACAATATTCAACTTCATATAGATTTGAGGAAAACGTCACCTAATTATAGAAATGGAATCAGTGGTATAAATTATACAATTAAATGTCTAGGTGTGAGAGGTGGGGGTGGAACACGGCTTTAAGTCAGTATTTTAAAATTGATAAAAAATTACTAAAACAAAAATGTAAAAAAAGCTGAACCTTTCTCTCACCACACCAGTCAACTAGGTCACCGTAACCTTTGACCCAATCAAATTTGACAAGTTACCACTAGTTTACAATTTGACATGGTAACACTAGTTTACAATTTTAAAATACTAAACAACTTTCATATTTTATCATATTCTCTTTAATATATATAATTTTTTGACTTTACACACCCCCCTCCCACCACACACACACACACCCACACAAACCACAACCAAATTTAATACTACAAAACACGATTATGTAGATCGTAATAGTTTTCCCTTTACGTTGAGTTTGAATATGGTTTTTTGGCAAGAACATAACCTCTGAAACTTTCATGGTTTTTTGGCAAGAACATTACCTCTGAAACTTTCATGGTTTTTTGGCAAGAACATTACCTCTGAAACTTTCATGGTTTTTTGGCAAGAACATAACCTCTGAAACTTTCATGGTTTTTTGGCAAGAACATTACCTCTGAAACTTTCATGGTTTTTTGGCAAGAACATTACCTCTGAAACTTTCATGGTTTTTTGGCAAGAACATTACCTCTGAAACTTTCATGGTTTTTTGGCAAGAACATTACCTCTGAAACTTTCCCCCAAATACCCGATCTAATGGCTGTGTGGGCATGACAGACTTCCTCCACTGTTTTTATAGATCTCTGTCTCATGGACCAGTGCATTATCCTGGTTACCTGACACACTTTATCCCATAATCCTGACCTTATTTATCCTAAAGGACTGGCTTTTCTTTTTAAACTAATTAACCCAATACTTCCTGTTGAGACTAATTAACCCAATACTTCCTAATTAACCCAATACTTCCTGTTGAGCCTAATTAACCCAATACTTCCTGTTGAGCCTAATTAACCCTATACTTCCTGTTGAGCCTAATTAACCCTATACTTCCTGTTGAGATGAATTAACCCTATACTTCCTGTTGAGCCTAATTAACCCTATACTTCCTGTTGAGATGAATTAACCCTATACTTCCTGTTGAGCCTAATTAACCCTATACTTCCTGTTGAGATGAATTAACCCTATACTTCCTGTTGAGCCTAATTAACCCTATACTTCCTGTTGAGATGAATTAACCCTATACTTCCTGTTCAGCCTAATTAACCCAATACTTCCTGTTCAGCCTAATTAACCCAATACTTCCTGTTGAGCCTAATTAACCCTATACTTCCTGTTGAGATGAATTAACCCAATACTTCCTAATTAACCCTATACTCCCTAGGATGTAGACGAGGTTTTGTCGCAGGCTTTGGCAGCTCAGGTTGTGGAGGCTGCAGATGATGACTTTGCAGATGATGAGTTTTCCTTGACCTTGACTCACCACTTTAGAAGGTCAGTCTGTTGTGTCAAGGTTTCTTTAGGTGTGAACATGATGATGCAAGCTAGTCAGATAATTAATTAATTAATGAATTATAATTCATCTTTGTTTCAGCTACATGGAAGAGGCCAGAGTTCAGACTGATGGATAAGCTGGGGGGGGATGGATAAGCTGGGGGAGGGGGGGGTTTAGACATTTGACAAGTTCAGGGTTGTAAATAGTTGACATTTTAATGTTTTCGTTCATGGTTGGCATAGACGTGGTTTGATGGTTCCTGGCTAACCAGTTTGATTAGAATATGTGCACTTCTGGCTAACCAGTTTGATTAGAATGTGTGCACTTCTGGCTAACCAGTTTGGTTAGAATGTGTGCACTTCTGGCTAACCAGTTTGGTTAGAATGTGTGCACTTCTGGCTAACCAGTTTGGTTAGAATGTGTGCACTTCTGGCTAACCAGTTTGGTTAGAGTGTGTGCACTTCTGGCTAACCAGTTTGGTTAGAATGTGTGCACTTCTGGCTAACCAGTTTGGTTAGAATGTGTGCACTTCTGGCTAACCAGTTTGGTTAGAATGTGTGCACTTCTGGCTAACCAGTTTGGTTAGAATGTGTGCACTTCTGGCTAACCAGTTTGGTTAGAATGTGTGCACTTCTGATGTCATTTTGTTTTTGTCTGGTAACTACAACTTGGGGTTAACCTAATGTCACACTCTGTGTCATGACATTCTGTTGTGTCAGTTGTATGACATTCCACTGTGTCAGTTGTATGACAATGACATTCCACTGTGTGTCAGCTACAACAGTGACTACTAGATCTGTGATAAATGACAGCATTTTTATATATCTGAGTTTACACATCAGACTTAATACTTGCACAATAGCAAGTGGAATATAGCATCTTGCCGCATCAAGTTTTGATGATGTGTTGATATATGTTGGGTTTATATTTATATATATATATATATATATATATATATATATATATATATATATATATATATATATATATATATGATGTGTTTATGGACTATTCTTGTTATATTTGTTCAAACTGCTGAGTACTTCCATTCCAACAAGTTTTTAACAAGTTCCAAGTTTTTTTTCATTTCTGCTGGAGTTTTGATTTCTATTTAGAGCTGTTGATGTAACCAAATAACTAACAATAAAGTTCATCTGAATAGCTTTGACTCGGTTCTTGCAGATTTTCTCATTTTATTCAGCACATGGAGAGATACATTTAGGCACTTTCTACACCAGATGATAAACCAATTCCGATTGGCTGCTCTGGCCACGAACTAACACTAGAAATGATCACTGCTTCATGCTGGGGTTTCAGGTTGTGATGAGCAATTTTCTCCTACTGGAACTAGAGCTAAACTCATTGATAAACAGATCTAGATCCATGGGAACCATTGTATGATTTGTATCTGGTTTAAAATTTCAAGCACACACACAGGCATAGCGGATTAAGGTAGAGGGGGGGGGCTGAGAGGGCTTCAGTAAGGGGCCCCCAAATATAGGGGCCCTCACATATAGGCTCCAGTCAATTTGGCTCTCGACAAAAAGCTAAGAAATGGCGCTTTAATCCAACGTTTTTAAAAGGCATGAAGTAGCATGTTTTGAATATTAGCTAGTTGAATTGAAAGATGGGTTACAATTGCTTTATTTGCCGAATTAAGAAGGGAGGTGGTAGCTATCAAGAATATGGCAAGATTTATGCACTGTTTCTTCCAGACTTTTTTCTCTGGGGGGGGGGGGGGGATTGTTAAAAGTATAACTTGAGTACCGTTAAAGCTAGATCGATGAAATTTCATATATAAGTATTATATCAAAATCGTAGAACCGTATCAACTTTTGAGCGATTTCCGATAACCGGAAGTGGAACTTTTTCTACTTTCACTTTTTCAAAAGCCTATGATTTGAGTACTATTTCAGATAGATAAATGAAATTTCACGTATAAGTAAAAGATATAATTCTCTGCCTTCTGTCACATATTGAGTAATTTCTGTTGACCGGAAGTAGTAATTTACGCTATTTCCGTTTTCTCAAAAAACGCATGTGAATTTATAAAGTACTAATAATATTCCGTACTATTATGCACATTTTATTTGGCGTTCACTTGGTGTGCAATTCTTTTTTTCTACGAGATTTTATTCTATTTTAAAAAGTTTAAATATTTAAAATGGATTAAAAATCATGTCTATATCCCGAGTTGCCATCCCCTGTTGTTTCATATAAGAATATTCGAGAAAGTTTAGGGGAGATCACTCCCGGTTTATTTAAAAGATATGTTATATTCAAGCACGATTTTAAAAGTACGTTAATCGTAGCCTAATATCAGAGTTGTAATACATTTTTCCTCGATTTAAACTCCTCAAGTAAGAAGTTGTAATTTAAAAGTATTCTCCTGTATTTTTCGCAATTTAAGCCTTATGTTATTTATTTTCATTTTAAACACACTCCTACCTAAACATGTTAGACAAAAGCATCGCTAGACTAATACTAAATAGGGTGGTTTGAGATATTCTTTGTTCTGTTTTAGATTTTGTAAAAGAGCTTTTCTAAAAGTCATTTTTCGTCTTATTTAATTGCATGAACCAAATAGATCTAGTCCTTTCTTCAGCAGAGGCGTAGACGGGGGGGGGGTTACTTTTTTCCATTTCACACACAAATAATCGTACACACATATATATGGATCCCCAAAAAAATTCAGCTGGGGGCCCCTCTCAAACTTATCCGCCCCTGCACACAGGGGTGGACTTGTCCGCTGGCGGTTCAGGCTTTGATAAAGAAAAAAATACACAAATGAAAATCTCAATATGTGGTTTGGGCATCCTTAGACACACAGGTCAGACCCCTGTACCAGCAGAGGTCACAGGTCAGACCCCTGTACCAGCAGAGGTCACAGGTCAGACTACCAGCAGAGGTCACAGGTCAGACCCCTGTACCAGCAGAGGTCACAGGTCAGACCCCTGTACCAGCAGAGGTCACAGGTCAGACCCCTGTACCAGCAGAGGTCACAGGTCAGACCCCTGTACCAGCAGAGGTCACAGGTCAGACCCCTGTACCAGCAGAGGTCACAGGTCAGACCCCTGTGAAAGTAGAGTGTGCATGGGTCGAGCTATTGTGGATACTGCTCTCCCGGGAAATGTCGCTTAAAATGAAAGCAGGGGGGGAGGAGGGGCGCTAATTCACGGAGCAGAATCAGGTTGTAAAGCTCTTCAGGGTCTATGAGAAATCAATTGCAATTAACCTTTATTATTAGTAATTAAAGCAATCTGCTGTCACTAATTAACCTCATTTATCGGCATGGGAGTCATCTTTGAATGCACTCATTCATGTGAAATGTCAACTTTTTATGGAGACAACTTGAGCAGGTCTAGAATCTACACATGGGGGTCTTGCTTTCATACAATCCATGACGTGCTGCTAAACAACCGAATAAAGCCCATGGGATCGTCTTCGTCAGACTCCTAGGCGGAATGGGGTCGGCAGGAGTGATGCCACATTGACATTCCAAACAGTTCGAAGGAACTAATGTTTAGCCACTATTTTCTTGTTACTTTCTCGTATATAGGAAGTATAGAGAAAGTCTTGTAATCGTGCCAAAAAAAAAATCGAGATTTGCAACAATCGAGATTTTTGCAAATCTCGACGTTTTAGGGCTCCCTGAGTCGGAAAAACATAATTTTGCAATCTTGTCCCTATGGCTGTGTGTATGTGTGTCTGTCTGTGTGTATAAACACGATAACTTGAGTACCATTACACTAGGTTGATGAAATTTCATATATAAGTATTATATCAAAATCGTAGATCCATATCAACTTTTGAGCGATTTCCGATAATAGGAAGTGGAATTTTTTCTTCTTTGAATTTTTCAAAAGCCTATGACTTGAGTACTATTTCAGATAGATAAATGAAATTTCACATGTAAGTAAAAGATCTAATTCTCTGCCTTCTACAAATTTTGAGTAATTTCTGTCGACCGGAAGTAGTAATTTACGCTATTTCCGATTTCTCAAAACACGCATGATGATTTATAAAGTACTATTACTAATAATATTGCGCCTATTACTATTATACACATTTTATTTGGCGTTCATTTGGTGTGCAATTCTTTTTCCACGAGATTTTATTCTATTTTTAAAAGTTTAAATATTAAAATGGATTAAAAATCATGTCTATATCCCGAGTTGCCATCCCCTGTTGTTTCATATAAGAATATTCGAGAACATTTAGGGGAGATCACTCCCGGTTTATTTTTTTATTGTAATAGAAGTTAACAGTTAATAATAACAATTTAGCCTACCCAATGCTGATCAAGCTCAGTAAATATTTTTCACAGTTGACATCGATAAAAGACGTGTTGTTTGTTGTGTTTTTCCCCCGATTTTTTACACACAAAAAACGCTAACGCACAAATAAACACGCATACACAATTTTTTTTTTTTTTTTTTTTTTTTTTTTTTTTAATACTTTTATTTGCAATTAAAACAAGTACATCAACATCAAATTTTTTAACATAATTTTGAACACCAAATGAAAACGAAAGGTTTTGCAAATGTACATCATGAATATTTACATGATATCATGTATTTGATTATAAAAAAAAAATTGCAAAGGATGACAGTAAAAGGGGTGAAGGTCAAATGAAAGTGTCAGAAGTCTGGGTGGGGAGAGGAAAGGAAATTTTTCAGAGAGGGTCAATGGGACAGTGAAGCATTTTCTATGTAGGGAAACAACTTAAGTTGACTAGTTGAAAGGGTGTTGTAGTGGTCGCATTGAGTTTTCAAAAGGTTGCAGTGTGAAAGATGAGGGGAAAGAGACAAGATTTAGAACTTTAAATAAGTTCTGGATATTGATGTTGCGGTGGGTGGTGGGGTCGTTGGAACAGTTAAAGGGCATACACAAATACACACAAAAAAAAACAACGCAAACTATAATACTATTAATACATACCCAACCCAAAATTTATTACTTGAAAGTAATTACAACTACAAAAGTTCTCTGAATAGTATAATTTGCAACCTATATTAAATTGACTTTTAAAATGAATTACTACAATTTAATTATAATAAAAACTTTATATAACACAAATCTTACTCAAATAAATGCTAAACTTTGCTATTTTCTGTTTGTGTTTAATATAGTATAAAATTGTTTGAAAAATAATTCTTTTAAAAAGTTACCTCCCTTGAAAATTAAACCATTGACGTAGACTTTATTTACTTTTTTAACAAACAGTTGCTATGGTTATATAAGAAAATACGGCATCTGGACAAATTTAACAACCATAATGTTTTTTTTCCGACGGGAATTTTTTTTGTTACAATCCAGGGTCTGCCTAAAGCTCATTTAAGGAGAATTTCACTCGTGGTCACTTTTTAGCCTTCGCCGTGCGAGCAGAGGCTGACCAAAAGTATATCCATAAGGCCGATTCATTTACTCAGCTCTATGCACACACAAAAAAAATGAGCCAGATGTACAGAGCCAAAGTTCCAAAACATTGTTTTGAAATTAGTCATCGTTTTTCACAAAATTAACAATGTTTATTTAGGGAAAATTCGGACCGGTCAGTTCTAAAGCCCTTCCGGAGTTCTCCCGAATATATCATAGAGCTTTTGCCACCCCCTAGGCCAACCGGCACCGCCCCCCCCCCCCCCATGTTATATCTCCCCAAGGCAGGAGTCTGCCAAATTAGAATCGCCTGCGGCGCAGGGAAGTGTCCTACAACTTTGCTATATATATATATATATATATATATATATATATATATATATATATATATATATATATATATATATATATATATATAGGTTATGCTATAATGAATTGTATTCTGCTTTTCAGTGTTGTATTCTTGCTGTTGGGGTGCATTAGAGCATTATTTTTAGCACTCTTCTCGATGAATGCACCATGGTCTGCCGTTACTGTGTTGTCGCCAACCAGAGTTTCTTCCAGGCATCTCTTCGGGAGGGTTCTGCCCCCACCCCCGAAAGAAAGTCTACCGCACCCCCCCCCCCCCCCGAAAATATCAAGTGCCCCCCCCCCCCCGGAGAAAAAAGTCTGAAAGAAACACTGTCGCCAACTTAAATGATAAGTGGCAAGATGGAGGGGGGGGGGGCAATGTTTCACGTTTTGTGTAGACAGCTAATAGAAAAGTCCGTCTATTAGCTAGCGGACAGCACAGGGTCCAGCCAATAGGATGGCGAGTTATAAATGAGCCATTGGTTGAAAGTGTCAAGCAATAAATCGCCTTATCGTGCAGGTCTGGGGGTAAAACAGTGGATGGCAGAGCTCGAACATTTTTTCTTTTACGGTAACAGACGACAGATTATCCAGTGGATTAAGAGAGCTGCAGCTTATCATGTGGATTAAGAGAGATGCAGATTATCGCCTGTCGTGTCACATTATAAATAAATGCAAAATGTTGATCTTTTTTTCTCAAGGTTTTAAAAACCGTCTAGATGTATTTCTAATGGCTGCACGTGCGCACTGAGCAGAAAGCTGAATGTTTTGTGGTGTCGATTAGGGCGGAAGTCACTAATCAACCGATGCTAGGCAACCACTCAAACGATGACGTCACTACTATGTCAGGTCCCCATCTCAGCCAATAGTCAGTCACCCGTGTCTGCTGGGGGGATAAAAACACAGCAGACGTCAGCTCTAGAAAACTCCAACCCACGATGTCGAGCTAGTATGAACTTACTTTCGGTAACAACAAAAAATTATTTCGAAGAGGGAAGGAAAGTTTCTAATTTCTGGAGAATGAACAGTAGCGAGTCAGCTTCCGGTAGCTTAGCTCCCACCGACCAGACGACCACTAGTGGTCTGCCGTCTGCTGTGTACAAGGGGAACGCACTCTTGATCCCTGTTGTGTTTTTGATGTCGGCGCTGATCATATTTGGGAACATGATGACGCTGTTGGCCATTCAAAAGTTGCCATCTTTACAAACCAAGTCTAACGTCTTCGTGGCCTCTCTAGCAGCGGCGGACATGATGGTAGGGGTTGTGCTGATCCCCTACGGGTTGTGGCTGGTGCCCGCCATCAGACAGCTAGTCGACGAGGACATCTCCATCTGTCTTCTGCTCATGTCAGCCGGCTCCTCCGCCGTTGTGATCAGCATCCTGAGTCTACTGCTGGTTGCCCTCGATAGACTGGTGTTCATCAGCCGACCTTTCTTCTACCAACGTGTAGTGACCAACAGGGTCATCGCAGCCGGGGTCGCCTTGCCCTGGACTCTTGGTCTAACGTTTGGTAACAGCCAGTGGTTGATCTACGCGCCGACCACCCACCCGCCGCAGTGTGTGGTGACCTACATGTTGCCTGAAGCCTACTATAAGTACGCAGCTCCGTGGATGTATTTCGCCTCGTGCTCGGCCGTCCTGTGCATGTACGCGCACATCGCCATGATCGCGCGCAGACAGCGGCTGGCCATCAGGAAACACAACACCGTCCGGCCGATGGTCCAGGTCGGCTCGGAGAAAATCACCGAGAAGAACTGGAAAGCCGTCAAGATGATGATGACGGTGTTCGGCGTGTTTTTTGTCTGCTGGACGCCCCGCTTTGTCCTGTACTCGGCCGCCGGTCCCCAGCTGGACGCCTGGCTGCCGGAGATCGTGTACGACCTGAGCCTGCTGCTGGGTCTGCTCAACTCGGGCGTCAACTTCCTCGTCTACCCCGCCCACAACCACGAGTTCCGGCGCGCCTTTAAGCTCATCCTCTGCTGCACGACAAAGGAAAAGCTCGTGTTTCTGGCTTAAAACTGTGGACAAAAGCCCATGTTTCTGGCTTAAACTGTGGACAAAAGCCCATGTTTCTGGCTTAAACTTGTGGACAAAAGCCCATGTTTCTGGCTTAAACTTGTGGATAAAAGCCCATGTTTCTGGCTTAAACTTGTGGATAAAAGCCCATGTTTCTGGCTTAAACTTGTGGATACCAGCCCATAGTTTTAGCCTGCCGGTAATATACGGGCACTAGGTCGGACGACACCTGCTACTGTGTCACCATCTTTCCGTTAATTGCATTAGCCTTAAGATTAAAATTTAGTGTCGCCCCCTCCCTCGAGATTGTGTTAGCTTGCGCCTGTATACAACTTATACATTATTTTAAAAAACTGGAAAATCAGACTTCCTCATTTTATTGTTTATATATGTCTACCCCTAGTAAGGTGTCACCCCCTTGTATGGTGTCACCCCTAGTAAGGTGTCACTGGCTGCGGTCGGCACCTCCGCCTTGTAACACCACTGGTAGTCATCAACCCATATGTAAAGTCATCAACCCATATGTAAAGTCATCAATTAAAAACGACATTTTGACAAATCTCGACTTTTTACTTGTACATCTTCCTGATGCAGAAAACCTCAGTTTTGCAATTTGTGTATGTATGTCTGTGAACATGAGTATCGTTTCAGTTATTTTGAGCAAATTTTATATATAACGAATATAAGATTAGTTAAGCAGCATATACCCAAACATAAACATAAAAGAAACCATAATGAGGACATTTAGGAACGGTTTGTAAACTATATTGATTAGAAAAATAATTAGTAAGCAGTGCATTTAGAGTATAAAATAAATGAAGGTAAGATTTAAAATAGCTTTGTTTTACCTACTACATTGCACTTGATCAATGCATGAAAATTCTATCATTCGTTTCCAGCAAGAAAACAAACTGAAAGGAAGTAAAAAAAAAAAAAAATTCAGATGTTTTTTTTTGTTTGTTTTTTTTTGTATTTTTATTTTTAAATTTATCTCGATCAGGGGAAATTATTTGTATGAATTTTAAAAAATGTAACACTAATGTTTTGTGAAGTATAACTAATTTAGGTTTATTTTGCACCTCCACCATTTTGGTGAGCTAAGGTTCACCCCGAATGTTAACAACCGTAGAGCCGGCTATATTAGGTGCAGATAATTTAGCTTTTAAACTATGTGAAACTAAGTGGAGGTGATAACAACTTCTGCTTGATCTTTTCATTGTCGTCCTTAAACTGTCGTCACGGACGGCTGCTTTCACGCTGGCGGGGGGGGGGGGGGGGATGGAAGGGAGGGTAGTGTCGAATTCACTAACTATGAAGTTCTGATAAGTAGAAAATAAAACAACTAAATAGCAGCGTATGATACGTCGCGGGTCAGCTAGTTAGTAATGAAACATATGTTTTATTACTAGGGATCAATTTAGATTTTCGTACAAAATGTAACACTTTAATCTATATATATAATTCTCTTCTTCGAGCCGTTAGAAAACAAGCTGCAAACGCTCTCCCTACCTCCCCACCCCTACATGGTTTTAGTGAGCTGTGTTCACTCTAAATGTTTACAAGCAGAGCCAACGATTTTAAACGTAGGGGGGGGGGGGGGGGAGGAGGGGGGAGGGAAGGAAGGGGGGGGGGGGGTTATGGTCCTTAACGAGCTACTTATAGTGTTTTAAAGAAATATTTTCAGTGTCAGCGTTGGTACTGTCGAATTCACAAATTATGAATTATTGAAAATTAGAAACAACCAAATAGCGGCGTATGTTATGCCGCGGGCCGGCTCGTTTAAAATATTACACAATTATGAACAAGTCGAGTTTTAAAATATGCAGGTCTTTCACTAATCCGTCACATACAGAGACACAGAGTCCATTTGAACTTTATAGTTCTGTGTCAACTTTAGAGCGATTTCAGTTAGCCGGAAGTGGTTTTTGCACTACTTTCGGTTTATCAAAAGTCAATAACTTGAGTAGGCCTACCGTTTAAGTTCGGTTTACGAAATTTCCCATAAAAGAATTACATTTAATGCACAAGTTTCTACCAAAATATGAACTATTTTCGGTAACCAAATGTGATACTTTATTTTCGTGGGAACGCGGTAACTTGGGTGCTGTTTACTTTAGGTAAACGAAATTTCATTTACATAAGATCCTATAGGCTACTTGATTTACTCTCAAATTTTGAGTCACTTCCGATATCCGGAAGTGGTAATGACGTCACTTAGAAAGGACAGCTGGTCACCCGACGTTGACCCCGAACGAAATAAAATTTATATAATTTATATAGAAAATATATACTTTTAACAGTGTCCGCCCCCCCCCCCCCGAAGATTTCAAGTGCCCCCCCCCCCCCCCCCCCCCCCCCCCACGGAGAAAAAAGTCTGGAAGAAACACCGCCTCCCAAAGTGTACGGTAGCCTTTCATTGGCGCCGCTTTCACTCACTGCAATGCCAGATGAATGTGCATAAAGTTGGCCTTAAAGAAAATGCATTAGCACAGCAAACATAAACTGTTGAATGCTGGGAGTTGATAGAAATGTTCGTCAGCTTATATTTAAGACGTAGCGTCGAGATTTCTCTTGTAAATTCAGCCACCTAGAATTTAGCTAGCTTCTACTCGTGGATGAAACTTGAAAATCTTTTTTAAAATGTGTCAGTGCAGTAATTGGTGCCAACTAGATGTCATAACGTGCCAACCAGATGTCATAACGTGCCAACTAGATGTCATAACGTGCGTATGTTTTCCTAGAATCTCTAAATGGTGCTGAGTACGCGACACTCGCTGTGCTATAATTAGCAACACATCTCAAAACCAAACACCAGACAATAAATGATGACGTCATCCAACCAATCACAAAGCAATGACGTGTACACAGGAATCCCAATTATGGCGCCAGGCGCCTTCCTTATGTCTGTGATCATCATAGTCGGGAACGCCACGACGCTAGTTGCTATCAGAAGGATCCCAGCGCTGCAGACCAAGTCCAACGCCTTCGTGGCCTCCCTGGCCGGGGCGGATCTGATGGTGGGCCTCGTCCTCATCCCGTACGGCCTGTGGAACGTCCCGAACATTAGGGACCGGCTCAATCACATCATGTATTTTTGTATTTTGATGACGTCAGCCGGCTCCTCCGCCGTTGTGATCAGCATCCTGAGTCTACTGCTGGTTGCCCTCGATAGACTGGTGTTCATCAGCCGACCTTTCTTCTACCAACGTGTAGTGACCAACAGGGTCATCGCAGCCGGGGTCGCCTTGCCCTGGACTCTTGGTCTGACGTTTGGTAACAGCCAGTGGTTGATCTACGCGCCCCGCACCCACCCGCCGCAGTGTGTGGCCACTAAGGTCCTCCCCACGTACTACTACAAGTACCTGGCCAGCCTGCTCTACTTCCTGCCTTGTCTTGCCGTCTTCTGCATCTACGTGCGCATCGCTGTCATCGCCAGGACCCAGCGTCTCGCCATCCTCAAGCTGACCGTTGTCCGCGCCTTGGGCAGCCCGGCCCGTGCTGGGGGCCAGAAGCTTAGCGACAAGAGCTGGAGGTCGGTCAAGATGATGATGACCGTGTTCGGCATCTTCTCCAGTTGCTGGACGCCCCGCTTCCTGCTGTACGCGCTGTCGGACGAGACGTTTGACGAGCGGGTGCCGGAGCTCGCGTACAACCTGTGCATGATGCTCGGTCTGCTCAACTCGGGCGTCAACTTCCTCGTCTACCCCGCCCACAACAGGGAGTTCCGGCGTGGCTTCAGACACTTATTGGGTTGCAAGCGTTCTTCTGTTGGCCCAGACATCAAGTCTGTACACTAGACCCAGACATCAAGTCTGTACACTAGACCACTAGACCCAGACATCAAGTCTGTACACTAGACCCAGACATCACGTCTGTACACTAGACCCAGACATCATGTCTGTACACTAGACCCAGACATCATGTCTGTACACTAGACCCAGACATCATGTCTGTACACTAGACCCAGGCATCAAGTCTGTACACTAGACCCAGGCATCAAGTCTGTACACTAGACCCAGACATCAAGTCTGTACACTAGACCCAGACATCAAGTCTGTACACTAGACCCAGACATCAACTCTGTACACTAGACCCAGACATCAAGTCTGTACACTAGACCCAGACATCACGTCTGTACACTAGACCCAGACATCAAGTCTGTACACTAGACCCAGACATCAAGTCTGTACACTAGACCCAGACATCACGTCTGTACACTAGACCCAGACATCAAGTCTGTACACTAGACCCAGACATCAAGTCTGTACACTAGACCCAGACATCAAGTCTGTACACTAGACCCAGACATCAAGTCTGTACACTAGACCCAGACATCAAGTCTGTACACTAGACCCAGGCATCAAGTCTGTACACTAGACCCAGACATCAAGTCTGTACACTAGACCCAGACATCAACTCTGTACACTAGACCACTAGACCCAGACATCACGTCTGTACACTAGACCCAGGCATCAACTCTGTACACTAGACCCAGACATTAAGTCTGTACACTAGACCCAGACATCAACTCTGTACACTAGACCCAGACATCAAGTCTGTACACTAGACCCAGACATCAAGTCTGTACACTAGACCCAGACATCAAGTCTGTACACTAGACCCAGGCATCAAGTCTGTACACTAGACCCAGACATCAAGTCTGTACACTAGACCCAGACATCAACTCTGTACACTAGACCACTAGACCCAGACATCACGTCTGTACACTAGACCCAGGCATCAACTCTGTACACTAGACCACTAGACCCAGGCATCAAGTCTGTACACTAGACCCAGACATCACGTCTGTACACTAGACCCAGACATCAAGTCTGTACACTAGACCCAGACATCAAGTCTGTACACTAGACCCAGACATCAAGTCTGTACACTAGACCCAGACATCAACTCTGTACACTAGACCACTAGACCCAGACATCACGTCTGTACACTAGACCCAGGCATCAACTCTGTACACTAGACCACTAGACCCAGGCATCAAGTCTGTACACTAGACCCAGACATCACGTCTGTACACTAGACCCAGACATCACGTCTGTACACTAGACCCAGACATCAAGTCTGTACACTAGACCCAGACATCAAGTCTGTACACTAGACCCAGACATCAAGTCTGTACACTAGACCCAGACATCACGTCTGTACACTAGACCCAGACATCAAGTCTGTACACTAGACCCAGACATCAACTCTGTACACTAGACCCAGACATCAAGTCTGTACACTAGACCCAGACATCAAGTCTGTACACTAGACCCAGACATCAAGTCTGTACACTAGACCCAGACATCAACTCTGTACACTAGACCCAGACATCAAGTCTGTACACTAGACCCAGACATCAACTCTGTACACTAGACCACTAGACCCAGACATCAAGTCTGTACACTAGACCCAGACATCAAGTCTGTACACTAGACCCAGACATCACGTCTGTACACTAGACCCAGACATCAAGTCTGTACACTAGACCCAGACATCAAGTCTGTACACTAGACCACTAGACCCAGACATCAAGTGTGTACACTAGACCCAGACATCAAGTCTGTACACTAGACCCAGACATCAAGTCTGTACACTAGACCCAGACATCAAGTCTGTACACTAGACCACTAGACCCAGACATCAACTCTGTACACTAGACCCAGACATCAAGTCTGTACACTAGACCCAGGCATCAAGTCTGTACACTAGACCCAGGCATCAAGTCTGTACACTAGACCCAGACATCACGTCTGTACACTAGACCCAGACATCAACTCTGTACACTAGACCCAGACATCAAGTCTGTACACTAGACCCAGACATCAAGTCTGTACACTAGACCCAGACATCAAGTCTGTACACTAGACCCAGACATCACGTCTGTACACTAGACCCAGACATTAAGTCTGTACACTAGACCCAGACATCAACTCTGTACACTAGACCCAGACATCAAGTCTGTACACTAGACCCAGACATCAAGTCTGTACACTAGACCCAGGCATCAAGTCTGTACACTAGACCCAGACATCAAGTCTGTACACTAGACCCAGACATCACGTCTGTACACTAGACCCAGACATCAAGTCTGTACACTAGACCCAGACATCACGTCTGTACACTAGACCCAGACATCAACTCTGTACACTAGACCCAGACATCAAGTCTGTACACTAGACCCAGACATCACGTCTGTACACTAGACCCAGACATCAAGTCTGTACACTAGACCCAGGCATCAAGTCTGTACACTAGACCACTAGACCCAGACATCAAGTCTGTACACTAGACCCAGACATCAAGTCTGTACACTAGACCACTAGACCCAGACATCAAGTCTGTACACTAGACCCAGACATCAACTCTGTACACTAGACCCAGACATCAAGTCTGTACACTAGACCCAGACATCACGTCTGTACACTAGACCCAGGCATCACGTCTGTACACTAGACCCAGGCATCAACTCTGTACACTAGACCCAGACATTAAGTCTGTACACTAGACCCAGACATCAACTCTGTACACTAGACCCAGACATCAAGTCTGTACACTAGACCCAGACATCAAGTCTGTACACTAGACCCAGGCATCAAGTCTGTACACTAGACCCAGACATCAAGTCTGTACACTAGACCCAGACATCAACTCTGTACACTAGACCACTAGACCCAGACATCACGTCTGTACACTAGACCCAGGCATCAACTCTGTACACTAGACCACTAGACCCAGGCATCAAGTCTGTACACTAGACCCAGACATCACGTCTGTACACTAGACCCAGACATCAAGTCTGTACACTAGACCCAGACATCAAGTCTGTACACTAGACCACTAGACCCAGACATCAAGTCTGTACACTAGACCCAGGCATCAAGTCTGTACACTAGACCCAGACATCAAGTCTGTACACTAGACCCAGACATCAAGCCTGTACACTAGACCCAGACATCAAGTCTGTACACTAGACCCAGACATCAAGTCTGTACACTAGACCCAGGCATCAAGTCTGTACACTAGACCCAGACATCACGTCTGTACACTAGACCCAGACATCAAGTCTGTACACTAGACCCAGACATCAAGTCTGTACACTAGACCACTAGACCCAGACATCACGTCTGTACACTAGACCCAGACATCAACTCTGTACACTAGACCCAGACATCAAGTCTGTACACTAGACCCAGACATCAACTCTGTACACTAGACCCAGACATCAAGTCTGTACACTAGACCCAGACATCAAGTCTGTACACTAGACCCAGACATCAAGTCTGTACACTAGACCCAGACATCAAGTCTGTACACTAGACCCAGACATCACGTCTGTACACTAGACCCAGACATCACGTCTGTACACTAGACCCAGACATCAACTCTGTACACTAGACCCAGACATCACGTCTGTACACTAGACCCAGACATCAACTCTGTACACTAGACCCAGACATCAAGTCTGTACACTAGACCACTAGACCCAGACATCACGTCTGTACACTAGACCCAGGCATCAACTCTGTACACTAGACCCAAACATCAAGTCTGTACACTAGACCCAGACATCAACTCTGTACACTAGACCCAGACATCAACTCTGTACACTAGACCCAGACATCAAGTCTGTACACTAGACCCAGACATCAACTCTGTACACTAGACCCAGACATCAAGTCTGTACACTAGACCCAGACATCAAGTCTGTACACTAGACCCAGACATCAACTCTGTACACTAGACCCAGACATCAAGTCTGTACACTAGACCCAGACATCAACTCTGTACACTAGACCCAGACATCAAGTCTGTACACTAGACCCAGACATCAACTCTGTACACTAGACCCAGACATCAACTCTGTACACTAGACCCAGACATCAAGTCTGTACACTAGACCCAGACATCAAGTCTGTACACTAGACCCAGACATCAAGTCTGTACACTAGACCCAGACATCAAGTCTGTACACTAGACCATAAGTTTGAATTCTTACTGCTACAAGTTTAACACAAGGGAAATAATTATTATAGACTCGTATGATTTAAAAATGTGCAAATGTTTTTACTAGTTACAAGCTTTTATTTAACTCACTTCCTTTGTGTGTCTGTCTGTCTGTCTAGATCGAAACGCCCGAGCGAAATTTCGGACACTTCTAAGTGACAGATACAGTTTGTAGTTGGTACCAGAGTTGGTACCCCCCCGAAAAATTTTTACCGCCCCCCCGAACGAAATTTATATAATTTATATAGAAAATATATACTTTTAACAGTGTCCGCCCCCCCGGAGAAAGTTTACCGCCCCCCCCCCCCCGAAAATTTCAAGTGCCCCCCCCCCGGAGAAAAAAGTCTGGAAGAAACACTGGTTGGTACGTGGTTCAAGGCATGAAGACAATGCAACATAACATTTGACTTAATTTGTTGCCTAATTTTTTATGAATTAATTAAAATGTTGACTAAATTAGTAGGCAGTCTTTTCCAACTACTCTGCGATATTAGACACGCGTCATTGCCTTCAATAGAGTGTCATCACGCCCAATAGGTGCACAATGGTTTTTAGTCATGTAACTCTATTTTAAATCATGTATAATACGAAAAAAAGTTTTTTCATAAAAAACGTTTTAATAACAAGCGTTTATGTAAAAGTGCACTAAAAAGGAGAAAATAAATTATACACTACTATTTAAATAACTATAAAGAAAAACGTGGGTCACTTCCTAAATATTAGTAAAGGTATCCAATAGATACTAAAGTAGCCCACGCTTTTCTTTATAGTTATTTAAATAGTAGTG